TACCATATATGCATTGTGGCGTAAGGAGGGCTATTTACGAAACAAAATGTTGAAAAAGAAATATGAAGTGCAAGATAGATAAGAACTGGAAAGAATTTAGAAAACAAAGAAATTATACTACAAGGCTTAAAAGGGTATCAATAAGAAATTATTTCCAAGAAAGATGCAGGGGGGGGGGCAGATTTTGGGAAAACTATTTAACTATTCCTATCCAAAAAAAAATTCAAAGCCTGTAATAAACAATCCTACGAAAGCCTATTAGGAACAAACTACGTTTATTTTTTTTTTTTAAGGCGTCTTTTGAAAAGGCGTTATAACGCGCAAAAAGGCGTAAAAACGCCTTTGAAAAGGCGTTATAGGGCAAAAAAAGCTTAATTACGCCTTTCCAAAAAGCGTTATTACGCCTTTCTAAAAGGCGTTATTATGCCTTTCCAAAAGGCGTTATTACGCCTTTCCAAAAGGCGTTATTACGCCTTTCCAAAAGGCGTTATTACGCCTTTATAAAAGGCATTAATACGCCTTTCCAAAAGGCGTTATTGTGCCTTTTGAAGAGCCATTATTTTGTCTTTGACAGGTCCGTGATTTTGAGGGGGGGGGGGCAGCCTCCCATAAAATTGACAAGCAAACAAAAAAAGAAACACCCCCCCCCAAATAAACTGCCTAAAGGGAATCTTTTTCTAACGTTTCTAACGTTTCGGTAAAACATTTTTTAAATGCAATGACTTGCCCGAGTTTAACCATACTGCAACAAAATGTTTATGTATTTAAACTATAGGAAGACTATTCTCCCAAAAAGTGGGGTGGGAACCCCCCCCCCCCCCCCCACTCGCATTTGTACTACCGGCCTGTTTGTTTGAAAAGGAGTTATATCCAAAAATGGAAAGGCGTTATTTTAAAATAATTAATATATGAAAGATTGAACCAAAGCCACCTTTATTTATGCAATATTTAGATTATAGTTTCAATAGTATAAATTATATTATAAATTATAGTATTTTCTATATTCCTGCACATCTCGCAAACAGCTGTTTGCATGCGTATTAAGAGAAGTCGATCAACACTCTACTTTAAATCAAGGATATAGGCAGAGCCAGCTTTGGGCTTTGCTAGCCATGTATTAAAAATTCATGTCAATTTGAAATATTTTTCTCTCCTCTTGGAAAAAAACAGGCAAACTATTTGCATAGGTATAATGAGCAATTAGCCTTCAACCAAATTGCTGAAATCCATGCACCTTGGTACAGGTGTCTGGCGTCAGAGAAGGACTAAGTTGGTTTAACACTGAAAATATTTTACACATTTAAAAATCTTTTTTCCTGGTAATCTAATTATAATCAGCACCCAGGGTGGGCTAAGTAAGTCATGTATTGAAAAATAAGAGGCGTAATAACGCCGTTTGGAAAGGCGTAATAACGCCCTTGTAAAAGGCGTAATAACGCCTTTTGGAAAGGCGTAATAACGCCTTTGTAAAAGGCGTAATAACGCCGTTTTAAAAGGCGTAATAACGCCTTCTGGAAAGGCGTAATAACGCCTTTTGGAAAGGCGTAATAACGTCTTTTTAAAAGGCGTAATAAGGCGTTATTACGCCTTTTTTCGCGTTATTACGCCTTTTGGAAAGGCGTAATTACGCCTTTATTTGTGTTATTACGCCTTTTCCGCGTTATAACGCCTTTTCAAAAGGCGTTATAACGCCTTTTAAATTTTTTTTTACCGTAGTTTGATCCTAATAGGCTTTCGTACAATCCTTTTATGTAAAAATGACAACATATTGAATGATCCAGAAAAAACATGCAACAATTCTAATGAATTTTATGCTAATGTGGCCATTGAAATATAGGGAAAATGTAGTTTTTAATGAAAAAGATCACTAAGTCTGAATGCCATTAGGGAAAATTGCATTTACCCTCAGAAATTTGATTTCAAGAAAATTGATGAAGATGAAATGACTAAGTTAATAAATAAACTTAATGTCAAGAAATCTGCTGGTGTGGATACAATTAAGGAATAACTGTCTTATTTTTTGGATTCATGATGTGATCAATCGAGTGGCTTGCGTGATAATTTGCATAAACGCCGAAGGCGTTTATGCATAAAATTATCACGCAAGCCAATCGATTGATCATCGTCATGAATCCAAAAAATCTGACAGTTATTCCTTATATTTACATGCTCCTGATTCTGCAAATTCCCGTGCTAATAGCCCCGCTTCTGTCTCTATTTGTCCCGCCCCGCACGTGATTTTTTTAACCGCGCCTATCGATGAACCAGTAGATTTATGTAGAAATAAAGTATTTTTACAATTTGTAATTTTATCTCGAACAAAGACATTGGAAATGTAAATATTATCTGATAAACTTCTGAAATTTGGAGCACTTGTTCTGAGTAAACATATTTCTATTCTTATTAATCAGTCCATACATAAGGATAATTTTCCCGATAGACTAACACTATCTCAGGTTATCCCTCTGTACGAAAAAGAAGACCCTTTGTAAAAAACTAATTATAGACCTGCCAGTATTTTATCTAGTGTGTCAAAGGTGTTCGAGAAAGTTTTGAGTGCATGTACAACTCTCTGACTATTTTGATGGTATTTTCAATTATTTACTCTTTGTGCATTTAGAAAGGGTCATGGATGACAGACTACACTACTGCGACTCCTAGAGGACTGGAAAATGGCTTTAGATCAGAATTTACACGTGGCTGCTATTTTGATGGACCTCTCTAATTAAGGCTTTTGATTGTCTGCCACATGATATACTATTAAGTAAACTCTCTGCTAATGGTCTATCTCCAAATTATGTTTCTATTCAGGGTATCTACTTAATTGTCTGAACGTTTTCAACAAGCATGAGCAAGTGAAACTTCAGGGAGTTGTCAGTAGTTGGGTTGGTATACAAAAGGGAGTGCCACAAGGTTCTATTATTGGACCACTACTTTTCAATGTCTTTATAAATGACATGTTTTCATAAAGAATAGGTCTTTATATTATTATGCAGGTCATACAGTAGCCTATTGGAATAAGGATTTCAAGACTTTGATAAATAATTTGCAAGATGAGATTTCTGTATTATTGATATAGTTTAAAGAAAACTGTATGCAGACTAATCCAACTAAATTTCAGGCAATTGCCTTAGTAAGAAAACCTGCTAAGAAACCAGTATTTATGGTTGATGGTGCTGAAATTCTGTGTAATGAAACTGTTAAATTATTGGGAGTTGATATTGATTTAATGCTTTATTTTGTTGTTCACATTAGTAATATATGCAAAAAGCTGCCCAAATGTTCTAAAACGTATACTACTTGCTCAGTATTTACTCAGGCAAACAAAATTACCATATTTCGTATATAGTAATTTTAATTCTTGTCTTCTTGTTCGGCACCTTTGCTCAAAGAAAAACACCAGAAAAATTGAAAAAAAAAATTCGGGAACGAGCTTTACTTTTTTATTTATGAAGATTTGGAAAGAAGCTATGAATCATTGCTGCACAAGGCAAAATTACATTCCCTAGAGATTAGAAGAATGCGCAGTATGGCTCTTGGATGTTTAAGGATTGTACATGACCTTTCTCCAAGATGTCTGTCAGACTAAGTGAGTTTTAAGAGACATACAATTTTAGTTATTCAAATATTTTAGAAATAAGAAGAAGATGGAACTTTTTGTTCTTTTAGAGATGCAAGAAAAAGAAAGATTGGGGTTCCCTAAATCTTGACCCTTTTAAAATAAGTGATTTAAGGTCCTCATTATTAACTTTATTTACGTCACCAGTAATAACGTGTCCAGCAGGACTATAGTTGTAGGGTGAAGAAGAACATGAACACAATGGAGGATTATGTTTCAGATGCTCAATATCCAGGCTCTGTAAAGTTTTCTTGTAATTAAAAAGTTTGGAAGCAATAGTCGATGTTTATTTATAGGAAATACAGGATGTAGTCTTCAGTTGGAAATAAGGTGGAATACAAAACTGGGCCCTTTTTTGATTAAGAATATTACTTATATTAACCGCGTCAATTTCCTTTGTTGGCATATTGAAGTTTGGGAAAAAACGGGTAGATTTAGCTGTATTTTCTTCCGTAAAACGTGTCGGTTTAAAAAGCCTATGATTTGCAATATCCATAACCACAGATCCGAGACTGTATTCTGGTGTCGAGGAATCCAAATATGGACTTTCCTTGACTTTGACAAATAGATAATTCAAAATTTTCAAAGGGACAGAGTAAAGTTTGGTTCGAATGTGATGAAGGCCTAATTGTTTATTTACATAAGGTAGTAGTAAATCAAAGGAGACATCGTGTATAATAGGTTCACATAGTTTCAAAGAGTTCTAAGTTTGTTTTTTTTTAAGTCAACTAATGGAAAAATCAGAAAATCACATAGCGTTTTCCGTTAAGTTATCACTCAGCCTTTCCCGTCAAGTCAAGGTTGATGGAACAGGCAGAATGATTTACAATTGCTAAGAGAATGCTTTTAAATTTTAGTTTGTGTGGTTGATGTCGTTACTACATTTGAAAGAAAAAGTCAGTTGGTTATAAACATGTTTATAAATGCAAATTAGCAAAACCGTACTCTCAAAATTCATGACATAACAACGGCTCAGAATATTCTTGAAAATAGGCCAAAGGTCATGGTCAGGTGGACTGTTTCACCGACATTTTTAAACATGTCTTTTGACAGTGCACTTGCCAAATAGCACAAACTTACCTCTAAAGAGTCAAAGAATATGTGTCTGTTGGCCGGGCACTATAGCGCATTTTGAAAAGTAGGTCAAGGTCACGAGGTCGGTAACCTTGGTATTTTAAGCCATTCTTCCACGCAATATATAGGCCGAGTATTAAATCCCTACCCTGTTAAAACATTCTCAAGACAAAAGGTGTGAAGACGGACGGACGGACAGACAGATAGACGCCGGGCAAAATGATTCCTAAGCGTCGCTCTGCTTTGCAGGCAACACAAAAATTTCAAGCTCCCTGCTTGGTTTTCACTTGAAGAACATAAGACAAAATCATATTTTTATAAATGTATTTTATTTTATCCATCTAAACAAAAACCCATGAAACATGGGAAAATGAAAAGCAGATATGTCGAACTGCAGTCTCAGTGCCTTTTGCAGAAGGGAGGAGCGGCATTTGTTTGGAGGTAAAATTTACCATGAACACTCTTATCGACATGGTAACCCATTCTATTGCAGCCATTTGCACATGATATGCAACTTCCACGATAGAAGTTCCAATACGATGTACATGGGAACGCCTTAAATTCACAAGAGGATATGATTGACTCGATGAAGTAGAATATCGCCCTCATGTGGCTGCAGGATATGTTTGCAGAAATCCCTTTGAAAAAAAAAAGTTAGTTATCATGAGAGCACATCAATTTTGAAATATGGCCACTAAATACTGCAAAATTAGCACAATACACTGGAAACATTTTTTTGTATGTGGTAGTTGAATGTGAAGTCATTGAAGGAACGAAGGATTTTATATAAAGTAAAAGTATCTTCACAACGTCAGGGGTCGTGATTCAACTCGGGCTGACTGCAGTGATGTCTTTCGGGGCTTTCGGTGACAAACAATCTGTAACGTGTGCGATGAGGTGTCAGCTGCTTACTTTCTGTTTTATATCAACTTATGAAAGCCCGTTCTCATTGGTGCTTTCCAGAGAAGCAAGCCCGTAGAATACCGAATGAAATTTGTCAGGGGTCCAACGACAACGAGTTGACTCAGGAGCCTTGACGTTGTGATGATGCAGTTAAACGTACTTATAGCAAAGTGCCAAGGACGAAGAATTTTGAATCGTTATAAACGAAATGCCTATCCCTTAAATGCATGCGTTTTAAAACTACAGGGAATGAAAGTCGATTCGCATGAATTCATTATCATCGTGTTCGCTATATCCCTGTTTTGATGTTCAGAACAAACATGCAGTAGCAAACTTCACAAAGCCTGTTAAAGAGAAACAGATATACATACATCCAAACTTTCCCTTGAAGAAGTTCACGATATTGGTCCACAGATCGCGCTTGCATCCAGGTTGTCTTGTGCCCCCGTTTGGATAGAAATCAACATGTCCATTCGGTGTCCTGATTCCAAAAGCTATGACACAAAAAATTAAGACCAAATTAGCCAACAATTTCATACGCTCTCTCTTCTTAAATTTTGTCAGATTTGTTACTTACCCAGTTCCATCAGAGAGGCCCCATCGGTGTGGATGACGTCAACAAAAAGGGCGTCGGAGGGATCCAGTTTAACTTTGGTGTCAAATTTTTCAAAATATAAGCCAGCTGGATCTAGTCCTAAAATTCAAGACCAATATCTCATTTTATCCTTATAGTCATTGGTACATTTATTTATTTATTTATTTGTGAAAAAGGAAAAATAGAGCTCCCATATCATGAGAGATTGGTCAACTTCAAATCTACTTTAATATAACATGAATATTTATATCCTTAGAAAAGAGATTGATGCACTTTAACTTAATTAGAAATCAAGGGATGGTTTTAAAACACTTTAAAACATCTTCATCGCAATATGATACTAGTATATGGAAGACGGAGCATATTCGAAGAATCTGCAGCAACCGAAAGTATATTACATACCCGTGATTCTGCCAACCCCCTGTACCCAGTCTCCGGCGTACCCCATGATTTGGGCACCGAGACTGTGACCAACAAGATGGACCTGTCCCAGAGGTAAGCTGAAATTGTCTCGTAGAGCCTTTATCATGTTCCCAATGGTGGCCCCAACCACTCGAGTATTGGCGGCAGACTGACGATAAATTCTTTTTTTGGTGCCCTTTGACCAGTCAACAGCTATCACATTCATGTCTCCCTTAAAGAGACTACATTTTTATTACGTTTTTAAAGCAAAGACAATGACAGTGAAATAAAGAAATTATGACGATAGGAAACATATGCTTTATTTACCTATTTAGTGGAATTTATACTATACTTTATCCTATGATGCGCTAATTCACATGACCTACTTTGGCGCTAAATTTTTTATGCACTAAAATGAGTAAATGTGTACAGTTTCAATTTTAATTCAGAGTATGCTATTATTTCTAACATATGTTATTTCAGATTAACAGATTGTACCTATTATTACACTAACATAGACAAAAGTTTTCTTTCTAGAAATTTACCAACCTTTTCTAGAAAAGCGTCTTTCATTTGCAGTGGCCAACCAGATTTGGCCGTGTCTTTGTATCCATGGGTGATAAAAATAGTCGGTAGATTTGAATCAAAGCTGGAATTGGAGAGGGTGTTTGTATTATATGGATCCAGGATCTGGGCAGTATCTTTGTTCTGTCTGGTGTACAGGCTGAATGTAGTCTCAATCTTACTCGGAGACTGGGGCAAGGTTCCATGGGCATTGTTGAACGGCTTGGCGTTGCTGAAACACCCTATGTGTGTGTAACAAACTTTCTTTGGTTTTATTAGCCACCATCCTAGAAGAAAAGATTGTTTTATCAGATCAAGAATGTGAAATACAAAGATATTAACATTGAACACACTTACCCTTACACACACACATGCATATATATATATATATATATATATATATATATATATATATATATATATATATATATATATATATATATATATATATATATATATATATATATATATAAGCACTAAAAATGACCAACGACACGAACAATAAAAATTGTCAAAATTTCGGGACGACCTGTCACTTCCTCAGGACAAAGAAAAAAGTTAAGAAGTCATAAAAACAAAGGAAACAGAGAAACAAAAAACAACTAGCACCACTACTAAACTACCAAACACTAAATATTTACATTGTTACATGTTTTATTTGAAGTTTATAAACAGTTGTGAAGAAAGAAATCCGGAGCGCTATGAATTGCGTCCGGTCTATCGGGTGTACTCTGGTGAAGTGCGATTAAAACAATTGAACGAATTAATTATCGCTAATAAATTACGATCATGTAGTAAATCGTACACCGTCTTATTCTCTCAAAATAGCGTAACTATACATGATAAAAAGAAACAAAAGAAATATAATATGGAAGAGCAATTTTAAAATATGAATTTGGATATATTATAAATTTGGAAATCGGATAAAAGAAATAAACAAAAATGTAAATTATAAATATTTGCGTAGGCTGTTCCAGAATTGCTATTGCGAATTAACGGTAAAATTTACACTGTATAGAGAGAATTAACTTGTTTGTTACAATCTGGGATTGGGTCTAATTCACATTCATCCTGGTGAAGTCATTTAGTTTTTTAATACCATTAGGGCGAAATGACTTGAGCCTGTGCATCCAGAACTTTTCCTTGCCTCTTCTCTGAGCGTCTGTCCATCTTGGATTATCGTCAATAACCACTACTGTCCTGTCCTTCCATTTGTGACCTTTAAGGTTGAAATGTTCTCCAACGGGTTCATTGAGTTTTTTGGTCCTAATGGTAGAAGGGTGATTATTATATGATTGAATAATTCCCATCTCTCTGATTGGCTGAGATCCAACAATGTTAGAAAAATACTACGTTATATTGACCTTCCAGGTCAATATAAGGAATTATTTATTCTACATTGGACCAAAAATATAGATAGGGAAATCCAAATTGATGCAAATAGTTTTGGAAAGTTATTTCACTTGCACCTGACTTCCACTCATATATATGAACACAACATTAAGGCACATAAATTCTTGGGTGAAGGGGGGGGGGGGTTGTAGGAGATCGAGTGCCCCTGTCCCCACCTTTTCAGAATGTAAAGTTTTAGTTTAAATTTTAAGGGTAAAAAAAAGTCAATGAAAGCCCCCCTCCCCGCATTTATGGACCTTTACATCCCACTAAATAAAATTTTGAGTTGGGAGAATTCTTTTCCTTGAGGGGGGGGGGGGGGGCTAGTCAAAGGTTTGTTTTCAGGTAAGTTGTCATTTTTTTTCTTTTAATGTCCCCTTTTTCAAAATCAATCCTATATATGTGCCTGACATTTATTTCTTCTACACTGAACCTAAACTAGAATTAAAAATTCCAAAATAATACAACTGCTTGTTTTTTAACCCCGTTTCTCTCATTATGTTCGGCAAGTACTTCAGTAGATGTGAACAAGTAAGATGGCATGGATTGCTTAATGAGTGTGTGTCATTTAATCACTGAATCATATAATAAAACAATTATTGCTGTTTTTCGGTCAATACGATGATTTAGCCACCTTCGAAGTTAAAATATTCACCTCGCCCTTCGGGCTCGGTGAATATTGTACTCCTCAGGTGTCTAAATCATCGTATTAACCTCAAAAACCAGCAATAATTGTATATTATTGACTCTCCTGCGGAGATCTTTTCACCAATATACTGTTTGGAGCAAACTTTACAACTGATACACATACATGTGTATATATAAATACTCTTCAAAAAAAGAAACGCATAGTAGAATTTTAGTGACACATTGAACGTAAAGATTATGTAGTAAAATCATGTATCGACAATAAAGAAATGTGGTTAACAATATGTCTACATATCTAAATGTCATAATTACTCAAGAATTTTAAAATCAGGGACAGTTCAAGGTCATTAAAGATCAATATCTTGTATGCCCCCCCCTCCCCGGGCACAAACGATAGCCTAAAACGGCATCTAATGGGAGCAAATGAGTGTAATAAAAATGTATAGGAATACTCTCCAACTGTAAATATAGAGCTTTGATCATTTGTTGCAGAGTCTGGGCACGCGATTGTCTTTTGCAAAGCATGCCAATCCATTTTGTCCGATGCATGCTCAATTGGGTCTAAATATGGCGATTTAGATAACCATGGCAGAAACTGGTTGCTGTAACTTTGCAAGAGTGCGATTGTCAAACGAACCGTATGTGGCCGTGTATTGTCAGATTGAAATACGGCTGCAGGATGCTGCAATATTGGAAAGGAATGTGCAAGTAAAACATCGTTAGAGTACCTTTTTCCATCAAAGTCCTTTGAATATGAACCAAATCCGTCTTACTTTTATGTAATACCGTTTTTCATATCATTACACTACCACCACCAAATCTGTCTACGTCCTGCAGGCAGTTTTCTGTAAAACGTTCATTACGAAGCTTATGCACTCTTAAACTTATAACAGGCTTTGCGATAAACATTCTGGAATAGTAGCTTAAAGAAAATGTTCAGCGGTGTTGCTGTGGCCATACTCTGTTGATCTGACATCTTTGAAGTCAATATTTGCGGTGTTGTGTGGTTAGAACAATGGCATGAATAATCCTCTGGCAATAATTCCAGCATTCCATAATCAAATGCAAATGGTCTTGTTAGGTGTTCTGTGCAGTTCAGGGATAGCTAATGCTGTAGATGACGTCATTGTGAAACATTCATGAAAATTAAGTAAACCACTAAAGCGATCCTGTGCTGCTGATGTTACGTGTGGTCTGCCATATTTTTGGCGAACATTGGGTGTTCCATGTTAATGGTATATGTTTTATAGGTTAAATATGGTGTTGTGCGTAACATTAAAACCTCTTGCAATTGTAGACTGTGGTACAGCTGCTTCCAGTCGCCCATTTTCCTTTTTGTGATATGCAACATTCAGAAGCAGCATTTTCAAATAGAGTCAATTTTCAGATAAAACCATAATCAAAATCTCGAGAACCCTAGCTTTTGATAGCCCTTTGGTTCCTGAAGCAATTTCATCAAAAACCAACAAATGAAAATTAAGAATTTTTTTTTTTAGCATTTTTCAAAATCAGGTCTTTTTGTCTGTGAGATTTGTAGAATAGCTGTACATTTAACAATTACGTAAAAAAAAAAAAAACGCATTTTACTCGAATGAATCATATCCATCTAAAACAAATTGTATCACAAAACTATCTTACATTTTTTTTGCAGGGTATTATTCCTATTATGCGTTTCTTTTTTTGAAAAGTATATATATATATATATATATATATATATATATATATATATATATATATATATATATATATATATATATATATATATATATATATATATATATATATATATATTAGGGATGTCAAATCGGTCAATTTTTGATAATCGGTTACCTGGACGTTTTTCCGATCGAGTACCCGGGTACTCGGTAAAAATGTAAATATAAGTTTGTTAATTTTTAATTGTTAATTTGTTAAACCCCAAAACTGTTTTTATCACGTTTTATGAATGTATATAAACATGGAGTCCAACGGAAATGATTTTTGGTTCTAAATTCATTTATTAAATAAACACAAATACTCAATTAATACATCAAAAATTACAAATGGTTTACAGGTCTTGTTTAGGATATATTTCATCAAGAAGGAGAGGACGTTGTTTGGATCGCTAGTCTAATATTTTATCATATGTTGGTTGTTTCCCCCCGTATACACTAAACTTACTATGGAAACTGACTTTAAACATTTTTTTTGAATCTTTACTTATTTTGAAGTGGGTAGTGGCATTTCTATGTATGTCTGATGTCGCTGCCGTATATTAACTAAATAATTTAAAAATGATTTGAAGATAATAGACCATATTAAACGATGTTCACTGAAAAACAGGAATTGAAGCCATCCAAAAATTAAGGACCATAATAGGTGAGAACGGCTGGGTGATTGGTCACTAATTACTGTATATACACAGCCATAGGCGATAACGGGTGTTTAAATATGTAGATGACTACACGCTAATTACCCGAATGCATATTTAAGTTATTTTTTGATAAGTTTTTGATAAAAATATATATTATAAAAATACACATCCGAGTAACCGAGTACCATTTTCAGTATTCGATACTCGGACGTTCGATCGAGTACCCGGTTAACCGGGTACTCGTTGACATCCCTAATATATATATATATATATATATATATATATATATATATATATATATATATATATATATATATATATATATATCACTATATTTTCGCGCTATTGCTATCTAGTATATACATAAGCGAGATAACATTGTCGCGAGCTGTTGTGAGTACTGTAATGTATATAATCCTTTAATAACAAAACAAATATACGCAAGAATAAAATTTCGCGAGCAGACAGACTCACGTAAGTACGCGAAAATAAAGTTCCCGCGATTAAAAAAATGATTTACAGTTTATACATACATACATACATACATACATACATACATACATACATACATATATATATATATATATATATATATATATATATATATATATATATATATATATATATATATATATATATAAAGCACAAAGATATTCACTTTTACAAGGATACCCACTTCCGCCCCAACCCGGGGTTGAACTCTCGACCTACGGAATCTGTCTCCTAGCAGTACAGGAACAGCGTGCTAGACCGCTCGGCCATCTAGGAAAGTCAAAAACTTGCTTCGATGCCGATGGAATTCTCGCGGCGCTGTCCTGCACTACACGGTCATTGAGAATGGAACTGAGATACAGTTATTTGAACATTTATTTTATTAGAGGATCGTTACCGATAACTATATCAGTTCCATTCTCAATGACCGTGTAGTGTAGGACAGCGCCGCGAGAATTCCTGTACTGCTAGGAGACAGATTCCGTAAGTCGAGAGTTCAACCCCGGGTTGGGGCGGAAGTGGGTATCCTTGTAAAAGTGAATTTCTTTGTGCTTTCTATATTAATATTTCTTTACTTTAGGGCAGTTTTGTTAGTTTCAGAGTTGTAAAATGTGCTTTATATATATTACCTTGGGTGGATGAAAGCAGGAGCAGAAGTGTTATGCTTTTCAACATCATGGACGAATTTGGAACAAGTGTATCAATGAACAGCTGAAAAGAAAACAAACTTAGCCTCAGCTTTGTTCACAGTTCAATGTATTTTGCTTCACGGATATTACCGGAGCTCACGTCTCCGTCATTTTGACGCTGATACTTGGGCGCTACAAAAATGACTTCTGTATGCCTCTGCCTCGTCAGGAAAAAAAGTTATCAAAAGATATCCGATATCAACTGCACAGGTCAATGAATTACAAAGTGAACTAAACACAAATGCACGTTCAATGAAATAAAACATTAACAAAAAGGACAACGTGGGATATACATGTACTACACGCCGTATCGACCAGCTAAAAGCAATCATGTGTAACGATCGAATGCGAAGGGTTTAAATACTCCGGTGCTGATATAGGAATAGGGAAACTAATATGGCGTATGCCTATTTATGAGCCATGTTCAGCTTTTAATTGTATGTCCATATTTGAAAATTTGCTATTGATCTTCAAAATACTGGAATAATGAAAAGACATTATCATATTATGTTGTTCACAAATATTTATTTTCAAATGTTTTTAAAGCAAAACATTCACCTTGTGTACATATTTTAATTTTGTGAATAAGGAACAAATACTGCGTCAAGTTCAGTTTACTCTGAATCCAAACTTTATTGGAGCCTCTGTGCATTACTTATTATTACATTTGGGTGAACATGGAGGCATAAAACATGTCTATTAATGCTAAATCATATAGACGTCAAATTGATATTTGGATTAATTTAGGGTTTAAAAAGGGTTGGAAATGAATATTAGCGGTGTATGCGGGGATTTACATGTACTTTTTTTTTTTTTTTTTTTTACAAATATTTTGAAGAAATGGAGAATAGACCCACTGGTATCGGAAAAAAGTATGAAAATGCGTGAAAATTTGTCAATTTTTCCTTCTTTGGTGTTTGCACGCTATTTTATAAAGACTTACTTAATGATTGTACATAGCATACTGTGACGAGTTTACAGCAAGTGTACGTACATTGATATTTATTGACATATCAAATAAAATTTCATTATGGTTGAGTAATTTTTCACTTATTTCTAACTATGAGCACTTTTTTCAGCCTTTTCCCCATGTACTTTCACATTCCCTTATCATTTTACAACTTTTTTCAGTCATTTCTATAAACTTTGGATTGTACGGGTTCCTCAAGGTCAGAATTCTGATCTTAGCCAAAAAAGATGATTTTTTTTTAATTTACAAATTAAATAATTCAATTAACAAAACGCCGAACTATCCCGCAGGTTTAAAGACAGAAGATATCATATTTCAAGAAACACAGCACACAGGGTACAAAGTGAGATCTGCAATGGCGCGAAAATTGCGTAGAATTTTTTTTTTCTTCATCGCCAAAATTCTAGTTAGTTATAGATATGTGACTGAACGGTAATGTTTGTTTGTTGTTTAATGTCCCTCTCGAGAATTTACTTATATGGATGTGCCACCACTTACCGAGGGAGGGCTGCAAATTTTAGACCCCACTGCAACACGGGACCTCGGTTTATACGGCCTCATCTGAAGGATCGGTCTCCACGTCCCGCAGTGGGATTCGAACCCGCGAAAAAAAAAAAGAAACGGGAATAAATGAGTCAGTTTTTTTGGAATCTTGACTTACCAGTTAGCTCTTTTAAAGCATGAATTCTCAATGTATTTGTTGAAAACAATCAGAACTTTCAAAAGAAAGACATTTTAAAGGAAACACTCAACGCAATGTTTCAAGCATATTTTATTTAATAAATAAAGAGGTGTAGATGATCGAAACCAAGTATTATTTTTGAAGAAGTATATACCAGAAAATGAATATCTCAGAAATTTCAGTTTCAAAAATAACAATTTCCAATGAGTTTGTATTAAAAATTTAAAACCAATGAAAGTACGATGAATGTTTCTAATAAGACAATCGCTTTTCTATAAGGGGTTTATCCGTTGAGATGGAGAGGTATGCTGTCATTAGCTGGTTACTAATGCTACAGATAAATGTCTAGGAAAATCGCTTAATTCTAGCCACATACATGAAGCTTGAATTGCTTTTGAGTTCTGGGACTATTCACAGAAATTAAGTTGTCAGTAAACAATAACTCCAGCAAAAATATGATCAAAATGATCAAATGGTGGCCAAAAAAAACTTTTGTTGAAATTTTTTATAAAGACGCAGTTTCAGCGTTTAAGACCAAGTTACCTAAAAATTTGTGATTTTTTAGTTCAGTTTCATAATTGAAAAAGTATGAGTAAAATCTAAATCAAGGAGGATTTTTCTATAGACACATGTTCTGGAAACTAGATCTAGATGATTTTCGTGGATCTGTTTGTGGGTGAATTTACACCAAAATTTTCCGATACGTGTGATCTTAGATCCAGAGTTATCAAGCGAACACTTTTGTACCATTGTATAAAACGTTTAGGAACAAGACCGACACCAGTAAATCAAGAATTTCTTTAAATGAGCTTCAGAATGCTCACCAAATATTACGATAAACATCATGTGTATTGTGGCTTTTGTTATCCGCCACATAAGTGAAATGGTCTCCAATTTAAATTTTTGATCATGACTTAAGTAGAAAATAAATCTGATGTATGATAACAATGGTTTACGAAAAGTTTTTTCTTGTTTTTTTTTTTTTGTTTTTGTTTTTTTTTAAATTTCAAAATGCTATCAAGATTTAAGTATCAGGGCTGAGTCAATATATCGATTAATCAATACGTATCGATATTCCGGAATGTATCGTATCGAAAAAATAACTTCCAATACGTATCTGGCAGGCAGTTTTTCTTAGAATTCTTTGAAAAAGTTGGGAATTTCAGTCACCAAAGGTTATTTTTAACTGTTTTGAATTAAAATTGATCAATAATGAAATAATCATTAAGGAGATAGCACATCTTAAATAACTATTAAAAATATAAAGACAACTATATTTTACATGGCCGTAGGAACCGGGGGGGGGCACAGGGGGCTCCCCCCCCCAACAATTTTGCCGACATATAGAGTACTATAGAAAAAATAGTTGATAGTGCCCCTCAACTGAAAATGTATGGCTGCATGTGCCCCCCAAAACTGAAATTGCTTCCTACATGCCTGTTTTAACATATTAATTTACAGTCAATAAAAGTTTGAATTTGAAGTGTACTTTGTAAAGACAGTGAGACGTGAACTTCCAATTTGGTAATAAAACTCCTAGTTTTTATCAAATATATGCAGTAAATGATTTACAAGACTTTTTTGATAGTCTTGTTAAAGAATCCAATATATTGCATATCGCTGTATAAAATATCGTACCGTATTGTATCGAAATATTTTGCTCAATACACAGCCCTATAAATGAATATACATTTCTTTCATTCTTAAAATGGAAAAAAAACCAACAACAACTACATTTATTCGATCGCTGACTTATCTTGTTAAAGAATAAACTATGGAAGCCAACTAATTTTTTTTTTATATCAAAGATAACTGAATTCAATTATACAACATTAAAGAGAAAAGCAACATATAAAACTTGCTATACTTACCTTTCTCTTCTCGCCACCCGTCAACCTAAAGTGAACGAGTATCACGCTTTCTTGGTCTTTATAGGGCATTTTGACGTCACATGCCCCCCTATTGTCCAGCTACACACTATTGTTCGATGTGTTTTCGCTGACGTTTGACAGAACCTTTGTTCAACAGAATCGTTCGTTTGTAAAACATTGAACGATACTAGTATGTTTAGGATAGGAGATCTGGTGTTTACGGAGGGAAGGGGGTCATATAAAGAAGAGGCAATTTGTCTGTGATTAGGAGGAATTGCTAATATAAAGCAATTGGACACTACCAGGATGCATTTGTTGAGAAGAATGAAAATCATTTGCTACAGCGAGCAAGAAGAGGCTCATGGACTATATTGATCACCCGAGTCCCCGTGGTCCTGCTGTTCTTGACGTAAATGGTTATGACAACCAAACTTGAACACATAGGGATTCTTAATATCAATATGATTAATATGGCTTTGTTCTGGATAAAATTAAACAGAACAAAATCCCATATATACATGCATTATGTAAAAGTTTATCCCCGTAATCCCATTGTCCATAATTTGAACGAATCTTTACTATACCTGATGATGGTTGCATTACATATAACTATTCATGGCCCTGCTGTTCTTGAGAAGATTTTAAAAGATTTTCCCCCTTTATACTCCCATGTAAAACTTGAATCCCTTATTGTGCCCCCAGCCTACCCCCGGTGACCACAAAGTGAACAAATATGAATCTTCACTATCTGATAATGCTTGTATATCATAATATCACTAATCACGGCCCTACTTTTATTGAGATGATTTTTTCCTATATATATGTATATTCCCATGTAAAACTTTGATCCCCTATTGCTGTCCCACCCTACCCATAGCGCCAAGATTTGAACAAATTTGAATCCACACTATATTAGGAGGTGTCACATAAGTTTCATCTTCTCTGGTCCAGTGGGTTCTTCCTCGTATTTTTCAATGCCCCGCCATATTTTTTACCTATCTTGATTATCTTCCCTTTGAAGGGATCATGTCCCTTCATTTGAACAAAATAGAACCCACTTCGTGCCAGGTGAGCTAAAATCTTACTGGTAGTTCAACATTTAGAAAGACTAGAAGTCCTGACGAGACTGTAGCTGTACTGGTGTGTAATAATTTTATTTACATTTTCAATTGTTTTCTCTGTGATAACTCTTTGAAAGATAAGTGTGTTATTTTCTAGATATTTACAATAGAACGTAAATTTCGCCAAGTGAAAGGTCAAGTGCTTAAAGTATGCCTGTCAATTCCCCAGACTGTCATTGTGTCATAGTGGGTGGGGACTATGGAAATTAACGTGGAATGCATTTTAAGTTCCATTAGTATTTTGATTTATATTTTTCTTTCACGTATAAATGTAAATATAAGGAATCACTGTCTGTAGTTTGTTGGGTATGCCAGAGACATTAACGGCAGTTAGAAATGCATAACGGGCTTCGTCTGTTAGGCAACTTATCTCACGTTTTCAGCTGTCGTTAAAGTCCCTGGCATACCCAACAAACTAGCCTTAGTTCAATGTACTTCTGTACCAAGTTTTATTGAAATTGGACCAAAACTGTAGGAGGAGTAACGTTTTGAAGAATTGATTAAGGAGAGACAGACCGATGGACAGATGACGGACACCTTACTATTGCATAAGTTCTGGTCTCTGACATTAATACATTATTTACATAGATTAATTATCATAGGGTCGCTCGCAAGGCGCAGTGGTTACAGCTTTACTCTAGAGTCGCGGCACAAAGAGCTGATCCTTACGTCGCGGGTTTGAATCCACTGTGCGACGTGGAGACCGGTCCTTCGGATGAGACCATATAAACCGAGGTTCCGACTCGCAGTAGGTGCTGGCACAAAAAAGATCCCTCTCTGCTCAAAGGCCATGGGTGCTGAGTACAGGTCTAAATTTGGGCCCTCCACCGACGAGAAGTGGCGTCTCAATGTGCGAACAGTTCTCAAAGGGACGTTAAACAACCAAATAAATAAACAAATAAATAATCATCTTCGCTAGCCAAAGGTTTCTGATACGCTACTCTCCTCATAAACCCTTGGCATACGGTGCTGACAAAAGACGGGATTGTTTTCGTCACGTGATCACGATTCTTTCCAAGTTCGCACAGATTGCGTCATCGACAGAAATAAAAAGCGTATTTAAAAACATAATGTTTTTAAAGAATTATTAACAAGAAGGTATTGAGTTATGTTAATTTGTTATTTAAACATGTTTAAATGCAAATCTACTTCTTCAGTATAGATTCTTCATCACACATTTTGCACGTAGCGTAAACTGGATGACTCACAACACGTCGTCACACTAACGCAACTTAACACGCCGTCGCGCTTACTTACAATAGATTGTGTAGAGTTTGCGATGGGTGACGGCGTGTTGTGTGTGAGCCCAACGGTGTGTTGTGAACAACGCACTAGTGCATTGTCACTTCGCGCTTGTGCGTTGTTCCTAACGCGCTATTACACTTTTGCAAATGGCCCTATCGGGACACCAAAAATAATGCATTTTCACGACAGATTTAACCCTGCCCTAACACAAAATCCCCTGATCTATGGGCCTTTAAATTCACAATTTTTGAAGAGGCACACTTTCTCGTCTTTTATGTACTTAGTTTATCTGCTAAATACTCAGGAGCACAGAAGATTTTCAAAGAAATAGTGAGTAATGCATTTTCACTACATAATCAATAGGGCCCCACCCAAACACCAAAACCCCTGACCCAGGAGCCATGAAATTCAAAATTTTGGAAGAGGCACCCTTGCTCATCATAGCTGTGCACTTAATTTGTTTGCTTCATACCCAGGATCAGAGAAGAAGATTTTCAAAGAAAGCATGCATATAGCTATTCATAGAATGGCATGTTATCTTACGGATCGTTGTTTACTTGCGTTTTTCATTCCCGATATTAAAGAGTCAAGATATATCCCGAACGCAAATATCGTCATTTACAAAAAACAATTTCTGATTGGTCGAACGATGTCGATCAACCCCAATCACAACTTCAGAAAAAAATCCCAACTTTTTTTAACACCGTATGCCAAGGGCTTATGAGGAGAGTAGCGTATCAGAAACCCTTGGCTAGCGAAGATGATAAATAATTATCATGTGCGAATAGCAAAGGGGTTAACTTTTCTCAGTAAAATACAAATCAATAGAGCCCTCCCAGCACCAGAACACTTCACCAAGGGGTCCAGGATTTCAAAAACTGGTAAAAATACCCTTGCTTATTACAACTTGCTTCCTAGATGCCCATGAGCAGAGAAAAGATCTCCAATCAAATAATTATGGTGTCCCGATAGGGCCATTTGTAAAAAGTGTAACAGCGCATTAGGAACAACGCGCTAGTGCGAGATAACCATGCGCTAGCAAAAAATGACAACCCGCTAGCGCGTTGTTTCTAACGCATTGTTGCACTTTTGTAAGTGACAAGGCGCTAGCGCAAAGTGACACGCACCAGCGCGTTGTTTACAAAACGTCATCACGCTAACACACAACACGCCGTCACGCTAACACAACTTTACACGACACGCTGCCGCTCTAACTCACAACACGTCGTCACACTAACGCAACTTAACACGCCGTCGCGCTTACTTACAATAGATTGTGTAGAGTTTGCGATGGGTGACGGCGTGTTGTGTGTGAGCCCAACGGTGTGTTGTGAACAACGCACTAGTGCATTGTCACTTCGCGCTTGTGCGTTGTTCCTAACGCGCTATTACACTTTTGCAAATGGCCCTATCGGGACACCAAAAATAATGCATTTTCACGACAGATTTAACCCTGCCCTAACACAAAATCCCCTGATCTATGGGCCTTTAAATTCACAATTTTTGAAGAGGCACACTTTCTCGTCTTTTATGTACTTAGTTTATCTGCTAAATACTCAGGAGCACAGAAGATTTTCAAAGAAATAGTGAGTAATGCATTTTCACTACATAATCAATAGGGCCCCACCCAAACACCAAAACCCCTGACCCAGGAGCCATGAAATTCAAAATTTTGGAAGAGGCACCCTTGCTCATCATAGCTGTGCACTTAATTTGTTTGCTTCATACCCAGGATCAGAGAAGAAGATTTTCAAAGAAAGCATGCATTTTTCCTTCGTAATCAAGCCCAGCCCTAAGACTCCACATCCTGACCATGAAATTCACAATTTTGGAAGAGGCACCTTTGCTCATCATAACTATAATTAACTTCATTTGATTGCTTAATACCTAGGATCAGAGAAGAAGATTTTCAAAGAAATACAATGTAATGCACTTTCACTTTATAATCAATAGAGCCCTGCCCTAACATCAGAAACCCTGACCCAGGGGCCATGAAATTCAAAATTTTAGAGAAACACCCTTGCTCATTATAACTATGCACTTAATATGTTTGTTTGAAACCCATAAGCAGTGAAATTTCACAATTTTGGGAGAAGCACCCTTGCTTATCATAATCATGCACCTAGCTTAGCTGCCAAATGTACTGGGTAAGATTTTAAAGAATTCATGCATTTTCACTACATGATCATTAAGAGCCCCTCCCTAACTCCTGGAAGCAAGAATTTCATAATTTTTGTAGAGGGCTCAATGCTTATTACAATCATAACAACAGTGTCCAGGAGTATAGAAGAAGATTTTTAAAGATAGCACTAATTTCGATGATTTTAGCTGCAACCCTCAGGGGGGAGGGGATCATGAAATTAATAATTTTTGTTCCCCTTCACTCACAAATGCTATATACCAAAATTGTTGAAATTAGTTCAGCGGTTTTGGAGAAGAAACTGAAAATGTTCAAATGCTAATGGATGACAGACGAAAACATAGCAATTGGTCACCCAAGAAAACTAAGTCATAAACTAAAGACTATGTTTCATCTAGACTTTCCAATTAAAAAAAACCCCTAATTTATCAATATTGTAAATTTTGCTCAGTTTGTGACTCTGTATGCCACAGTAGTGAACTCAATCTATGTCAAAAAGTTTTACAGTATGTAAATGGTGTTTATAACACATGACTACAATTGTTTAATATTTTAAGAATTTATTTTTTATTTTGTAATCATACAAAGATATACAAAACATATCACTTAAAACAATTCATACAATATATGATAACAATCTTGCACTAAGTATTTTTTTTTGTTTTGTTTTTTTGGATGGGCGTTATTCAAACTTTCATGCTAATTATGACATTAAAATTGTATAAAAATCTAAGCAAATGGTTCTTAAAGGTAAAAAAAAAAATGTTACAAAACAACTCTTGGTATGTTAAAAAAAAAAGAAAAAGAGAAGAAAATAATAATTCTGCCTTTCAATATTTTCTCATCTAAGTATATTCAAGGAATGTGATTTTTAAGTATAAAATGTTAGCATTAAAAATATCACATTTTTCTGCACCAAAAATAGATGAGCACCCTGTTGTATACAGAGTAGATAAATATTTACAATGAATATTGCACACAAATTACCTCTATATACATATATATATCTTTCTGGGACAGTTTTGAATCTAAGTTGAAACTGTTTATAACAGTCAAGATATGACAAATTATAGTAAAATTATTTCTTTTGGATGATGAAGGCACCTATGTCTTGATTCTACATTCTTGATTACAATCTTCAGTTTTGAATTTGAGCTTATTATTATGGGGTATGTGTAACATTGAAAATATGAAATATGTTATTGCTTCATGAAGAACATGCTTGTTTGAAAAGTCCATTTTTATATCTCATAAAATTTTCATAAAAAAATACAAAATTCACTACTCATATTTACATTTCAATCAAATGATTCACTTTTTATTCAATTACAAATACAGTCAAACCTCGTTATTTCGAACTCAATGGGACTGAGAAGAAACTTCGAGATATCTGAGGATTCAAGATTTTGAGGATAAAATACTTAAAGAATAAGTAGTTTGGACTTCTAAATCAGTTTGAAATATCCATTTGTATTCGAGATATCAGTGTTCAAGATACTGTAGTTCAACTGTAAACTAAAAAATTAAAGATTTATTTTTATAAACCAGCTTGGGATGTTTAAAGATGCTGTGTTTCTTTTGTTTCTTTAATAAGTTATTATGAAAACTTACCCTTTATTTCTGTTTGGTATAGGATAAACACTTACAAAAGAAACTCATATTCTTGCTCATAGGTGGTAGTTCAAGAATAGATGAACTTTTAAATACAAGAAACCTAAAGGAAAAATGATACATATACTACTGCAAATCAAACTACTTACAATAAAGAGGATTTTCCCCACTTGAATACAGAAGATAAGGTATATTTATAAAAACAATAACAAATTTGCCTATGGCAAATAATATTAAATCATATTAAAAAAAACAATACTGGTTTAAAAATCTAAAATAACAAATAAACAACCAAAGTATTTAACAATTACAAGTATACATTCATCAAATAACAGTTTACTTACAAGTCTATTCAGTACATGTATTTTAGGTCAATTTAGCTGATGACTTGGTTGCCTTATGTTTTAGACATGTTTGATTAAAATATTGCATACATAGCATGGAATACCAAATATTTTACTGGTGCATGGTTCAGTGATTTAAAATTTTTAAAATAAACGGTAAAAAAAGTTATTATACAACACATGAGTGGAAAATTCCCTTGGTGGCAAATTCTTTTCATTCTTTTTTTTTTATGTTGTTTTTTATTTTACACAACATTAACCTTGACTTGATTTGGCAATGACATTCACCCTTATGTGAAGTCTCGATCCACCTCATTTACTAGTAGTTCATGACAATCATGACAAAGTTCAAACTGTTGACTAATAACAATAAATTAGCCCAATTATTTTTAAAAAATTAATATTTCTGAAATCGACATAGCCGAATTACCTATTTAAATTGTATACTTCATATTTATGTCTACAGAGAGGAGAAGGAAGAATTCTGTGGATTTCATGCAAAGTCTAAGAACAGAATAAGTAAATACTCCAAGTGTTCTTCAGATTTGTTGAGGTATTTATAACTTCCAAAACCTTGTAGAAAGGCCTTATAATGATAATAATAATCATCTAAATAATGAAAATAGTAATAAAAAAATAATTAGTGGTAGTATTAACTGTGCATTTACACAATTCAGTTTGTCCCATAAATATTGACAAATACAAGCACCAAGTAGAAACCTGAAGCTTCATGATGAACAAATCTGTTGAACATGACTGCAGTGTGCTCCTCTCTAGAAACTGCAAATGGATGTAAACCCCTAAAAATTGGTTGTTTAGAATGTCAATCATAATACTTGTAAATTTTATCAATGAACACTTTTCTCTGCTTTCTCTAACAACCTCCCATAAAATACTTGAAGTGAAACAAAGTAAATCATTTAGTGCTAAAAATGAAAATCCAGCTCAACTAGACTTGCACACTGTGGCAAATTTCTCAGAATTTGTAAATCCACAACATCATGGAGGCTTCTGTGCTGTGTATTTTGTGTGTCTGGGTGGCATTCCTCCAATCTATGTAGCCGTCGCCTCCACTGACCACCACCACAGCGTTACAGTTCCTCCTCCTCAGCGTCTCGTACACAGAAGAACACGCACGATCATTACCATGAGCACGAAAAGAGGGCCTCTGAGTAATACTTCTTTTGAAGTTTTTTAAGTTATCCGAGACTCTTTTCTTTAGTTTTGTGGATTTACCTGTCTCTGATTTTTCATCTTTACGTAGTTTGGGATTTCCTTGTGGTGAAATATCACGTTTTAATGGTGCTTGATCTTTTCTATAATCCTCATTTGCCATTAAATCTCCATAGTACATCCTGATTTCGTTTTCGTCCCCCTGAGAACTGGTATCTGGGGTGGCCATGTTTCTTTTGGCCAATTTCTGCATTAACTCCGTCCTCAGTGTTAAGGCTTTGCTCTGAATGTTTTCAGATTTTAAAAAATCTGCCACAGGGGACCTTGAAACTAAGTTTTCAGCAGATTTTGATTTTCGCTTATCAAGACTATTACTTCCAATGTCATAATTAATTTCAGTTTCTGTGACTGTGGGTCCATTTGTTTTAACCTCAGATATCTCTGGTTCAACGATATTGTCTTGTTTGGGATTTTCCTCATCCACAGAATCCCTGCTACCTTTCCGCCTCTTCACACTAGTGGCATTCTCTCTCCATGCTAGAGATTCTGTGGACTGCAAACCCTGGGCTCTCTGCCATAAGTTTACAGTCCCGCAGTAAATGGGAATAAGAAACTGCACTGGTCCATTGTGAGAATGAAGTGACACATCTGGTCGACCTTTAATCAGGGGTACCCCATCCCGTAGCCGTGGCAGTGGGAGGGAACATACAATACCAAGGCTTGTCCCCACCCACAGTAACCCACGACTAGCCATCAAACTGGTCACAGTTGTAGTCTTGGGAATTTTTTCCTCAGAACTGTATTTACTCTCTACAAGTAAAATTCAATCTTAATTTTACTTTTTAATAGAAAATTCAACAAAAAATTAAAACATTGCAATGCTTATACAAAACTAACTTCACAAAAACTTTGTCTCATAAATTACTAAATATTCAAATGCACAATGTACTGCTATAACTAAACAATCATGTCTTCTTTAAAAATACCTTCCTACTGTCATTATTAAATCACAATAAGTAATTTAATAAGCAACCTTTCTTACCAGACATCATTCTGTCCACAGTGGACCCAATGTTAATTTCCTGAAGATTTTCCCTGGTCTCAATGTGATAAAGTCGGACATACGATTTGTCTTTGAATGACATCCACAGACCACAACCAGATCTGACCATTTCTGATATCACAGCATCTCCATCGCACACCAGTTGATCCTGTATCAGTAAATGCACACAGCACATTAATAGAAATAAACTGGTACAAATTATTTTTCTAAGTACAATGAAAGTCCACTGAAATAAATGACATTAACAATGATTAACACACAGTCTTCTTTGAAACTTTCTTGAAGAAAAAAAAAAAAACAGTAAAAAAAGCTTATAACAAAGTGCCAGGGATGGGCAATTTGCTTTGTTATCAACGTAATTCATTATATCCGTTAAATTCACAAAATATTTTAAAGCCATAGGGAATGAAATCACTTCAATGTAAGCATCCATTCATTATAAGCGTATTTGCTATAAGCAAGTTTTACTGTATTTCTTTCTTTGAAAAAAAAATTCTTTCTGTTCCATTTATTAGAAACAAAATTGTTTGCTAATACTCCATAACAATTCATGCTATACACTTATCAATGAAAATGGTCAGGATGACATAGTTGAAAAATAAAAGTCTTCGTGACAGCTGTATGATATTAAGTCTTGAATTAATCAATGAATAATAGAACAATAATAAAAAGGACACCGCAAAGTGGAGCATCCCCTCACAAAAGAGCACATCGAATTATTACTTAATATGTAAACATCCTTTACGCACGCACGCACTCACTCACTCACAAACAATACACAAGCGTGTTACTATAATCCCTTCAATTTCATTGCAACGGGATAATTACCAAAAGAAAATCATTGTAAAGACTCTACATGCAGTGTGAAATGGTGATTTATGAAAAATGAATTAAAAAGAAGCAGGCATTATGGGTAGAAGCTAGTACACTGTATGTATTACGTTCCATTAATATACTTTAGAAGGGAAGAGAAGTACGAAGCTAAAGCAGTTTTTGAAGCTTGATGACCAAAGTAACATTTATTTTTAAAGTGAAATATGAATATAGTTGATAAAATATATCCCTCACCCATTGTAAAAATTGTTTTCTGTTCTGTAAAGGTGCAACATTACATCTCAAATCAACAAGACTGAGTAAAATGTTTGTATTCCATAACATTCATTTAGAATTCTTGACTGTTATAAAAATGTGACAGTTTATACAAATCTCCTCATTTTGCTCTGTTCTATAGGGAATACATTTGTTTTATACATTTTCTAAATTATTTGCTAGAAATAACATGGGTTTTATATATAGTTTTTATGGGTTCTTTTGTCATGCAATAACTTATCTTTTGATTGAATCCATTATCTATAAAACTGTTGACATACCAAATTTGATAGAAAGTAAAAAAATAAACTATTAATTGCCTTGCCAACAGAAAAATGTCAATCGTACATGTACATTTATAATAAAAGGAATAAAATTTAATAATACAAAATATAGAACAGGCTACAAATATAATAAATATGTAACAGTAATTGAACATATATACTCTGAATCATGCAATAAAAAAAACCACATTTTGGACCAATGCTATGTTAATGTAAATAAAAATCAATATAAACACGTAAATTACTAGTTGTACTTTAGCTACAGCAATGGTACAGTATTAATGTTTAATAAATATAATGAACAAGCTTATGGCAAAAACATGCTATATCAATTATATTTTATCACCAATAAGTACAAATTAATCATTATTAATAAGAAATTGGCTGGTTCTATTAAAGAGATATAAATATTTAATTTTTATTGCCTAATGTGGCTGGCTATAGCAATGTTTAACTGATTACTGATACAAAGAAATTCTGAATATAATAAGCAACTGCTATATCAAATTCTGCTCTGATAAACAGTACCTTAAATTGATTTTCGTCCACTGGGATGATGTAAATTGTATCACTACAGGCCACCCATATTTCGTCCTCTATAGCTATGATACAGGAGATGGGCATGTCACTTCCAATCTCAACTATACTGGGAGCTTCCACCTTCCACTTTCCAGTTGCTTTGAAAACATAATCAAAGAATACAAACCTCTTTAAAAAATGCATTAGGTTTAATATCAAATGACTTTTTAAAAAATCTACAAAAAAAATAACCAAACTTAAGGTTCATTGACCCTCTGATAAGAGAGATAACTCTCAGTAGGGCCAGTTAAAAGGCCATTTCTGTAAAATTTTGCCCTGTATGAATAAATTGTGTACATTTAATGTATAAATTCAATTTCTTTTGGAAAATCAATAAAATTAACAACGAGCTTTAAAAGATGAACCAGAAAGAAATTTAAGATTTTTTCTGCTATTTGCCAGTGACCATGAAAATGCTGAATTACTGTCAATGGTTTTCTTTTGAGATGGACTTATTTGTTAATGTATCTTAGTCAGCATCCTTTCTTCTACCACAACACTGATTTATTTCAAGTATCAAAGCAAGTAAACAGACAACATTTAAAATACGGTCTGCATACTCCAAGCTTTATACCTGTATAACTGCCCATATGCCGGGTTCTTTTCCATTTCTGATAGAATAAAAAAACCCTTTATGGAACCCCCTCTTTGAATTTTACATCATTTTAATGAACTAATGTTAATCAACACTTCAACGATGAAACCATGACTTACTATCATCTCTGTCATATATAATGAGTTTTCCATCCCTGAGTCCAACAAACACTCTGTCATCTGCGTATTTCATTGCCACGGCAATGCCATGACAGTAGAATTTACTGCGAGGTTTTCGTCCACCAGTGGTAAAGTTTCTCACCCCATTCTCATCCAATAGACTGTATACCAGAATCCTTAAAAGAATCAATTTGCCGTCACAAAAGCAGGCACAAACCACAGGTGCTTGTGGTATTTTATAATACAGTGTTTATGATTTTTTAATAAAATGTTAATTCTATGTTATTTTTTGGATTTTTCATATGGAATACATTGTAAAAGTGTAATAGATGATTAATTTATGGAAAAAGACAAATAAAAATATCCTTGGACCCAGGGTGTATATTAAGGAGAGGGGGGGGGGGGGGGGCTCCTGTCCACAAGCACCTGTGGCATAAACATAAATTTCAGGATGCATGCAAGAAATCATTAGTAGTGAGGGACTTTCGATATTCACCTATAAATTTTAAGTACAGTAAAAGTTCTGAAAGTCTTCTGAAAATAATGAATTTTTCTTCACATAGCAATGCTCAGGGAATTCACAAGTTTCATTTGGGGCTAATGGCTTATTAATTATAACTATGAGGGTACATGTAACAGGTCAAAGAGTTACTCAGGCTACCTTGCAATACCATACCCCCTATACAAAGAGAAAAAAAGCCCTGCTGTACTTTTATAAATACATAATGCTGTTACAAAATTTAGACTAATACAGGCCATTGTCTAAGGTCCACTTACTCGCACTTTTCAGTGGACATCCATATTGTGTCCTCTACAAATGGTTCATCTTGTTCAGTCAATGAGATGGCTGGGACTGTTTCCACGGTAACAATCTCTGTGTCTGCTGCCTTGAAGGATTCAATGAGAGCGAGTCTTGTTGTCTGGACCGAGACGAGGGAGACCTGAGCCCGAGTTTCTGATGTTGTGACAACCCAGAGATGCTGCAAACTATTGTCAGAGTTACCTCCCCCATCAGACAGATACACAGGTACAGCACACTTCACCTGGCGAAAAAAAAAACTTTTATTCGAATCTTTACTTCAATGAGGACAGGCTCAAAACAGATCTTCTAAAGATAGAGTCATGTAAAACAAGTATTAGGTAGATACCTTAGTGAAGTGTTTTGGCAGGTCTACCGACATATGCTTGACATACATGGCTGGTTGGTGAATGGATTTTGGTTTCCCAGTCACACCAGACATGAACCAGCTGGGATTGTTCAGTGGGTCTGAAAACAGAGAGATTTCATGCATCTAATCACATATTCAAGAAATTTAGATGATCAGTTAATTAAAAGATGCTATAATAAATTTGATATTACATACCTTTTGTGAGTTTTGTCATGATAAAGTCAATGCTCCATTCCTGTTTTATTTCAGGTGAAGTGGTTTGAAATATATTCCGATACTCTCTCCTAAAATGCAATGAAAATCATTATAAAAATTCAATAAAGTACAACTACTGAAGAAAATCACCATAACCTGACACATCTAATAGAAGACTCACATACATGTACATTATGTTGCAATAAATCACATTAAAAACCAAGTCTTTACTTTTTACAAATTAACCAATTTTCAATGTATTACATATTGACTGTATTGTGTGTCTATCAGTATTGCTCTAATCACCCCCCATACTTTTACATCCTACACACTAATAGATGTCTGATAATAAGTCATACTTACCTATTTTGCTTGACACCCTCTAATGGTAAATCACTGACATTCTTACTGTATATATATGTACATGTATATCAGTAACTCTCTACTTACCCCCCCCCCCCCCCCCATACTTTGCATCCTGTAGAGTGATGGTGTTTTAGTAATCAGATAACACATTGAACTTTTCATTCTTTACATAACATGGTTGTATGCCAACATGTTTGGTGAATCAATAAATTGAATTGAATTGGTATGACTGTTTAACACTGACTGTGTGTCTGTCAGTACCTCTCTACTTACCCCCACCCCTCCCCCCCCATACTTGGCATCCTATTGAGTGACAGTATGATTGTGTGGGCTGACTGTGTGTCTGTCAGTATTGATCTACTTACCCCCCATACTTGGCATCCTGTAGAGTGACGGTATGTTTAACACTGACTGTGTATCTGTCAATACATCTTTACTTACCCCCCTCATACTTAGTAATCTATTGAGTGATAGTATGATTGTTGGGCCTGACTATGTGTCTGTCAGTATGGATCTACTTACCCCCCATACTTGGCATCCTGTAGGGTGATTGTAGAGCTATTGAGGACCTGGAGTTGTTGGTCTTTGGCCTGGATTTTCAGCTGAAGATCTGCCTTGGCTTCCTGGATTTTCTCCTCTGTTATACACTTATATAGATTGTCAAAAAAAGAGAAAGAATTACCAATATCTTTATGGTACCTCAAACTCCATTAAAAAGGCTCTCATAGTGAAGAGATAAGAAATTAAATATATCGAAAAAGTTTCCCATACATATTGTTAGCTACATGGACCAAAGTATGATTGTACAAAATTTTAAAAGGATAGAGATAATTTTCTAACCTCATAGGAGAGTTTGAGAGAGTTGACAAGTGTGCTTATTTGTCCGAGGACTGTCACATCATGCATCATGTCACTGATGTCACTGTGAAGGTTAAAAAGGTCATCCTCCTTACACTCTACAGAAAATATAATGCACATAAATATCATTAATAAAGCTCTTCAGCTTAAACAAATATCTATAGGTGAAAAATTATAATAAATTTTTTATTGAGTTAAAATTTGCTTTATTGCAAAGCTTTTATTTATAAACAAATGACAAAGTCATGCAGGGCTCTTTAATCTTACATAAATAATTTTTAGCTTTTGACCTTAACCTTTGAACAAGTGAATTAAAAACGTAGTTCTCTCTCCTCTCTGTTTCTCTCCCACTCTTATATTTTACCTATGTACTGAACAGCAAATATGCAAGAAGATGTACTCAAGTTTCACTGTTACATAAAAGAGTGATCAAAGGAAAGTTTTATCTCACTAATAATTTGCATTACAGGAATATTGATAGCTTTTAACGTTTGACCTTCAAATTACCTAAAACAAGTGATTGTGTAATGATATTTTTGGAGTTGACTTACCTACAACAGGTGATTGTATACTGAATTTGTTGGAGTTGACTTACCTATGACAGGTGATTGTATACTGAATTTGTTGGAATTGACTTACCTATGACAGGTGATTGTATACTGAATTTTTTGAGATGACTAACCTACAACAGGTGATTGTGTTTTGAATTTGTTGGAGTTGACTTACCTACAACAGGTGATTGTATACTGAATTTGTTGGAGTTGACTCTTAAGATACTTTGCATGTCTGGAGTAATGGCAGTATCCTTTAATTCTAATTCTTGAATAGGCTTCATCCATTTTACTTTTTGCTGATTATTTCTGTAAATAAAAATGTGCATTTAAATTGTTTTTTAATTACTACTTCTAAAAGTTGTATAGTAAATTCTTAAATAATAACTATTAGGGATGTCAATTTTGCCAATAATTCATATTTGAATATTCAATGAAATTATTCGAATATATTCGAATATTCAATAAAATTGATAAAATCTGGTATATTTTAAATACTGAGTATGCATCATCCTACTCTCATGAAAGGTTTAGCGTAGGTATTCTTATATTGGAAGTAAAATTGTATGAAGACTTTTGTAGGTGTATAATAAGGAATTCCATCTGATATTTGTGAATGTTTGAAATAAATAATTGATTTAAATGTAGAAAAGTCAATAATAAACGTTTAACGAATGATACATGTGTATTTATAGTAGCTCTAATTGTGGAACCAAAGGCTAGATAGTCGTATACTCTTCAGATTTAATTACAATTAAGTATCAGCCTAATAAGAGATATGACTATAATCTTTGATACAATGTTTTTAAAATATGAACAAATATTTCCATAGACAATTTTCCTAGGTAATTAACTAATTTTCCGATAATGAATATAAAATACAGGATTACGTACAACCCGAGATAATCAAGTAATTTACACATTTATTCTGAAATTGAGCCCTCTACAATATTACAGACTAATTCTATCGGATATTCATTCAATGATCAATTAAATCTATTTTGATAAGTATAGTCTTCACGTCTTTTAGACATTCTAAGAAGGTTTTCATTTTGTTGTCCTCGATTCTAGATCCGATCGTATTATTTAATAAAAACTATGAAAGTATGTTTTGTAAATAAAGCATTATTGTATAATCTTTAACACCTTACTCAAAACAAAATAATTTAGTAGATACATAAGAAAAGAAAGTGGTGAAAGAAATCAGGCAATCGAAATTGATCGCTAGTAAATTAAACAGGAATAATTCCAGCACTGTTCTAATCAAAATTTATTAATCACAGTACTTCTTTTTATGAAATCTGAAAAAACACCGAATATTTGAATCTTAAATTCATATTCAAATATCAACTCATCGAATGAATATTCGAATATTCGTTGACATCCCTAATAACTATTTATAACAGATACTGTAAACATGGAAATTTACACACTGGAATAAAATACGATGCAAGAATTTGCTTTTTATTCATTAATAGTATATATGCTGATATTGTGGAAATACCCCCCTGTATAGTAAGAAGCTACAGGCTTCTAAGTGACATCTAAAAATTTTAAGCACCAATCAAAAATTTTAGGCACCATGGTGACTAAATTAGTCACCAATTAGAGCCCTGAGCTACGTATTTATTATTCTTAGCTTCTGCCAGATTATTTATAAAAATACATAAAAATCCACATTTAGAGTATGCAGCGGGCAAAATATAAAAAAAAAAATTTGAATCTCTGAATAAGATAAGCTAGGTATAAAATAGCACACAAATAAATAAGTTCAGTATCCAAAAGACAAACAAACCCCTGCACAGAGCAGCAGATAATGCAGTCATCTAGCAGATACAGCTTCCTGATCTTGGTAGCAACACTTCTGTCTTGGCTCTACAACAATACAAAATATTACTGGCAATCTTAATAATTCATCATTGAGGCTCATTGAACCTCTGATCAAAAAAAATTAATGACTATTATTTCCTTTATAATTTAATAACGTGCGTTTTGATCGGATAGAAAAATTCGTTTATATCTGTGCTGCCTAAGTCACAAAGACTTACTTAAAAAATACACCAATTTGCTTGACATAACATTTAAACTTTGTACAATCTGAAGGAATTTTGGAAGGTATATTTTATTTTTTTTTGCATTTAATGATAGAAAATTAAATTATAAGGAATACATCTAATAGCTACCTAAGTTATACTTACATAACTTGGGTTGGAACAGTTTACGCTGTAAACTGTCGCAACCCATGTTATACAGTATAACTTGGGTATATAGCTATTAAAATCATTCCTAAAATAAAATTGTCCAGAAAAAAAGCCATTTCTGTCAAATTTTGAGCTGCAAAGAAAGCTGAAATTGTGTGCATTTAAATCATAAATCAGATAACTTTTATAAAATGAATATTATTAAAGCAAAATTTTATGTGAGTGAACAGAGGGATGAAGAAACATTATTTTTGGATGAGGAACCTTAAACATTATTTCTGGATGATGAACCTTAAACATTATTTTTTGGATGATGAACCTTTTACATTATTTTTGGATGATGAACCTAAAACATTATTTTTGGATGATGAACCTAAAACATTATTTTTGGAATGCATTTAATAAACACATAAAACTTAAAATAAAAAATAATCTAGAATTTTCCTTACCACCTCTTCCATGTCATCCTGTCTGACAAGCCGAGGGTGTCTCTCTCCTGGGACCTTAAAGTTCAGCACCTTTTGTAGTTTTTTGGCTTGGAAGAGTTCCTCAGACTCCCGTTTACGCTCATTAAGGATGTGTGTGACATTCTCGAGATCTGTGAGAGCTGTCTGGAGAGAGGATCGGTCATGATGGTGGTGTGGCGTATACTTCAACAAATCCTGTAAATAATTAAGGAAGTCTGTTTCATCGTCTGTGTCAGTTTGATCATTATGGTGTCTTTAAACTTTATCATTATATAAATGGTGCCTGTTTTGCAGGGTAACAATTAAAATTGACACCCCAAGGAAAACCATTGTCAACCGATGCTTCAGCGGAGGTTGACAATGGATTTCTGAGGGGTGTCAATCTCAACTGTTACCCTCCAAAACAGGCATCTCTTTTTTATTATACTGAATGTCTTCTTGGTTTAAGTCAGCAAAAAAAAAAAAAAAGGAAATCGTCCATATAAGTTCATGTTTAGAAATTTTCAAACTCTCCACTTCTGTTTTTCTCAGTAAGAAAGTTCAAAAAAAATTTACCAACCCCTTTATTGTTTGTTTGATAGTAAAGACTCCTTTATCCTCAAAAGTTTCGTTATTTCTGCACTCGCAAGCATTTTTCCTCTGTCATTTGTTGCTTTCAATCAAGCTACATCAGACACAAGCTTTAATTGAGGTCATTTATTAGGCTTCTTTCAAACGCACAAGTGACGTTTTGAGAATTCTATGGCAAACTGTACGCGTATAATTTACACCCATTGACATTTCATTGTGTTACCCATTGTCAAGTGCTTTGCTAATGCTGAAGGTAAAATTACAGATTGTTAAATGCATCTAAACCAATCAGATTTTAGTATTCAACATGAAAGTATAATAACATTGATTGTTACATTTTTCATGAAATGAACAACACTGATCTTAATCAGTTGTCTTACCTAAACCTTCATCAGTTGTCTTACCTTATCTTCATCAAATGTCTTACCTTTATCATCTTTATCTTCATCAGTTGTCTTATCTTTACCTTTATCAGTTGTCTTACCTTTATCATCTTTAACTTCATCAGTTGTCTTACCTTTACCTTCATCAGTTGTCTTACCTTCATCAGTTGTCTTACCTTTATCAGTTGTCTCATCTTTATCATCTTTACCTTCATAAGTTGTCTAATCTTTACCTTTATCAGTTGTCTTACCTTTATCATCTTTAACTTCATCAGTTGTCTTACCTTTACCTTCATCAGTTGTCTTACCTTTATCATCTTTATCTTCATCAGTTGTCTTACCTTTACCTTCATCAGTTGTCTTACCTTTATCATTCATCTTATATTAACCTTCATCAGCTAACTTCAATCTTTGTCAGTTGCTGACCTTTCCCTTTGCTAGTTGTCTTACTTCAACCTTTAGCCATCATCTTACTGTGACCTTCTTCAGTTGTCCTTCTTTGAACCTAATCAGTTATCTTACTACGGTAATTATTAGCCCTTACCTTAATGAGCATGATGAACTGAGGAAACCTCTGGATTGGTTTTACCATCAGACCAAACAAGTTAAGGCGGTCTACACTCCTCTTAGACATGTTCTACAGAGAGGAAGAAAATATTGAAATCTAATTGTGAAAAGATATTGATAATTTCTAACATATTTAAATTTACTTAAAATGTCAACTTTACTAAAAACTTATTGAAGCTCAAACATAACTAATTACTTGCTTTCTCTGAACCATAAGAGAAAATTTATTTGCACAATATTAAGAAAATCCTTTAGGACTTGTACTCACATTAAGGAATTCCTCTAAGCCTGGTTTAGAGAGCTGAGCTGCCTTTATTTCCTCCATAGTCATGGCAAAGTTATTCACATATTCACTGTACACATTCACAACCATGTCTCTAGAAAACTAATAGTATCCGGCGTATGAAAATTTTATATTCCAAAAATTACAATATCATACAAAGATCCTGTCATTGGAGAAATTTATTTTCTGTGTTAGAAAAATACTCCAACATCCTTCATGTTTGCACTTATCACTAGTGTGGTAAAAGCTATGATGTGACAGGTCTGTGTGTTTCATATTTTCTTTTTGGGTAAATGCGCTCAGTATAAGGTACAAAGATAGATGATAGAGATTTGGGTAGTATTCTTACATATAACAAACATCTTTACTTAGTTGATTTCACAAAAGTACTTCCTATTTTTTACCTCAAGCTGAGTGCATCTATCCAGCTACAAAGTATGACACACTAAAACTAATTCGTATTCTGGACTTTTGCAAAAACCTAAGCAGCTATGTTTTAAGATAACCTATTGGTATTAATATGTTTGCATCTTCTGATAAAATGCCCTGAAATATATTAAATTGATAAAAGACTCAAACTGTTCTATACATATGCTATTGCATTCTAGAACATTTGGTATTTTTCAAAATGATGTATAGAAATGTCTAGATCCTCCTTACTGAAGCAGTGAATATTCCTCCTATTTTCTCCTCTGTGTACCACTTCGACACACTTTCTGCTAGTTCTATCTGGAACATCATATGGTGATGGAGAATTTCCTGAGCCTTTGAGAAAACCACTCGAACACACTCCTTGTCCAGGTTATATTTGAACAGGATATCACTCTTGTAGTCCTGTTGGATGGAAAATTGTGTATCATTAGTTATCAGTTTTATCAAACTAACAGAAAACTGACTTTATTAATAAGCACTCCAGTAATAAGTGCAAAAGAAATACATTAATATCATGAATGTTTTCATTATATCTAACTTTGATATTCACAGTTTTTAAACAAGTATTGCCATACTTGGTCCATTATGATAAAAGGTATTTTTCCTGATCTTTTAAATTAAGAAACTGAAATACATACAGTTTAAATTTGAACAAATTTTGACCGAGATGAGATGCTTACATTGACAATTCTACTGAGTGAATCCATGTAGGATTTCTCACTTTCAATGATGCTCCTTACCACGTGAGCTTTCTTCTCCTGTAAATTAAAATCTTACTGTAAATACATAACATTAGTTATGGACCTCAAGTCACTGTCATTCTGTTCAATGAAAATATTTTAATATCTATTTATTTTTTAGCTAGCAGCCAGCAAGCCTACAGATCTAGAGTTTTGTGTGCATATTGATTTGCTGATACAAGTATATTAACTAGTTACTTGTACATATATTAATACATTGTTTCTGCATTTACTTAAGTCAGAGACAATGTTAAATTCATTACATTTACATGAAAAGCAAATAAAGTCAACAAAAGCCTAAATGTCTACATTTGGGATACATCTATAATTGGTAACTACATGTAATAATCATTACTATACAATACAAAGGTCTTGTGAAGTCACCCACAAAAGCTTTAGTTAGCTTGCAACTTTTTAAGTTACCTTGAATGATTCATTGAAAGATACATTTCCAAAGCAGTCTAAAATACCGGTATATATATTATATATATATATTTTTGCTCTTTCTTCTATCTTTGAGAAAAGATATTTTCCCTAATATTATCCATTGTAAAATTTTGACCCTTGTTGGGTTACTACCCATGTGACAGGTGCCCTTTATGTTAAGACTAATCACTGTTCTGTTTTAGTGTAGACTCATGTGAATCCACCTAATTAATCTTGGCTATATGTGAGATAATTTTATTTGGATTATTGAATATCACTTTATGCTTTATTTTGTTTTATACTCACTCCTGACTTTCTAGCTCTATGAAACTGAGCGGTGAAGATTTTTATCTATATGAAATATATGAATCAATTTAGCAAAAGTTGGAAAAGGGTTAAGTATTCAAGAGACCATCATTCTATGAAATTTTTGCAAAAATCTATTACCAAACCTTGTCCAGCATTCAAATCCACAAGAATGCATACCAGAAGCCAATTACATTTCAATGGAATATTTGCCGGTACTAACTGGACTGTTAATCATCAATACCTTTCTTATTCCTAAGTAATGTGTTACTTTGCTTTTCTGATGCTATGTTTCACACACTTTACTGTAAACCAACTATTATTCGCATCAACTTTTATTCGCGATTCGTCAGTTTGAAATCAATCCATGACGATTAATTTTTGCGACTGAGTAAACAATCTCTACAAATACAAAGCAAAATAAATGGTTTGCGGCAATTAATATTCGCGAATTATAGTAGGTCGCAAACCTTGCGAATATTTCTAGAACGCAAATAAAAGTTGCTTTACAGTATTTAAAAATATGTTGCAAGAAGAGAGGCTACAGAGAATATTGCCCAAACCCAAACCGTGTTGTCTTGGTTTATAGCAGTGGGTCAGCTGCAATCAGTTTTAGGAAATTAATGTGTACTTTGATATACAATGTACTTGTAAACTAATGATAATCAAAACTTAACAATTACACTTCCTTATGTGTTGTAAGGGTGTTTACATGTTCATTCACATCACACATGTTAGTTTGTACTGTTGAATTGGTTATCAATTTTACTTTAAATTTGCTTCTTTTTTTTATCCAACACTCTCTATAGGTGTATTCGGGAAAAAATCTAGTTTAAAACTTTAAAATTACTCTGCATGGGTCTGCAATGTATGATGCATCACTTATGTCATTTCATTAAATTCAATAGTTTGAAATCTTGTCTAATCCAGAATGTTGTCTAATTCAGCCATTTTTTTGGAAACCAGTGGTGTTTGGTTTAGACAAGTTTGACTGTATCAGCATTCTAGATTATTTTCCCCTATATCAGACCCTCTGATCATATATTCCACACACTAAAAATAATCTGTGCTTTGTTCATTCTGCTAATCATTTCACTAATTGTGATTTTATTAAGCTCCTATATAAGGCCCTAAGGTCATATTTACAGCCATGATTCAGTTCTACTCAGACCCTCTGGCAACATTCTCAGCCCTACAAATAATCTGTGCTTTTGAAAGCCCCTCTAGTGAATTTAATCTCCATAATGTTAATTGTTACACTTCTGGTGGCAGTCTTGGCATCCAAATTATCTATGCTTAAGTTAAACCCTCTCCCGACATTATCAGTCCTATATATTACCTGTTCTTTTGTCAGGCCCTCTGGGGAGGGTGGGAATCAGTCCTATATTTATTACCTGTTCTTTGGTCAGGCCCTCTGGGGAGGGTGGAAATCAGTCCTATATATATTACCTGTTCTTTTGTCAGGCCCTCTGGGGAGGGTGGGAATCAGTCCTATATTTTACCTGTTCTTTTGTCAGGCCCTGTCAGGGGAGGGTGGAAATCAGTCCTATTTATTACCTGTTCTTTGGTCAGGCCCTCTGGGGAGGGTGGAAATCAGTCCTATATATATTACCTGTTCTTTTGTCAGGCCCTCTGGGGAGGGTGGGAATCAGTCCTATATTTATTACCTGTTCTTTGGTCAGGCCTTCTGGGGAGGGTGGGAATCAGTCCTATATATATTACCAGTCCTGTTCTTTGGTCAGGCCCTCTGGGGAGGGTGGGAATCAGTCCTATATTTTACCTGTTCTTTTGTCAGGCCCTCTGGGGAGGGTGGGAGACTTGGGGGTGGGTGTTTTTCCAGGTTGATGTTGACAGGTTTGACTGGACACTCTTCCTCAGGTGAACCTCGTCGTAGCTTGGATGGGTCTGGAACTGGGGGGAGTGGCTTATCAGGATACTCCAATGTGCCTGTCAATCAAATAATCAGACCATTAATCAGTATCAGTGCCTTAGTGGACCTAAAAATCAACTTATAATCTCATTTTTTGGGGGATAAAGATTCAAGTAACATATTCATTATCTAAAAAAGATATTTCTTCAGCTGAATTTACAGGAAGGGGTCCATAGACCTTGATCACTAGGCATTTTTTATCTGACCACCATTTCATGTTCTTTTATTTGAAATTTTGGAGACCAATCAAGATTTACAAGTAAGTCTGCCATATTTAAATTTCAATTTTATTTAAATTTTTTTTTTAAAAATATCTTAACACCCACAAAAATGTGTGGATATGCAAGAAAATTATTTTTATATTGAAATTAATTAAGTGTTTCAGGTTAGCCATGAAAAAAAAAACCCTGTTACTTCTTATAGACACTGACCATTTTCTTCCTCTTCAGAGCCTTCCCTGCTGAAGTCTGACCCCCAGGATAATGTGCTGTTAATTGTTGAGGAACGGGGGTCACTGGGACTTGACTGTCTACCCACAGGCTCATAGAGTTCCTCATCACTTCCATCAGCAACTGTCAAGAAAATGAATCAATCAAAAATTATTTCAGTTTAGAAACTGATCTCAAAATTCATCATAATTAACAAAGATCAGGGACCTATATACTTAGTACCAGTATATAGGTCCCTGCAAAGATAAACAAAGGGTCCTGAATATAGTAGTGACCTTTATAAGACTGTCCTTCATTATCATTTGGAAAAATGAATTTAAGATAATTATTTAATTCTTCCTTTAACTGCACATTTATATCCATTTCTCCACTATACTTGGAGCCTCCACCTTCCCCCATATCATCAAAGTTTATCTGATCATTCCATATTCTGACACTCCCCTCACAGAAACACAAATCTTGGCTAGGACAATTGTATTATTCATTATGCAATAGTATCCTTGTTCAAAAACAATTTCTTTACCAACATTTCTGAAACTGTTTCTTAAATACGTAGATAATTCTTCCTTTAACTGTGTATTCATATTCATAATCTCAAAAATCTTTTTTCATTCTAATTCAAAATTAATTTAGGAAAAAACCATAAGTGGCGCTAGTTTCCTGATCAAATAACAATAATGGGACAATGACTTGTTGTGCTTAAAAGCATTATTGTTAGCAAAAAAATCCTATGTATTCTTTAAAAATAGTTTAGTTTTCTTTTAGGAAGGAAAAGCACTTCCAAACATACTTTAATTCAATGTGATAATAAAATGATACTCTGCATAGAAATGATTCATACAAGTGATTTTGTAATATATACTGTTGAATGGATCAATGCAGTTGTGCATCACATCTGAATACTTATTTCTGGTAAGTGATACATGTTTTCTCTTTTCCATATTTTTAAATGGAACTAGTTCTAATAAATCTCTTAAGGTTCATTGACCCTCTGATAAGAAAGATAACTCTGACTAAGATAAATGTCTATTATTTAAAAATTAAACGGCCATTGTCGAAATTTGTCTTGCAACATACAATATACAGACAAACCTTGTTATCTCGAACTCGATGGGACTTAGAAGAAACTTCGAGATATCAGAGGATTTGATATATCGAGGATAAAATACTTAAAAAATAAGTGGTGTTGGGACTTCCAAATCACTTCGACATATCCCTGGTATTCGAGATATCAATGTTCGAGATACCAAAGTTCAACTGTATATTCGCATATAAGTCAGATTTTTGGTAGTTAAATTTTGGTCCAAAACTCTATGTCCAACTTAAAAGTAAGTCTTTCCATGGCTTTCCAGCAATTATTGCTGACATTTGAAGGATTCTTTCAGGCAGGTTACCGTATGCATAAAGTACAATTTGTTTTGTTTTGTTTTGTTTTTTAAATCTATTATTATCAAAATTGTTGATAAAAGATCAAATATTGCTGTCATACCCCAAAACATACAATGTACTTTAAAAGTAGAGTAAATATAGTAGTATACTGATATGAATTTGTAATTGATTCTGTTAAAAATTGTATCATCTTATAATTGAGTCAAGGGCAAATTCCTCCAAAAATAACCTGAAAATATACAACTGACTTATAAATGAACTGATTAATATGTGATTATATGTTAAATTTTTGTGCATTTCAATTAGCAGTATAAAAGTTTGTTTTGGAAAATCATAGAATTTAAAGCCAATTTTTATTTAAAAGAACAGAGGGAGATGAACCTAAATAGTATTTTTCAACATAATATTACAATGAATGTTTGAACTCCATGCAACAGTCCTCATTACAATAAATGTTTGGACTCTATGTAACAGTCCTCATTACAATGAATGTTTGGACTCTATGTAATAGTCCTCATTACAATGAATGTTTGGACACCATGTCAAAACATTCATTGTAATGAGGACTATTACATGGAGTCCAAGGAGTCCAAACATTCATTGTAATGGGGACTAATACATAGAGTCCAAACATTCATTGTAATGAGGACTATTACATAGAGTCCAAACATTCACTGTAATGAGGACATTACATAGAGACCAAACATTTATTGTAATGAGGACTATTACATGTACATGGAGTCCAAACATTCATTGTAATGAGGACTATTACATAGAGTCCAAACATTCAATGTAATGAGGACATTACATAGAGACCAAACATTTATTGTAATGAGGACTATTACATGGAGTCCAAACATTCATTGTAATGGGAACTATTACATAGAGTCCAAACATTCATTGTAATGAGGACTATTACATAGAGTCCAAACATTTATTGTAATGAGGACTGTTACATAGAGTCCAAACATTCATTGTAATGAGGACTGTTACATAGAGTCCAAACATTTATTGTAATGAGGACTATTTACATAGAGTCCAAACATTCATTGTAATGAGGACTATTACATAGAGTCCAAACATTCATTGTAATGAGGACTAATTACATAGAGTCCAAACATTTATTGTAATGAGGACTATTACATGGAGTCCAAACATTCATTGTAATGAGGACTGTTATATGGAGTCCAAACATTCATTGTAATGAGGACTATTACATAGAGTCCAAACATTTATTGTAATGAGGACTATTACATGGAGTCCATACATTCATTGTAATGAGGACTGTTACATAGAGTCCAAACATTCATTGTAATGAGGACTATTTACATAGAGTCCAAACATTCATTTCATTGTAACGAGGACTATTACATAGAGTCCAAACATTTATTGTAATGAGGACTATTACATGGAGTCCAAACATTCATTGTAATGAGGACTGTTATATGGAGTCCAAACATTCATTGTAATGAGGACTAATTACATAGAGTCCAAACATTTATTGTAATGAGGACTATTACATGGAGTCCATACATTCATTGTAATGAGGACTGTTATATGGAGTCCAAACATTCATTGTAATGAGGACTATTACATAGAGTCCAAACATTCATTGTAATGAGGACTGTTACATAGAGTCCAAACATTCATTGTAATGAGGACTGCATAATTTATCCCACATTTTCAACTATTGTTGTCCTTAAATATAGTGTTGCATCACGCTGAGGTATAAACAGGATTGGATAACTATGGAAAACATTTCCTAAGTCCTTAAGTGCTCTAAGTGTCTCAATCTCCTAACAAACTTGATCCATTTTGACCTTTCCGATGACAAACATGTGTGTACTTTTCCTCTCACTTTTATGTGAATTGATGATTAAATATGTAGTACATGTTCATTGTACATGTATATAACACATAGCTTCAGATTCCCAAAGCTTTATCAGTGGAACTGAAACAATGCATGTAAACTCCCACCAACATACAATTCTCAATATTAATGATTACCTGGCAAGCATGTTTACTTATTATCTGAGAAAGCATAAAACACCATGCCCTGATATTTATATAGCTATAATAAGATCCAGGTTGGACTACCGATGAGTGGCAGACCCTGGAACATTTCCAAAATATGCCTGAAACATTCAGTTGTCAGGCCCTAGCTCTTCTGTTGGCACACATGGTGCTGGGTGGCAATTACTTTACATACATAAATTTCCCATCTCCATTTAATAATTCACAAACGATGCAAACAATACTCTGACTAAGACCTAATAGAAATATATTTCAGATATCATTAAAAGAATTTCTATTTGTTTCTTTTTTCATTCATATATATTGTAACTATTTTAGCTGATTTTAGCTAAGATATATTCCTGGCTGAATAGCATGAGCAACAATCTTTCTAAAAGCATTTTTTTCATCACAATACAAAGGTCAGTCACTGCAATTATAATGGACTTCTAATACTGTAACCTTCACAGACTTTCAACTTATCATTAATTTTATTAAAACAGGAAACTACATATATAAAATAAACTTTGAATTTTCTTCCTATTTTTCCTGTTATTGCATTACTATAAATAATGTATGTCAAACATCAGGTGTTAAATTTCTTCCCTGAGAATTACTTCCCTTTTATCTCCTCGTGAAAACAATGAATAACTTTATTAATAAGCTGAGATCAAATCCTTTTTATGTACATTTGATTATAACAGAGAAAATCACACTTGCTTTGCATTCTAAATCAATAATCAATTCACAGCATCTACACTGTCAAATGAAGCCGTGGCTAACTAAGACCCCAAGTCTAATATGACAATAATCATCAGAAATTCAATTTTTTGTAGATGTGAATAAAAAGTTAAATCCATCAACAGCCGAATGAGTGAGGTCAAGGAACTGGGACATTTTTCATTACAATTTAACCCTCACACCAAAACTGTTATCCATTTCCCAACTGTGAATTCTGAGACAAGATTGAAAAAGTCATCATTAAGATTTGAACCTACAACCTTTGAAATGCCAGACAAAAGCACTGAATTTAAGTCATTTCCCCCTACCTTGAGTGTGATCTGATGAAAACCTGCTACTGAATTTCATCTGGTCATGACTCAAAAAGGAATCCCCATTCTGTGCCAGTTATTTTTTTTTAGAAAAGATTTCTAAATACTTTATTCAAATTCATTAAATATATATGTATAGAAATATCCTATGCATGATTTGCAAGAAGAATATAAAGTAAACTTTAAAACAGAGCTTATACAACACTTTCATCCATTTAGAGGTCCATGCACCACAATGCTCACCTGAGTCATCATAGCCCTGCTGTTTTTCAAAACATTTAAAAACTAGAAATAAGTCCATAGGACATGAATGCCCCGCCTAATGTGACATTTGTGATGCATTCTTAAAAAAACAGAGATTTCTTGGTATCTTCTCATGGCCCAAGGTTAAATGTAAGGTCTAGGTTAGAAAATGTCAATGCAGTTGAATAGCTCTTATCAATTTGTATCAGCATACAAAGTTTCATAAAAATATTTTAAATAGTTTCTTTGAAATTGAACTAAACAGACATTTTTGGAAAGTATAGTCACGGTCAAAAGAGTTCATAAAATGCTAATGCAGTTGAATAGCTTGCATTAGTATGTATGACCATATGAAATTTGATAACAATATCTTGAATGGTTTCTTTGAAACTGATCTAAACACTTATTCAAGAAAAGTGAGGTCAAGGTCAAAGGAAAGGTCAAGGTCAGAAAATGTTTCTGCAGTTGAATAACTGAAATCAGTATGTATCAGCATATGAAGTTTGATAACAATATCTTGAATAGTTTATTTGAAACCAAGCTTTGAACTGAGTTAAATTCAAAGTGTGATGGAAAGACAAACAGAACATAGAAATTCTGTTGTATGTTCCTAATAAAAATTTTGGACCAAATATCAAAGCAACTTACCCGAGGATCTATGATTTTAAAAGTAACTGAACTTAAATCCACACAATATGAGGGATGCTTTAATGTCAACATGATTAAACATTTTTCCTGTACACATGTGCATTATATAAAATGTAATTCCAAATTTCAGTGAAATCCTAACCCCTGTGTTCATAATTGAAAAATTTAAATCCATACAACAAAGGAAGGTTTGCAGATCAATCTGATTCAGTGTGGCTCTGTTACTCTTGATTGATTAACAAACAAAAAAAAATTCCTATATATTCCAATGTTAAAACTCTGATACCCTTATTGTGGTCCCCTTTACCCACTAGGACCATGATTTGAACAAACCAAACTTGAATCTGCACTACCTACGAATGCTTGCTTGCATAATAATATCATTAATCATGAAACTGTTATTCTTGAAGAGTTTTTAATCCCCCCCCCCCCCATATATTCCTATGTAAAACTTTGATCCCTTGTGGCTCCATTCAGTGATACTATCCTATGGGTGCCATGATTTGAAGAAACTTGAATGTACACAATGTAATGAATGTACACAATGTAATGAACTTTTTCTGGCCCAGTGGTACTTGAGAAGTTTTTGAAGAAACCCACCCAGGGGTTGAAATTTTCCTGGAAATCCCACTAGCCCAGGGGCTACTGATCAGGAAAAAATTACTAGCCCAAACCTCAAACTAACTAGCCCAACAATTTTTTTATGCAAAATGAAAACAAAAAGTTAAAGTTTTGAATGTTTTGGTGACAGAAACAAATTAAACTAGTTCTCAGTCAAAAGAAACCAGTCTTCATAGAAAAATGAAAGTAAACTGACGAGAATTTTTTTCTGTTCTGCTAGTCCGACAGACTATCGTTACGTTTAAATAAGCTAGCCCGAGTCTTAAAATAACTAGCCCCGGGCGTCAGGCTACCGTATATTTCAACCCCTGAACCCACCCAATTTTTGCCTTTTCTTAATTATCTCCCATTTGATGAAAGAAACAGTGAGCAAGCTCACATACCCCACGCTCCCCCAAAACTCGACAATGCAAAACGTAATGAATGGCACAGTGCATTTTAAATACACAGTATAATTCAAAAAGGGGAAAAAAATCATCACATCAAAACTACTTGCATATAAGGACATTCAAATCTTTTAATGTTACAAATTTAATTGGGCTGAAGTTTCTAGATAAATAATAGAATAAAAATTTCTTGGTAATATACAAATCTATACATCATGTCTGAAATACCTACAAAGTTCCAGGAAATCAGTGCAGGAGTTATGCTGACAAACTGTTATTTAAATTCCTCAGTGATTTCGATTTGTTAATGAGTGTAAGTCCATGTCCAACACATGACAAATTACACATTTAAATAATGATGGAAACAAAATTATGATGTAGTCATATGAATTTGTTTATATATTGTACTTATGAAATTATTTAAGGCAAAGCACCAATTTGAGAGGGGGGGGGGGGGGGGGGAGGGGAAGAACTATCCAAGATTGTGTGTGTGTGTGTGTGTGTGTGTGTGTGTGTGTTTTAAATCATTAATATTTTGATCTCAAAATCAATAGGGGTCTTTTTAAGGTCTTAAAATATTTCACATAAAATTTCATTACAAAAGCTGATTCTAGTGGATTTCCTTATTACCTAACTGGAAAGTTTCTGCAATAATAGGTAAAACTCTTACGGCAAAAATAATGGAATCAGAATTTCCTGGTAATATGCACATCTACACACTGTGTACTAAAAATCTGCAAAGTTTGACCAAATTCTGTACAGCGGTTTATGAGGATTTGCGGTGACAATCTGTTCATCTCTCTATTCAAGATATGGCCAAAAATCTAAGTTGAAAAGTGCCAAAATTCCCAGAAAAATAATGGAATCGGAATTTCCTGGTAATATGCACATCTACACTATGTACTAAATATCTGCAAAGTTTGACCAAATTCTGTGCAGCGGTTTAAGAGGAGTTGAGCTGACAAACTGTTCATCTCTCTATTCAAGATATGGCCAAAAATCTAAGTTGAAAAGTGCCAAAATTCCCAGAAAAATAATGAAATCAAAATTTCCTGGTAATATGCACATCTACACACTGTGTACTAAATATCTGCAAAGTTTGACCAAATTCTGTGCAGCGGTTTAAGAAGAGTTGCGCTGACAAACTCTTCATCTCTATATTCAAGATATGGCCAAAAATCTATGTTGAAAAGTGCCAAAATTCCCAGAAAAATAATGGAATCGGAATTTCCTGGTAATATGCACATCTACACATTGTGTCCTAAATATCTGTTTGACAAAATTCTGTGCAGCGGTTTATGAGGAGTTGCGCTGATAAAAAAACAGGACTGACGGACTGACTGACTGACTGACACACTGACTGACTGACTGACGGACGGGTCAAAAACATTACTAGTATACGTCATGCAACTTGTTGCGTGGGGTATAAATATAACTTGAAACCCTTCACCAAAGGATGCTTTATGGGAAGTCTGGTTGATATTGGTAAAGTGGTGCTGTAGAGGACATCAAAAATATGAAATTTTTACAGACAGACAGACAGACACACATAGATAGAGGACAGACAACATCAGAAAAACTCATTTAAACCTTTAATTGCTTCAGGTGAGCAAAAAACATTTTTTTCCACATGAAAAGGTCAGGGCATACTGTGAGACTTTTTAAACAATTGATCTATCTCATTTTTTGTTTTTTTTTTTACAATTTTTACTCCATAATCTACATTCAAACCAATACCTTCATCATATTTTCCTGACCCCTGGAACTCGGGATGTTTTTCTACTTCATATGTTTTTGGAGGATCTGAAAAATAGGAATTGCGATGTTAATAAAATAAAACTTCCAAATTAATTATTTACATGAATTGCATAAGCTACTTGTATTTTATGAAACCCCTTTACTGTCACTTTGATGATTCTTTTTGACAACAGGACTGATTTTACAAACCTTTAACTTCAATTTATGTGATCTTATTATGATAACCTATATACAAAGTAACTGCAACAGTTAAAATGAATGTGGCAGTTGAGAGTTTTTCTCCTAAAAGATGTAGGTTTTATAAACATCACTGAAGAAAAGTTAACATGAAGGAATAAATAAAATTCTTAATGAGATGTTTACTAATGGTGAATACATGTAACACCTAATGAACACTGATGCGTTAATGAAATCTCCTTATAGAAATTATCATTTACATTTGTCAGCAAAGTGAATGACATTTACAATTTATATGCACTTACGTACAACATACATGATTTTGATGATGTTTTGCAGTCCTATTGCAACTTAATATATGAAGAAAAAAAAAAATCATTATTTCACTTCAGGAAATAAATCTGATCTAGAAGACAATTACCAGTGCATGTATGAGATTTTCATTTATCAAAAACAAATACCTTTATTTTTGTTTTGTTTCTGTAATAGCTTAAGCCACTAATAGAAATGATCTTGACCAAAAAAAATTAATGATTAGATGTTCACAGTTGGACAAAGTTCATTCAAACAAACGTACATGTACCTTTATTCAATACGTAACGTACAAGTGAAGGAAAAGCGGACATTTGAGTGAGTGCTTAAAATTGGCAGGAGTTCTGCATCACATAAAAATATTACCTGTGAAGCAGGATTAAAATAATCTTTCATAATTGGTGCAGATGAATTAAATACACTAAATATAATAGTTTATCTATGAAACATAATTTATATTGATATAAACCTGAATTTGACCAAAATAACCACACCCTGATTTCATTGAAAACCATTAAGTAACAAAGACAATGGAAAAGGGAAGGGGTTATGGATAAATAGTAAGCAAAATGAATTACATGTATAATCAAATTAAAAATGCATCAAAATATTGTTGCATTGAAAGGAATTCTATCTTAAAGCTTGCACAGAAGGCTTTTTAAGATGTTAACAGCTGCATTAAGTGTTTTAAATTAAAATTAACATAACTGTCCTTACATAAATTATCATTCTCTTACTAAACGTCCATATTTTTTTATTTCTATCACTAACTGGAAATGTCTCATTTTCATATGTTAATAAATATACATTGGGAAAAAACAGTTACATCAAAACACACAGCATGGTAAATACAGGAAGTCTAACTCATAACAGCAGAATTTCCATTTAGTACTATAAAATCAAGTATCAGTTAACATAACAAGAGGTCCATGGGCCACATTGCTCACCTGAGCACTGTGGCTAGGAAAAAAAGCAAAAATCAGTTCAATATTGAAAAGCTTAAGGTTTTGCCAAAGGAAGGTCAAGATGTCCAAAAATTTATTTTTACAATAGCTCCAAAACTATGCGAGGTATAAAGTTAAAACTTTTACAGTTTATAAATATATCATTGATTAACAGATAGAAAGTATCACTTAAAAACAATTATTCAAAAAAGAAATATTTTTTGAGAAAAAAATTTCAAAAAATTCGCATATCAAAAAAAATGCACCTGGTTAATTCTGTACTTTTAGTGAAAACCATAATTGCAGAAATAATATATGTTTATCAATGAAGGGCAAGTTGGACATGCATGGTCTCTGAAAGGCTGTTATTGAAAGCATGACATGTATAAAGACAAGACGCCTATAAAATCCGCCATTTGCAATGTACTTTTGGTTTCAAATCTTAACATTTGGACATAATAAACAGGGAAAACAACTTTCCAGAGGTTATTGAAGTCCAGCTTGCCCTTCATTGATAAACATATTTGTTTAAATGTTAAACAAACATTGTTTATGCAATAATGGCTTTCACTAAAAGTACGGAATTAATTAGGTGTATTTAAAAAAAAATATGCATTTTTTTAAAAGAATTTTTCTCGATAAATACTTTCTTTAAGTATTTGTAATCATGTGATACTATCTATCTGTTAATCAATTATATATTTATAAACTGTAAAAGTTTTAACTTTATAAACCACATAGTTTTGGAGCTATTGTAAAAATAAATTTTTGGACATGTTGACCTGTAGCAAAACCTTAAAAACATAAGTGGTCCCAACCTTTCCCTAAAAAAGGGATGGGGTGTTAAATGAACAAACTTGAATATACACTAACTAAGGATGCTTACATATTTCTTTGACTAACTGTGGCTTTTTTCCTATAAGATTGAAATTTCATTGTGATCCCCCCATGATTTGAACAAATATGAATCTACACTACCTGAGGATGCTTCCATATAAATATGACCAATCATAGCTTTGCTGTTCTTGAAAAGAAGATTTTTAAAAAAAATTCTTATGTATTCCCATGTATAACTTTGCTTGTCCATTGTGGACCCACCCTACCCCTGGAGGTCATGATTTGAACAAACTTGAATCTACACTACCTGAGGATACTTCTGCATAGATAATAACCAGTGATGAATTTGCTGTTCTTGAGAAGACGATTTTTCATACTATATACAGGGGCTGACAAATCCCATTGCCCGACGCACGGGGCTAGTGAATTTTAGAGGAAGGCAAGTGAATCTTTAATAGGCACTTGTCCGTTGGCAAGTAACTTTAAAAAATCAATCCATAATTTTAAAAAAAATGTCCTAGTTTTACACGAAATTGAAACTATTTTGTCGTAAGAGTTATCTTCCTTTGCTTGTCACACTTCGAAAGTGATCTTTCATTATCAATTCATTACAAGTCTTACTGAAAGTTTAAGTGAACCGAAAGAGACGAATTGGCATTGGAGAAATGGAGAAAGTTTAAACAAATAGGCGGCAGAAAAACAATCAGAGCTGATGAAAAGTACATCGTCAACACTCATAGTCTGGTTAATAACGATGTTATTGATATAATGGTCTAAGCATACTAAGTATGAGGAAAAAAAAACAATGGAAACAATTATTCCTACCAAATGGCAAAAGACATGTGTAGGGCTGAATAATACAATAGCAACACGAATGGTATGGTACTTCGTACTTTTTGGCAGTAGTTTTCAACTGTCACCAATATTCAGAACAACACATTCAATTTAAGTTTGCAAAATTACGGTGATTACGGGGCATTTCGGTGATTCTTAGAACCAAAAATTTTCTGATTTGGTGACAAATTTATTCATTATGATGAATATGAAATGCTGGATAGTAGACTACATTGAAAGAATGAAAGGGAATATGTTTTGTTGTTTTAGATGAAATTGAAACTATTTTGTCATAAGATTTATCTTTAATTTGTAGTTTATGGTGGGGCAAGTAAAAATTGAAGTAGGGCAAGTGAATTTTGACCATGCACTTGCCCGTGGGCAAGTGCTTGAAAAATCTGTTTCTCAGCCCCTGATATATGTAAAACTGTGTAAAACTTTGATCATCCATTGTGGGCCCATCCTACCCCAGGGGGTCATGATTTGAACAATCTTGAATCTACACTATCTGAGGATAATTCCACATGAGTTTTGTCTTTCCTGTCACAGTGGTTCTTGAGAAGAAGATTTTTTAAAGATGCCATTAATTTTTCATTAATTTGTAATTATCTCCCCTTATAAGAGGGTGTAGCCCTTCATTTGAACAAATTTGAATCCCCTTCACCAAAGGATACTCTGTTCCAAGTTTGGTTGAAATTGACCCAGTGGTTCTGGAGAAGAAGATGAAATTGTGAAAAGTTTACAACAACGACGATGACACGATGACAATGATAGACAACAGAGAGATTTTGATCAGAAAAGCTCACTTGAGCCTTTGGCTCAGGTGAGCTATTAAATAAACTCTTACCCCCCCCCCCCCCCCCCACCTATTTATCATAAATTAAATGCATGGAGAAATATCTGTAAGTCTTGTTTGGAAACCCTATAAAAAAAGCTCTGAGAACTAACCTAAAAACTAAGCTGAGCTATACAGACAGTGAGATAGACAGACAATAAGATAGACTAAGTGCTTCTAATGCCCTGTTCACACGAAGAGTTTAATTCGCAGTAAATTAATATGAAGTAAAATGATGCGAATTAAACTAATGCGAATTAAATTGTGTTCACACGACAGCTAGTAAACTAATGCGAATTATAATTTTATTTCTACAACATGGCTACATGTATTCAGTGAGGCTATTATGACGTCATTTACAAATCACGTCATATCGTGCAGATATTATATAATGTCATATAGGGTCTCTGTACATATTTTAGTGATTAACATAATTTTCCTTTGTTTTCCACTCAAAATTAGCACAAGTATGTATATTTGACCATCGACCTGTGGCCTGTGACTTAATTCTAACCTTACGCATGCGTCAAAATTTAATTCGAATTAACTTTGCTTAGCGTTCACACGGAGCTAATGCAAAGTAATTTAATGCACAGTAAACTAATTCGAATTAAACTATTAATTCGCATTAAATTCTCCATGTGAACGCAGATCAAATTTAATTCACAAAAACTTATGTTTAATTCAAATTAAACTCTCCATGTGAACAGGGCATAATATACCACCTATAGCTTAATTGTGGGAATAGAAAATCTCAATCCCAAGGCATTGTACCTATTTCTTGTCCATAGCCAAGACTAGTAACTTTTCAGAATTAAGAGATAAAAAAATCCTTAGTAATTTCTCTTACTATTTTGAAAAATTGGACTTAGGGGTAGCAAGATATCTATGCATACATATGCTATCATAATGACATAATTCTGAACATGCCTTGACGACGGTATAACTCCTGTACACAGTTTCCGTATAAAGTTTCAATCTCCTCCCTAAATGTCACTTTGTTCTGATTCAATAGATTAGGTCCCTCTTCATCACTCACATTGTCATAGAAACAACAGTCCTCCAACTGAATTATGGGTACATTTGGTGTGACGTACTCTTCCTCTGCTATATATCGACTCAGTCTCTTTTCTGCCCCCTCTTTTGATCTTTCAAGAGTTTTGACTACCCCATTTGGATTTTTTATCAGTGGATTTCCACTTTGCATCACATTTTCTAAAATTTGTTTGTGATTCAACATACTTCCACAAATTTCCGCCCCACCATTATTGTAGATGTTGTCCACTTCTTCATATATCTCTTCATTGTTATATGTTAAATCTTCATCATCCAGAATTGTTACATACGTATGAGGATCCTCTGCTATATGTGAAGTGCCACTGTTTTGATAGATACATTCCCTTTCATCCATATTTAACAGTCGGTCCCCAAGTGTCCACTTAAAATACATCAGTCTAATCAACTCCTAACATGGATACAATTTCTACACGGATCTGACTGGCGAAACTCAAATAGGAAAAACCACTTTGTGAACACCACCATTTTTAACAAATAACCATAACTTCACACATGAACCACGGATTAAAAAGCACTTAAATGACATGTGAAGATCACTAACGTCCACAGAGAGGAGCCTTATAAAGTTTAAGACACACACATCCCATATTTAGTTCACAAATACCATGTCTTAAGAGTAATTTCTTATCACAAGTTTTGGGTCTCAATTTATACTCTAAAATTGGCTATTTTGTATTAATCTCTTTCAAAGTATCCATAAATTAGCATTCTAGATTTAGTTCCCACAACAATGTCAACATATCTGTTGAATCAACAATATGTTTACAATTCTAAATCATATAAACATTTTCATTCCAACATCAATTAATAAACTAGAGAGGACTAAACTGTTACTCATTATAATCAAGTTTTAAAATTACTTTCAGGAAATTGTAGTTAAAAGAATATGTGATGCAGATACATGATTCATGTGTTATTTCATATAATTTCCTCATACAAATTTGTGTTCTGGGTTATAACAATAATTAGTTATACATTTCATATCTCCATAAAGACATCTACACTTATAGAAAATGAGCATGCAAAGCAAGTGGAACTTGATGGGAAATTGAGACTGGGCATTTTGTAGGGGTTGCACCTGAGCAGATAAGCATTTTGTGTTGCATTAATGTCACTTACTTTGTGATATTCTAACAGTTTTCTTTTTTGTATCTGCTAAAATAGCCCAACAGAAGAAGAAATATTTTGTCAATCAAAGCCTTAATATCATGACAAAATGCATATTAACTACTTGATATACTCTCTTAATTAGTATTCTAACTGATATTTCTTGTGCCCATGGAGTAAACACATGAAAACACACACACACACACTCAAGAATACAATAAGAGAAACTTAAAATGAAGTGCTGGATCACGAAAACCACAGGTAATAAAAATTACTTCACTGTAAGCATGAATTCATTTGAAATGTGTTCACTGTATCCATATTTTACTGTAAATTATGGCTTAGTTTACTTTCTATCTACAGTAATATTTCTCCTGTATGAAATATTTCTATTACAATGGTAATACCTTTCTTGGTTTGTTTCTTCTTGTACATTCTCCCTTGCTCTGTGGATGCCTGCAGACTTTTCCCGCTGTGGATGCCATATGGATGCTCAGTTACGGAAGTCTGTTTCCGAGCTTTGAACAGATTGAGATGGTCATAACTTCCACTGAAGTCCACAGGTGTGTCATACAGAGGTTCACCGGTAGTGGGATCAATATGGCTGCTATCTGATTCTGTAGGCAACAACCAAAGGGTTTCTTACTTTAATTCATATTAACACCTTGACAATATACCCTTGAAACAATATACAGTAAAACTCGGTTATAGTGAAGTCTTGGGGACCTGCGAAACTACTTCGCTATATCTGTAATTTGTTATATACACATAAAAAAATTTGTTAAAGTATATAATTTATGGCAAACTCACTGTATAACTTTTTCCCTTAAATATGACTACCAAATGTGTTTTGGGAAATATTACAAACAAAAGTTACCTTGGAATTCAACAATTTTGGGATGAATTGAATTTTACATTTAAAATACTTACAAAAATAGTATCAGCTCAATATTTTAAAATAAAGATCTTTTATTCGTTATTTTAATCCTCTAGCGGACATACACCGGTAATCAGTTTGCTGTATCTGTAATTTTGCTATATCCGAGTTTGTTATATCTGTAAAAATTTACAAGGAATTAATTGTTAAGAATATTGCTGGGGATTCAAAAAAACTTCGCTATGTCCGTAAATTCACAAAATCTGTGTTCGTACTAAACGATTTTGGCTGAAAAAGATTTCCATAGCCATGATTAACAACATACAGTCAAACTTCCTTATCTCAAACTCAATGGGACAGAGAATAAAGTTCGAGATATCCAAGAATTATCAAGGACAAAATACTTAGAGAATAAGTGTTAGGGACTTCTAAATCACTTCGACATATCCATGGTATTCATGATTGCAGTGCTCGAGATACTGAAGTTCAACTGTATATTACAGAAAATTTCAATCCACAGTTCAAAGTTATTAACTTTACTAGATTTGTATCATAATTTTAACATCTCATTTCTCTGTAACTTGACCTATGAAATATGACCTTGAGTAAAGATCAACCAAAACGTTTAGGTGACGGGAATTCATTCCAACCAACGGTTACAGGGTTAAGGTTGTGAATCAGTTTTTGTGACACACAGACAGATATGCCAAAACCAATGTTTCCTCTCTTTAGGAGACATATCTTTTTATTCCGTACAATCTATTGCAATAGGTAAACACATGCATTTTATCAGAGATACCACATATTGTGGTAAAAAAGTAAAATCATTACACATCAGTGTACCGGTACATCGTATATTGACATCACCAACTCCTATACTTGTACATGTATCTGCATCTATCAGCAAAATGTAAAATGTACTTTGGAGACACTGTCTTATGCATGTACATTCCTTACACTTCATGACTGAAATCTCCTTACCTTTCCCATTTGCCACTTTGGGTGGTTTACTACCCCCCTTTACAGACTCTCTTGGGTCAGTGTAGTCATCAGACCACGGTGGATCATATGGAGAGGGTTTCTTCTCTACTGCCTCTTTTACAGGTGCAACACATTCATAGAGATTCTCTTCAGGAATGTGTTCAGGGACAAAGTTAGGATCCAGATTACTATTCCTAGCCAAGGAATATATACTGGGTTTCACCATGCCTGGCAGAGGTTGTGGTGCTGTCTTATAGGCTGAAGGTTTCCATGGATTCTTCTCCTCTGAAGAGGAAAGCCCTTGAGTTCCTGACCTAGGGGAAGAGATGTCCCCTGATGAATCTGACCTTGGGGATTCAAGTGTGTCACCTGATCCTGAGTGAGGGGATTTCGTTTCTCTTCCTACTAAGTTGTATTCATCTATATTCCCCTCCCAGGATTCTACTATTTTTAACACATGGCCAGCAGACCCACTCTTAGAGGACTTGTCTGAAGCATCACTATCATCATTAATTTGGGGAGGGATGAGAGAATCCTCCTGGTCCGTTTGTAATTCTGGAATCACAGATGGGGAGGAATGTGATTGTGTTAAAGTAATGGCTATGTCACTGGCTGGTTCAATCAAACTATTGTTTGTTTTATTACTAAGTGGTTGAGGATTTTTTTTATCACTTGGTTTGACACTCCATGCATCAGAGTACTGAGAGGATTGGTCTTCTTCAGGTGATAAGCTGTCTGGTCTCAATTCCTCTCTCTGAACCTAAGAATGGAAGATAGACATTTTTAATGTGACCTCTCATGAAACACATTTGAATAAATTTAAACAAATGCTTGCATCTAACATGCATACTATACAAATCAAAAGTCTCATTCATTTTTTTCCAAAATTTCTGAAATTTCATGGGTTTATAACCAAGAGTTATTCTGTTAGAAATTAATGATTTTCCTTTCTCTAGGAAGTAATGAATATTAATTTCTTAGAAATTTAAAAAAAAAAAATCTACAAAAGATAAACAAAATTTAATCTCACACATACATTTTTGTTTTGACAGTGTATTAATTTCTTTACAAAAAACATTCTGACTGGTGACTGAATATATCTAACTTCCCTACAGATTACTTTTAATGAATACTCACAGATATAGCATCAGTGTATTCATTATTCTCCAGGACCCCTTGTATGTCATCTACAGTGTAATCCTCCCCATCAGAATCCTCCTCAGTGTGGGACCCTGTTAACTTGGCCACATTCAAAATCTCGGCCTGAGACAGCCCCTGAATGGCCTCAGCCTGCTCAATCTAAAGAACATGGAATAGAATATTTATTCAGATGAGTTCACCTGCATGAAAGGTATTTGAATCTTAATAACAGTTAATGCTACATTAAGGTAAATTCAACTGCTACATAATTATCAGTAAAAATATTGATCCTTTGAGTAATTATCCAAATACCATAATTAAATAAGAAAAGTTCATTTCTGAATTTAAGTTATTCACATATAACTATATATGACTCATTTTAATAGACAAAAAATACTGTCATCAAACATGCACCTTATAATGTTATTTCTATTGAAGCCTTTGATATTCCAATGCACATGTATTCCTTATTGCTGGATAAATTCTAGCTATAGTGAAGTACTGGCATATGTGTTATCATGAATGGAGAAATGTTTGAGCATGGGTCTTTATCATTAATTTTATTATCACTAATTCTTTGATCAGGAAAACTGTATATTAATCCCCATGCAATATATTCTTTAAATTTTAAAACCATATCACATACAATTATTATGTTTTCCTAATTTTTTGCAAAAATATCCTTTACACCAAAAGTTCAGGAAAACGAAATTGCAAAAATAAATTATCCTTACCAAATTTTCAACATTTACAGTAAACCTGCAGTGCATCAAGCACCTTATTTGTACAGCCTGCTAGGTGGAAATTTCTATGTGTGTGTGTATGTTTTGTTTGTTTTGTTTTTTTTATTATGTGAGAATGCAAACAGCATATTCTCTACATATATCCTCATGACTTCAATGAAAAAAATGTGTTCATTTTAAACCACAGACTAAATCTGACTGTCACTTAACATAACATTTAAGCATGCATGACCAAGAGCATACTCAAAACAAGATTTTAGTAAATATCACAAAGATTCTCATAGAAGCTCAACTTGGTCAGGAAGTACATACCTCAACTTACATCCTGGATCATGTCATTATAATTACTAAGAAACTCCAAAGTGATTATTATCTCTGGAGTATGTCAGATACTCATGCATAGTAGAAATATTTTATAATCTTGAAGTTCTATTTATTTACTATGTATCCTGCAGTGCATATACATGTGCAATGTCTTTGTGAGGTTGATTATTTGTAAATTCAGATTCAACCTTTAAGACTTAAAGTACAAATGTACTCGGTATGTTAAATGGTATGTGGTATGAACTTCATCGAAGAAGACATGAATTTTACTTCCTGTTGAGCATGGTCATTATATGCTGTTCAATTTGATTTATTATTTTTTTTTATCTCTCCAATACACCTTGTATATGATTGCATAATGATGGCAAACAAACACACACACACAAATGAATTGTAAAGAGATTATGAAATAAAAGTTTGAATGAAATTCAGGAACCTTGCTTTGTAGAATTATATAGAAAAAGAGATATAACTTTTGAAATACTCTGAATGTTACTGTAAGAGAATGACAGACAGATTTTTGCCTCCACTTGTATTTGAACCTTGGACCTCTGGCATGCCAGTTTCCTGTTCTACTGATCCAGCTATTACAGAGTTGACCCACTAGCCCAAGCTAGTAAGAATCCTTAAGCCATCCTTCACACACTTTTATCCCAACAATTAAGTAACTGCTCCTTGTGATTCACTGCCTACCATGTTCCAGAAAGATACAGAGCATAACATGTACTCTAGCTCCCTTGTAATTTGATAACTCGATCCTCAAAATAAGTAGGTGTTGTCTATTATAGGGCTGGGTATCGGTTGGAAATTTTGTATTGTGATACATTGTGATATTTGAAAGTGAATTGCGATATGTATTGCAATGTTTTTAATAACAGTAAAAATGCTCTAATTTTCTTATTTCATTAACCTCCATTTATAAGCAGATCGAGTGTATAAAACTTTTACAAATATGTTGTAACAAAAAAGTTCTAGTTGATTTCACTATGGATTGGCAACGAAATGCAACCATACAACAGAAACCTTTACCATTTAGTACTGTTTGGCACAACTGAAAACGTTTCTGACATCTTAAATTTCATATTTTACTTCATAAATCTAAAGCCCAATCATTTTGCCGGTATATCGGTACTGGAAAAACGTATCGTAATACGATATTTTTGTTAACGAATCGCAATATACAGGAATATTGATATTATTGCCTTTGGGTATCTGAGACATTGTAAATTTAGTAAAGATTTATTGGACAGTAATAGAGAACTATTAATTAATTATTACCAAGCTTGTACTAATTGAAATACAGTCATCTTCAATCTGCTGCTTGTCATCCCCATCCATGATTTATTTTCATGTCAACCCTCTTATCTTCATCTCTGTCTGTATAAATCTGTAAATTATCTCAAGCTGCAATGATAAGTAAAATTTAAATACACTCCCTGGTTTCTTCTTTACATCATAGTTTCGATATCTTTCTTACCAGCTTTCTGATGAATGCATGTGCATGAGATAAAAAGTATTTACTAACAACCTAACTTATATAAAATTGTTTACATCTCAATACTGTAGCACTGATTTAAGTGAGGCTAAGCTAAAAATTACAAAAAGACTTTACGATTTTAGTCTCTTGAGATTAAAATCTTGTTAAAATGATTAAAGTCTTAATGCTGGCTATTAATATTGATCATAGTATGAAAATCAACCATTCTTCCTGGACACCTTATATGTATACATAGTACATGCAGTCAGTGGACACACATATGATATAAGGAGTACAACGTAGTTACAGGTATATAATTCCAAGTCAAATATGTCTACAGTCATTATCTCTATATTTTACCACCAAAAGAACACTGTGAAATTCTTTAATTTTCTGTCATGGCTTTTTACCTGATCACGGGATTTTATCAGCTTCAGCTACTGTTTATTTACCTGTCAAGTAATCCGGAAGTCCAATTCCAAGTGCAGCAAGGTTTGTAAGAAGCCATTTGATTGGTTTATATATCAGCTGGATCATCTCAAAAGTTCACTTTGGCGATCAGTTTTGTTTTCCAACTAGCATAATCATAAATGATACCTGATTATTTCAAACAATTTAATTGACTTAGTGTTCTAAACATAGCGGACGGTCTTTGAACATTTTATTTAAATTGAGCAAAAATAAAAAAAAAAAATGTGAAGTTCGAACAAAACTGAGATTATGGGAATTATGTATCCTTAATTCAAATGTATTGTTAAAAATTGAATCGTAATTGGATAATTTTGGTATAAGAGTTCTGACCAAATTATTTTCCAAAAGATGACGAGTGACATACCTTAAGGAGGGATTCTTCTCTAGATCTGGTTTCTGACTTGACGAAATATCCCAAGTATATTTGCTTGTATGTTTTATAAACTTAGCTGTAATGTATTTAAGAGATCATATTTTTCTTTACTCATCATAATTGTACAATTTTAAATAGAAAATGGTAAACTGAGTTTGAAATCCATAAGGGACTATATTTTTGGCGCAACTGCGGCGTATGAAAATATCTCCTTTTCTGCCTATCAAAATCACTTACAGAACATTACATGTGGTTAATTTTTTTTTAAACAATCATAGACTTGAAGAAATTTTGATATGTAACTAAAATTATAAATAATGCCCTAAAGTTTTAAAACATAGCAAATAAAAATGATTTTTTAAACAAACTACAATCTTGTTAGCTTTTGAAAGCCTCCAACCTTAAAACAGATTTGAGCAAAAAATCAGTAAAAAGGGTTTTTTCTCTCTTACTAAACGGTCAAAGCTTTTTGTTTTTGTATCATTTAGTATATTTATATGACTTCTTTAACATATGTAAAAATAAGAAATATTTGAATATAAGAAGCATAAAAAAAAATAACTAATATATCTTCAAAAATTACGAAAAACAGAGGAAATCCGGGTTAGCCAATATCTATTTAAGTTAAACAAGCATTCTGAGAGTATTGCATTAGCAATACTAGTCCCCTACCGGCAAGTGTAATCTGGTTCCCGTTAAGAATTGAAAATGCCATTATTCCGTCAAAAATCAATGAAGCGGGACGAAATGCAAACTTGATCTATAACTAATCAAGGTAAAGTCACATACCAAAAATCAGCTCAATATCTGAAAGCGTTTAGAAGAAAATTGCGGAAAACCTCTAAAAATTGAAAAGGCCGTAATTCCGTCAAAAATCAATGAAGCGGAACGAAATGCAAACTTGATCTGTAACTCATCAAGATACACTCACATACCAAAAATCAGCTCAATATCTGCTAGCGTTTAGGAAAAAAGTGCGGAAAACAAAGTGGGACAGACTGACAGACAGACAGAGGGACAGACAGACAGACGGACAGACGGACAGACAGACAGACAGACAGACAGACGGACGGACAGACTCAGAGGAAACCTATAGTCCCCTCCGGTTTCACCGGTAGGGGACTAATAATGTCAATTAATTCGGTAGAATCATCTGATAGACCCGATATGGTAACATCTTTTTGTGCAAAAAGAAAAACATTTTATCTTTTAAAATAGAAGTAGACATCACATGATTAGCAACAGTAATTTTTAGTCCCCTACCGGTGAAACCGGAGGGGACTATAGGTTTCCTCTGAGTCTGTCCGTCCGTCCGTCCGTCTGTCTGTTCCTCTGTCTGTCAGTCTGTCCCACTTGGTTTTCCGCACTTTTTTCCTAAACGCTTGCAGATATTGAGCTGATTTTTGGTATGTGAGTGTATCTTGATGAGTTGCAGATCAAGTTTGCATTTCGTTTTGCTTCATTGATTTTTGACGGAATTACGGACTTTGCAATTTTTAGGGGTTTTCCGCAATTTTCTTCTAAACGCTTGTAGATATTGAGCTGATTTTTGGTATGTGGCTTTACCTTGATTAGTTATAGATCAAGTTTGCATTTCGTCCCGCTTCATTAATTTTTGACGGAATTATGGCATTTTCAATTCTTAACGGGAACGGAACCAGATTACACTTGCCGGTAGGGGACTAGTATTGCTAATGCAATACTCTCAGAATGCTTGTTTTATTGAAAATACTAGACGTAAAAATATCTATATAATACCCGGTACAGAAAAAAATGCTCTCTTTTCCTCTTTCTGCAAAAATAAAGGGGGTTCCAACACCCGAGCCTCCCACCTCCCTGGATCCGCCAATGGAGTTAAAATTCAACCATTACGATACCTGCACGCTTAAGCCTCTTTTAATTCTGTTGTTAATTTTAAAGGCTACTTTACAATTGTGATAGATACCTAGATCAACATTTCGTATTCACATCATTTCAAGGTCATGATTTTTTTTATCATTACAGCCTATTTAAGCAGGCATAAATAATGAATTTAATTACACCTTTGTAAAATCACTAAACTAGAAATTTTCTTTGAATTTCATTTAGAAACACGTGCACATGGTCCTTTTTTAAAGGACAGCAACTTGTAACTGCTTTTTCTGGTCAGTGTGTTTAGGTGAGCGTTGTGGCCCATGGGCCTCTTGGGTGCAACCCTCGAAAACCTCTCAAGATCCACCACGGGATATATCGTATTGACGCTTAATTTTGGCGACGCAGGTCATTTGATATCGAGGTGTCGGATAACTCAGGATAAGTGACCCGAATTGTTATTCCATACATTTTACAGATGCTTATTTAGAAACACAGGGAAAACGGGAACAAGTGTGCAATGCGAGTTGTTTCCCCTCTCTACACTGTTGTCCGGAGTTGCGTGCTAAACGGAGTGACGAAGTCACAACTAGAGCGTGTACGGTGTGTGTCAACCAAAATGCCGATCCTCTCGCCCCCACCTCAGAGTTTGTTGAAGCCCATGGATTTTCCTCATAAGCTTTTGATGGGACCAGGGCCTTCCAACTGTCCTCCACGTGTACTAAACGCCCAGTCATTTCCATTATTAGGACACCTGCACCCCGAATTTACTCAGGTACTGATTTCGTTGGATGCCGATGAAACTCGTGAAAACAAACACAATACAGTTAAAATATAAAGGAAGAAAATGTTGACTGATGTTGCATTTATGTTATGGATGGCTAGTCATATAGAAATACTCTATGTAGAGGTGTCTACATTAGATAGGTTTATAGGTCGAACAGGAGGGGTCGTCTCAAAGTAATGTTATTGCACAATAAGCATTGTTGTGCATATTATACTTTTTTGATTTGATTGAATGGATATAAATTTACATTGCAAAAAAGACTCCATATGTAAGTTACGGGTATGTAACTCGAGATGTTGTGTATATTTCTCGCCAAGTCAGTGATGTTATTAATGTTGGAAAATCTGTGTTTCGATCAGTATATTTCAATAATCTTTGCGTCAGGTGACCTTTCTGGCCAAAATGTACCTGGAATTAAGTTTCTCTATTTACTTGTACAATGCAAGCATGGTAAACTGGAGTGTTGTCATCTTGAAAAACATACTTGTAATTATTGGTCTACAGACCAATGACCAATAAACTCACTTGTTTCAAATTTTCTGCCATCCGACAAAAAATTGAGAACAAGCGAGTTTATTGGTTTGCACAGATGACTCAAATAAAGGGTTAGGAGGTGGATAAAATATACAGGTTGGTTAAAGAATAAGTCTAGAATTAGGGAGTGAAAGGTAGTTGATTGACCCCTGCTGGAAAGTGGAGAAATTCTCCCCAATCGTGCGAAGAAAATCTTGCGCTGTAAATTACAACATATTTGCATTACGGGATCTGTATCGTTATGATCAGAGACTAAAATGTGAAACCATAATGCAGTTCTGCAGCTAATGAGATTTAATTATTCTGAGCTATTTATCACAGTTAGGTGGCCAACTCCATCTCTATATACTGGTTGTGAAATGCATATTATTTGTGAATTGATTTGTCAAATATGGTCTTTCAGATAATGGATGAAGTGAAAGCTGGTATTCAGTATGCATTCCAAACCAAAAATACATGGACTGTTTGTGTTTCTGGAACAGGTAACTACTGGCACCAATAAATTTAAACTCAATACATATGTGATGAATACAGTTTTTAGTGAATAGTTAGTTCTGATGAAATATTAAAGGGGCTTGGACACAGATTAGAAGTTAATATTTTCTCAAATTTTCAGTATAATATCATGACTCATATGTTGCTAAAGCATTTCACGCTGAAATTTAATAAAAGCATGCTTAGAAACTTCTTTTATCTGGAGATTATTGCTACAAATTTGGTGACACGTTTGATTGACACACATCCTGGCACTTTCATGAAGCAAACTTTATTCTTAATACTTAAGAAAAGTAGAAATTTTGTTGTGTATTAATGAAAAATATTAGAACTATAATCCAGAAAATTCAGAGTAGAAATTTGAGAAAGCAAAACCAACTCACTAGTATTATCAGTCTGTGCTCAGTGATGTGTGCAGAGTTTAACAAATTGAACACACCCGGTAAACTGTAAAGAATGTCGTTGTCTTTGAATTCTAAGAATATTCATTTAAGTTCAATTCATTAAACTGAAGTTATTTTTTTGAATAAACATAGAAATTTAAAATGTAAACAACGCAACTTTGTCTAGGCCCCTTAAAAGTTATAAAGCTTGGAGATACACTGTTGTAAATTGAATTGATATGAAGAGTTATAATTAAGTGTAACTAGAATAAATATTAGGGATGTCAACGAATAGTCGACTATTCGACTATCAGTCGAATGGACCGACGATCGAATAACGAAACGACATTCGAATAAATAAATTCAGTAAAAGAGTGATGAAGAAATGGAATTCTTATCTTAAAATTGAGAAACCGTCTTTCCTCAGACACAGTCGATAAGATAATTTTCCTCATTAAAAACTGCTGACTTTACATGTAGAAAGTACAGTATTTAGAAATGCTTCACTTCCGTGAGTAGTACTTGTCAATTAATATGTTGTTTTAGTAATAAAATTATCTCTCTATACTGGGCTTTGTAAAATTATTAATTGGACTTGATCTCATCCCATGTACCCATTATAGCCGTGACATGTTTGGACACTACGATAATTATTATAAAATTAATATTCTTTTACAAATTTTAAAAACATTTTGATAGCCGGGACAAATTGTATATTCAACTGTTTAACATTATCACAGACACCTGGCATGTGGATATAGTGTGTGTTACCCCCCCCCCCCCCCCCCCAATTATTTTAAAAAAAAATATATAGTACTGACATTTTTTTGCTTACTAAATACGCGTCTTTACAGACCGATTTGTGGAATGATTGACGGGGAAATCATAAATTTTGGAGAAATTAGCGGTATATATTTAGTTAATATAAACGCGCTATCCACATTTTAGGTGCATGTGAACATCTGTGTGTATACATTTGTTGTTACATTTAAATTAATATAAGAAAAGGAGTTTTGGGGTTAAATACGTCATGTACCAATGAAGTTTGAAATAAAATTTTATTTTCCATAAAAGTTTCGAATATATTCGATTCTCGTTCCAATAATGCAATTGAATATTCGACTAAAGAAAATAAATATTTTGACTTCCCTAATAAATATTAATACTTATGACATTTGTAATGTCACAGAATTTTTCTGTAAATATGATCTGAATTTTCTAATTGTTAATAATTTTTTGGCTGTAAAATTATATAGACCCACTATCTTTTATCATTATTGTATATACTCCTCTACCTGAAAATTTTATATAAGTGATGTAGTCAGCAATACTATTTATTATGTAAATAAATATGATATATGTAAAAAATTTGTGTACAATGTTGACTTTAATGTTTTGAAGGTCATGCTGCTATGGAGGCGGCCTGTACGAACCTCCTTGAGCCCGGGGAAACCGTCCTAATTTGTGAGAATGGACTCTGGGGTCAAAGGTTTGCAGACATGTGTACAAGAAACGGTGAGAAATGAACTGTTGTGAGAATTAATGTTATAAAAGGGCATCCTATTTATTATCTCCATCACAGTAAATGTTATTCCTTATAGATTCTGATGAATAAATGTATATATTACAAAGTTAATTACATGTGGACCTGCTGACTTTATAATTTTTGTTGATGTATATTTTACAGTTTTGCAAGTTTCTTTTAAGATATAAGTTCTAGCTAAATCAAATGTAGATTTATTTAAAAAATTTCAGTGTGTATACTGAAATCTACTCTTTCTTCATGACTGTGGTGAAATCTACCTCATGACTTTGTAGGAGCTGTTGTTCAGAAAATAATCAAGCCGATGGGACAAGTATTCACACTCCAGGATGTAGAGGCAGTGAGTTGATCTGTCAGGCAGCATTATACAGTGGATATTGTCATAGTATCATTTTACTGACAATGAAATAATTATTTAAATTAATATTTTATTTACTTTAAACTTTGCCATGCAGGGTCTGCAGCAGCACAAGCCAGTATTAGTGTTTGTGACACATGGTGAATCTTCTGGGGCTACTCTCCAGCCCTTGGAGGGACTGGGGCAGCTCTGTCATAAGTAAATAAGTATTGACTTACCTATCCAACATTTCATAATAGTGTGACATAAAACTCAGTTTGCAAAGTGATCATTGCATGCTGTAATAGTTGAGTCCACTTAGATAGTACGGTTAATGAAATAAAATCTGAAGTGTTTATTTAAGTCAGCAGATTGAATATAAGAGTTTATGTTACATATAGTTTCAAAGCCATTATTATTCACAGCTTCAATTAATGGTTAAGGTTTATACTGTACAGCAGGAAATTAACTTGTGGTGTTAATATTCGCTATATTTGCCGAAATATAAATTCTGCAAATTCAACATACAGGGAATAATTCTTTAAAAATTGATAAGGACGAATTGAAATATTACTGTTGTCTGTGATTAGATTCGTTATCTCTGTTTGTCTGTGCAAACATAAAAGCAGTAATTAATATAGGGGAGATGTAGACTGTCTTCCTAATCATGCAGGAGTACATCAATCACTAACACGGTGGTGTTTTTAAAGCTTAACTGATAAATAAATTTCTATAACTAACATTCAATTTTGCCACCCGGAACAGGTGCAATGTAATTACCTATTAAACATGCATTGTTAAATTTCACCCATGCGTATCACTTGGTCATTACCTTTAATTGACTCAGAGGCACTTACGTAGAAAACATGGAAAAAAAATACTGTTACACATAACTGCATAACTGTAGCGTTATGGTTTTATATTTTAGTCTTTGACAAGTTATGGTCAAAGACTAAAATATCAAAAAACCATAATGCTACAGTTCTGCAGCTACTTTACACATTAATTCAATTATATCAAGAGTTCAACAATTTGACTACGATACTGATAACTTTAACTGATTTAGGTTCGGGTGGATTTAAATATACTGCAGTAAACACTACTCTGTACTCTTATACTCAAACATACCTATAAACGAACACTCGCCGAAGGGCTTTTTTACATGCTGGATGGGACTTAAGAACACTTGAATAAATCACTTAAGTATATACTCATATGTACCCGGTATTTAAAAAATATTTGTCAAAATGAAAGAAAAAACAACCAAAAGAAAGAAAAAGAAAATTTATCTGAATGCATAACATTGTAAATCATACAATGTTTTTACTTCAAATCAGGATCAGTCGGGTGATTCGTTATTAAAATTTAATTGGATTCAGAATCTACACAATATGCAAGGAAAATACTTGGAGTGATGAAAAAAGTTTTTGTATAATTTTTCCTTTCCATGAATTCAAAAGACTGCGATTTGTTGCAAATTGAACAATTCATGATCTTTTCTGACCGAGATTGTAACTTGCTGTACAGTTATCACAAGAAATATTTTCTCTTTTTATTTATCTTTCACTTATCTGCAATATTCTTGAAAAAGTTTTTATTTAATTTTGTAGACATTTTATAGAAATATAATGATTTCTGATATTTTTTCTCAGATATAACAGTCTCTTATTGGTGGACTCTGTGGCAGCCTGTGGAGGGGTACCGCTCTTTGTTGATGAGTGGGGTAAGGTCAGATTTCTATGTCAGTAAATAATATAGCTGTAGTTCTATTAATGAGTGGGTAATGTCAGATTCCTTTATCAATGACCCTTCCACTCTTTGTTGATTAGTGGAGTAAGGTCAGATTTCTTTATCAATTACCCCTCCACTCTTCGTTGATGAGTGGGGTAGGTCAGATTCCTATGTCAGTGACCCCTCCACTCTTTGTTGATGAGTAGGGTAGGTCAGATTTCTATGTCAGTTACCCCTTCACTCTTTGTTGATTAGTGGAGTAAGGTCAGATTTCTATGTCAGTGACCCTTTCACTCTGTTGATGAGTGGGGTAGGTCAGATTCCTATGTCAGTGACCCCTCCACTCTTTGTTGATGAGTGGGGTAGGTCAGATTTCTATGTCAGTGACCCCTTCACTCTTTGTTGATGAGTGGAGTAGGTCAGATTCCTATATCAGTGACCCCTCCACTCTTTGTTGATGAGTGGGGTAGGTCAGATTCCTATATCAATGACCCCTCCACTCTTTGTTGATTAGTGGGGTAGGTCAGACTCCTATGTCAATGACCCCTCCACTCTTTGTTGATGAGTGGGGTAGGTCAGATTCCTAAGTCAATGACCTACTCCACTCTTTGTCAGTGGGTGGGGTAGGGTCAGATTCCTATCAATGATCCCTTTACTCTTTGTCAATGGGTGGGGTAATGTCAGATTCCTATGTAATTCAATGATATAGCTGTAGTTTTGCAAAGCTTAACTTTGATTTTTATTTGCATGTCATATTTTTACGTCAGTAAGTATGTAGGACTTATATGCAAATATCTGTTAAGTATGTCAGTTCTTGTCCATTATTTCTGTGTGTCCTTACTGTTACAGTAAGAGCAACAAATCTTCATGACACCTTCTCTAAGGGAGATAATAATTTAGTATTTATAAGCAAGCAAATATTCTGGTTATTGTATTATACAATTCTGCGCAAGAATTTTTGAGGGCAGACAGTACTGCCTAATTAAGCAAAATAAAGTTCATGCAAACAAAACATAATTTACAGTATATTATCCAAATAACATAATTTTTTTTATTGACCACTACAGAGATTGATGCTATCTACACAGGTGCACAGAAAGTAATAAGTGCACCGCCTGGAGTCAGTCCTGTGTCGTTCTCTGATAGGGCCAAGTAAGTCAAAGTACACAGTACCTGTCATATAATGAGGTAGAGCTATACAGTGTAAATAGTCAGGAATTATTATTCTTTATAATGTAGCTAACATTATTACAACTCGAGAGTTCCTTAGCTAGTTTTCAGTGTTTTTATATTTGTAGGAGTAAAGTATTAAACAGGAAGACACCGGTGAGGTCGTACTACTTTGACATGTCCCACCTGGCTAACTACTGGGGGTGTGATGAGGGACCACGGAGGTAAGCATCCCAGCTTTAGAATTTAAAATATGTGTATGAATGTAATAAAGAAGGGAGATAATTCATAATTCAATAATTGTAGTGATATGACATTTTGACAATCGTTAGGTACCATCACACTGGACCCATCTCTAGTGTTTATGCCATCCGAGAGGGACTTGCAAGACTAGCAGAGGAGGTTTGCCTTTTACTCAGCCATTCTTTTGAAAAGAAAGCAATTTGTTAGAACTTTATTTTTTTTTATCTTTCTCAGCATGTTGAACTTTAAATGAATTTGAATCTTGACAATTCTTATTTCATTGTTCTGGACAGGGGTTGGAGAAGAGCTGGGAAACACACAAAAGATGTGCTGAGATGTTGTGGGAGGGTGTGGAGAAACTTGGTTTGGAGTTACTGGTCCAAGACAAAGTAAGTAGAGCAGGGCTTAATGTAAATGTGAAACATTCTGAAGGAAGAATTTAGAACAGAAAGAAAAAGAACAATGGCTAAAGATACAGTGTAGTCAGAAGTCCTATCTTAAATAGGGCATAATTTTTTTTTTTCAGTTTTAATTTAGCATTTCATTTCAAAATTCAGCTATCTTTTTTTACTGTATATATGAATATTTCAAGTGTGAATTGGATCCTCTTGATGTAACCATATTCCTGCATATTCTTGTAAATACATGCACACTGTGCATTACTAGATCCACTTTAGAAGTAACATTTATTATAATCAGCGTTTATGTTTCAGGCCAACAGACTTCCCTGCGTGACAGGCATTAAAGTTCCAGAAGGAGTCAACTGGAAGGATGTGTCAGACTTCGCTATGAAGACGTAAGTTGGATTTGTTTACAAAACAGAAGTTACAAGTCATACATTTTCTCATGTCTAAATCATGATTGTCATGCATAGCTGTTACATCCATTGTTTTATCTTTTAAATGCATTTGAATTTATTTGCATTTACATGTATCTTAGCATTTTCATAACAATTTTAACCATTTTCTAGCACATATTTTTTATATAAATCTATGGTCCTTTGTAGGTACAAAGTTGAGATATCAGGAGGTCTTGGAGCTCAGGCAGGGAAGATTTGGCGAGTTGGAATCATGGGATACAATGCTACACCAGAGAACGTACAGAAGGTTCTCCAAGCTCTGGACGAGGGATTAAAGAGTGTTAGAGGTAAACGCCAGTGCAGATTATAGACAACTAATGGGTACTAAGCTCTTAACAGGTCATGTGATACAGGTGTGAGGACCAATACATAACTATCAGAGACCTAATCCTTGGTTATTGACAGCCTTTTGTAATCAATGTCTTTCAATATATTTTTTCGATGCAGATTTAGTTGTTTTTATATAAATGGTTGTCAAAAAGACAATTGTATTTGTAGAAAAATAGCATTAATAGAATCTCCAAAAGGAGTTGGAAATATTTATACATATATATTTTTTTATATATATGAGAATCTAAACAGAATGTAAATATACTGTAGATTATATGATTTCCTTTGTTTGAAGGATGCCAAAAGTTTGATGTCATTCACATGTTTATTAATGAAACATATCTGATTTTGTTGTCCTGGTCTTATTACCAACCAGTACATGTGTATATATAATTTTTTTTCTTTTTTTTTGTTTTAACAAGTTATATACATGTATATGTAGATGTAAGATCTTTGATTTAAAGCTGTGTAATTTTTTTTTTGGTGATTGTACAATGTATATTAATATAAAAACCAAATCCTCTAGTTATCAGAGTGATAACTGATTTTGAGGTCAGAGGTTACCATACCAATGACCTCTGCCCTGTTGAGGTTATCCAATGGTAAGATGACATTGAATTATATTTTTTTACTAACATGTTCAGTGTTTAATTTATGGCATGAAATTCCGTGTTACAGAGTGTGTGTTATGTCTTTACAGTTTGATATGTTATAGATTGATACAGTTATTGACACACCTACTATAAACAAATTAATCTGTCTCACTTTAAAAAGGTTCAAGTTATTTTTTTTCTTTAAAGGACAGTTTTGAGAATGAAAAAGAGCATTGTAAATTTACATGCATTTGTTTTAGTGATTAAATGCTGGTGTTTTGCTGACAATTCAGAAAAACTTTTTTGTCTGCCATGGATCTTCATACTACCTGTGATCCTAAATCATATATTGACAATGTTCATGGATTATTGCACTAAAGATTGTATAAAGTATGTCCTTCTAAATAAGTACGCAGAGTTATAGACCTTGTATAAAAGACAAGATTAGACTGCTTTATTATAGGGTCACACATATACAAAGATATAGTTAAAAGAAAATGATAAAATTTTGGATTTGTTTGTAGTGGGTGTATTAGCATGTTTTATAATGACAGGTAAACAGAAGTTTCCATGCTATTCAAATTTTTAGCTCACCTGAGCTGAAGGCTCAAGTGAGCTTTTCTGATCAAAAGTTGTCCATTGTCTGTTGTTGGTGTTGTTGTCTTTGTGAACTTTTAACAATTTCTTCTTCTGCAGAACTACAAGGCCAATTTCAAGCAAATTCTGCACAGAGTGTCCTTCGGTGAATGGGATTAAGGTTTATTCAAATGAAGGGTCACACCCTCTTCCAAGGGGAGATAATTAAGTAACAGTGACAATTGGGTGGAGTCATTTAAAAATTTTCTCAAAAACCACTGGACCAGAAAAAATGACACTTGTGTGAAAGCTTCATTTCATTGTGTAGAATTAAGTTTGTTCAACTAATGACCCCTGGGTTTAAGGAGGGGCCGCTATGGATGACTAAATTTTATATGGGAATATATGGGAAAAATCTTTTTAAAAAAATCTTCTTCTCAAGAACAGCAAAGTCATGATCAATCATATATTTATGAAAGTATCCTCAGATAGTGTTGATTCTAGTTTTTTTTCAAATTGTGACCCCTGGGGTTAGGGAGGCAGGGCCACAATGGGCGATCAAAGTTTTACATAGGAATACATAGAAAAAATCTTTAAAAAATCTTTTTTCTGTGAAACTGCAAGGCTGTGATTAGTCTTATTTATGTGGAAGCATCCTCGGGTAGTTTTCAAATCATGACCCCTGGGTGTAGGGTGGGGCTACAATATGTGATCTAAGTTTTACATAAGAATATATAGGGAAAAAATCTGCTGATAAAGAACAGAAAGGTCATAGTTTCTCAGGTGAGGATGTGACCCATGGGCCTCTTGTTTATGCACTTTATGCCCATAAAATTAGGTTACAATCAATCTGATTTATTCTTCGACCTTCGTATGTGCATGAATGTTTGAAAGTATTGAACATAATACATAATAGGAATGATGTAAAGTTGTTAGCATAAACGTGTACATCTTGTACGATTAAGTATCATGAATGTTATTTTGAGTCTCTGTAGTGTAGATAGAGTCTCCTGATTTAGAAGTCTAAAGTATTTCCCTTTCTCTTTCAGGTTGACTGCCAGATCTGTAGATCAGAACTTTTGACCAATATTTTCTGTATCACTTTTGTGAACTCTGTAGTTCTATGATTGCTAATCATTCCAAAGATACATGTTTTATAGATTTGTTATTGAACTTGTTGATGATTCTTAAATCATGGTATTACCTATATATAAATATATATAAATTAAATAAATAGATTATAGCACACAAGTCATGGATTTTCTTTCTGAATACAACTGTAAAGTATACTGTTGTAATATGTTTTGCCTGGGACTAGACATAACAAAGTCACATGTCTACTGTTTCTATGTTACTGCAGACGATGAGAAACAAAATAAAGAGGGCAACATGACTGAAGAAATGATGCTGTATCATCCATAAATAATTTTGCTAGCATTATTTTTTGCTTTTAAAAGAAATTGATATATTCACATGGTTGCTTATTTGGCAATGCTACAAATAAAGAACAAGATTCACTTAGGTCCTTTCTTGGCCCTGTAAATTTCTGAAAAAAGTGAACCTGCTTAGTTTTAGTTGGCAATGCATTAAATATTTAGACCCTTGGTGACTGCGTAACTGTCAAAAATTATACAATTTTCTGGTTAGTCAATGCATTGTGATGTCAGGAATTGCATCATTATTTTTTCCATATCCTGCAAATTTCTACAAAAAAGGTCAAACTTTTAAGCTATTTTAAATATTTCATGTAAAGCACAACCTCTGATCTAAAAAGTGCAATTATATAATGATGTTTCTGAAGATTACAAAACATTTTATTTTTGGGATGGAGGGGTGCACTCATATTTTGTTTCTTTGCTGAAGGTACTCAAATAAGCCTGTTGTCTTTAAAATTCAAGAAATTTTACAAACTAAAGCCTGTTTTCCAAAACCAGGACTCTGAGAGAAAACTTTTATAAAGGAAATGAAAGCACTAAGTCTCTACTTTATATTGATGTTTGAAAGGGGACATAGAGTGTTAATAAATAAATTGGTATATCAATAGGTCCATTTTATGCATAAAGTGAACCTAGGTCTATAGTGTAGTGCCCCTTTTCAACAAGTTTAGAAGTGAAGGAGAATTTCAGAGATGAGAAAATCTTATAGTTGTAATTGATCAGTAGGTTTATTTGCTGTTTTTAGTTATCAACAAAACAAAACACTTAACCAGGTTTCTTAGTGACTGTCTACAGAAATATATCACCTTCTGTCTATGAGATTGAGCAACCTGATATCAGAGGTGTGTACCTCATTCTGTAGTTTTTAGTAATTTACATGATGCTTTCTGTCCGTATTTGAGTTTCACGTTGGCAATACCTTAGCTTTCTCCTGTACATTTGATAACTTTTAGATTTGAATGCCAGTGATGTTGGATTATTACAGTATTATCTGATTTGTTAGCATGTATCATGTGTAAATAACAATCCAAATTGAAGGTCTTTAAGTGAATCCTTATCATTGGAATTGAAAGCATAACCCATGTATCATGTGTAAATAACAATCCAAATTGAAGGTCTTTAAGTGAATCCTTATCATTGGAATTGAAAGCATAACCCAGATGCTTAATTTCTAGAGGACCATCCATATTTTGAAACTAAAATCAGGGACAAATACTGAATTTCCATACAAGTAGACAATTCTGCAATATTTTTTTGTAGATAGCCACGAACAAACTTAACAAGTACTTATATTCATTAAAACACAGAAATGTGCTTTGGGTAGTGGAGATGACTACTAAGTATATGCTTAAAGTATTAAACATGTCAGATATTTTCAGAAAAAAAATTATGTGACCATGACCAGTTTACCTCCAATCTCATCTACAGTTGGCAAGATATTGAAAGTATGTTTGTATGTGATGTCAGTCTGGAAGTATGTTTATATATGATGTCATACTGAAAGTATGTTTATATATGATGTCAGTCTGGAAGTATGTTTATATATGATGTCATACTGAAAGTATGTTTATATATGATGTCATACTGAAAGTATGTTTATATATGATGTTTATACAATGTCTGTCTGGAAGGCACTGCATGACATTATCAAATCCCTAATACAGTAAAACATGCTTATGGCGAAGTGCTAGGGACAAAAAATTTTTAATTTGTAATTCATTATATTCATTCAGTTCATATGTTTTAATACTTCATTGAATAAAAATCACTTTGCTGTAGGTTTAATTTCTTTATAGCATGTTCACTGTAACTATAGTGTTTACTATGTTCTGATCACCCAACTTTCATTGTTTTTGTGGTTGAGTCGGGTAGTCTACAATTTAGATGATGATCAAACCACAAGGTACATGTAGTTATCCGTGAAATTTACATATCAATCAAATTGTTTAATTCCAAAACCACAAAATTAACAAAACCACAGTGTTCAAATAGTGTGTATTTTGTAAGCAAAAGACATAACAGATTAAAGACCTAAAGTTAAAAAAAAAATGATGACAGATTTGTATTGTTATAATTCAACACAAGCACTGCACTGCAGTTAGAAAAGTTGCATCCATCAAATAAGAGATTGCATCATTTGACTAGATAAAGGTAGACATCACATCAACTTTACCACCATGTTGATACACATCACATCAACTTTATGACCATATCTATAGACATCAACTTTATGATCGTGTTATTAGGCAACACATCAACTTTATCACCATGTCTATAGACATCACATCCAACTCACCGACCATGTCTATACATCACATCAACTTTATGAACGTGTCTATAGACATCATGTCAACTTCAGGACCTCATTAACCTGCTTCTTATTTCAGGAATTACATATATATACATCATTTCACATGTACTTGTTATTCTCTGCCATACTTGAAGTTTATTTTATTATTGGAGAGTCTCTGTTTTCATCCAAAATGAATGAAGTCCACAAACACTTTGGACAACCCTAGCTCCTGTCCAATTCTGTCACTGTAAATGTATCTGATTTTTGTGCAACACAATGACCCATCCTTACTGGCATCATAGTAATGAGTTTTTTACATCTGAAATGGTAACTTCATCAACCACCTTGGGCTACTGGAATTCTCTCTATATAATTAAAACTTGGCATAATTAAGAGCAACTGTGTCAGAGGCTACTAAGCTCTCTAATCAAAGTTTGCCTCACATTTCTAAAATGCTGACATCTTTGCCAACTGATTATCCTCAAAGTTATCTCGGAAAATTCCTCATATCATGGTGTTCAGTTTGTTCAATTTTATTATTAAGCCCCTTCCAAGGATGGGTAACTTTAAAATGGGGTGCAACCACATACATGTACATCTTTTCTAAAACCACTGAGCCAGAAACTCTTAAGATAGCTCCCTTTTCTTTAAATTTCTATAACAGAAGCCTGTTAAATGTATGCACACTTTATTCATTGCTCTGCTGTGAAGAAATAAAGATTAAAAGTGAAGATAATAGCTGTACAAAACACAATGATAAAAGAGATAGCAAAAAATCAACATCAAAAACAAAAGCAAACTTTGCTGCAAAGAGATAAAAAAGATTCTAAAAAGAAATAAAAAAAAAAGACTGGACGAAATGAAGTGACTAAGTTTAAACTCTGACTCGTTCTGGAGCCCATCACAATCCGTTCATTGCCTTAATTTGTGTAAACATAAAAAAGGAAACTTCCTCAATTTATCACAGAAATACGCAATTTAAAATTAATTGATTTCAATCTCTTGAATCAAGATAAAAAAAAATCATATAATAAATCACAACAAATACAAAACAATAGATGTTAAAGTAGAATTACTTTTCCAGTGATTATTCCATTGTTACCATAGTAACTTTCTGTGCTGGGAACAAAGCCAAATATCTATTACAATATTGTAATATCATTAACTAGACATCTACATGTAACATCAAATAAATAATACAACTAAATACAGCATCTCTTTGCTCTTAGAAACAAGAGGCCTCAGTTCTTTAAGTGGATTTCTAGTTCCATATAGCCGATACAAAAAGCAGGGATCACTTTCTTCCAAAATAATATTCTCAAACCGAATCACTTGGATCACTGATTGGCGAAAATTTTCCATAGATTTAACAAATTTTAGACAAATTAATCCAAACTTCCCGGGCCAGCACCTTCACGAAACAGATCCATGCTTTTATCAGCATTTCTTCAATGGACGGATTTCATAATAAAAATAGCCAATCCATAAAAATGAAATTGGTAATTATATCACAGCATTGACTTCATGATTAATTAACAAACAGATAGAACCTACAATATAACATAATACTGATGGATATATATATTCCTAAAGACACACAACATAAAAAAAATTAAACTCTTAATTTCCATTTCAAACGTTTTCCCTTTCCAATTTTCACAATGACACTCAGATGCTATGATTATTTAAGTGAAGCATCATTACTACTGGTTAAAAGTGACAACAAAATATATAAAACCTAAATATAAATCTAGCTAATCATTTGATTTTATTTCTGTCACATGACCGCTGCCATAGCTCTCAATAATATGCTGTTAAATGCTGGAATGTGTCTTTTTCTCAAATGGAATGAAAGATTCACACTAACTTATAGTCATCAAAACCACTTTCTTTCCCACATGTAAAAACCCATTCTTGCATAGATTTTAAGCAAGATGTAGCAAAAATAAATATAATTTTTTTCTATATAAATGATTAAAAGGCAGCTATTTCTGGAGTTTCTTTCGGAGAGACAGTGGACTCATACTACGACGGACAGTGGGAGTGGAAGTCAGCCCGCCGTATCTTCTGCTGAAATCCCGCCCCGGACTCAACCGTCTTCTGGGAGCTGACTGGGTCGGATAACTGCGTTCGAAGTTCATGGAATCATCTAACTTCCTGGTTTCTGTTTCCAGCAGCAGGGGGTCCAAGGACTGGTCACGTGTGACATTGGTCAGAGAACTGTCAAGGATGCCACGAGTGTCCCGGATTTCATCTCCTACACGGGCACTCCTGGAGATGTACTGCTGCCTTTTCCTCATCTCTGTGGCAAGCTGATCTTTCAGTGTGGCAACCTGAAATAACAACAAATACGAATTCAGAAACCACATCATTTACAGCAAGACTTCTGTTTTGTGCTATAGGCACATTTAAAAATTACCGGTACTGAACATCTATTATATGAGCAAATTTAAAAACTTGATACATCAATTGATTATCATGCAATTAAAGTAAAAGTTTAAAACTGTGACTGCAAAATGAAAGGAAAACAATATTTGCTAGTTATTTATGTACCGTCTCTTCGAGTCCCTTGACCTTGGCTCTGTGAGCACGCTCACGAGTTTCAAGCATTCTCTCAGCTTGAATCTGAGCTGATCTCAGTCTCTCTGTCTCCATCTCAGTCTCAGCTCTGTGTCTGGTGGTCAGATCAATCAACCTGGAAAGAGTTCAAACCATGAAATAACTTGTTCCACTTAAAGACACAAACCTACATATATATCAATCAAGCTAACCACTTGATAGCTTAAATGCTTACAAGTATTTCATGCTCAAACAAAATTTTCGTTAATCAGTAGTTTTTCAAAGCCTTTAACAGACGAAGAAATTTACTGCTTAATTGATTTTGGCAGTAGGTTTTAGGATCTAAATATTATAAGGTTTGAAGACAAATTTAGCAGTAAGATTCTGAGATTCAGAAATTTAAATATTTACAAACAATAAACCATCAACTTAAAAAAAATTCTTACTAACAGCATGCATAAAAGTCAAAAAAAGAGAAAAAACTTTTAAAATAAGTCTGAAGTAATAAAATAAAATGATTCATGCGTCAGACATACTTGACAACGTCCCTGACACACCATTCACTATGTGAGGACAGGAGCACCTCAAACCTAGAGTCCATGTGTCTTAAAAAGATATACTTTGAGTAGCAGAATCTATCGCTATTATCTCTCCCAGCAGAACCAAATCAGAGCCTTATTCCACATTCCCCAAAGCCAGAGACATTTTACAAAAATTTCTAACTTAGCAACCAGTTCAAAGCTCTTGTAATTTCAGCAAAATGTTTGCTATAAAAAGGTTTTTAACTTGCATTTGTCCAACACTTGCACGGTGGTTGCTCCATAAATTGTTTACGAAAGTTCTGCTCAAACTGAATAAAAGAATACAGTGAGTACTTGACTATTTGTGTGTTTATTAAATCAGGATGGGTTTTCTGTGACATATTCTGCATTCCAAAATGTGAGGAGTTTACAACATTGTATATACCCACACCTCCAAATATGTTCTGTCTGCATTGTACTGAAGCTATGGAAATAATGTTAAACACAGACTATTTTTTTGAAAAATAAATGTCCAGGGAAAAAAAAGGTTTATCCTTTTCCAACTCAATTTAAAAAAAAAAATCAAAACTGCCTGAGTCAGAAATACTTTTTCCAAAATTTGGGAATTTGGCTGTTCTTGAGTGTATATAGATATTATTATGTGTTTTCTTTGTGCAGTTCAATAACAATATTCAACACGACACAATCTCAAAACCCCATCCTATAAATCTGTATCATATCTGTGTGTGCTGTGTCCCCCTACCTCTGAGCATGCTGCTGCTCTGCCTCGGCCAGCTGGGCCTGCAGTTGCTGGACCTGTTTCTGGAGGTCAGTATTGTCCTCCTCCAATCTGGTCAGTGTGCGGTCAAGACTTCCTTTCTCCAACACAGATTTGCTGGCAAGCTCCTCTGTGCGAAGCTTTTCTCTTTCAACCTATGATAAAATTAAAAAAACCTAGATAAGAATTTATCAGGTTATGAATAAAGAAAAAAAAAATGGCTTCATATCACATATACAGATTGTGGTAAATGTACATTATTGTATGAAAACAGACAGGTAAATGCTTATCCTGTATCTTGAGGTACATACATGTATACCGATAACACACTCCATTGCTTGTCTATCTACCTTTAGTTAGTATTTATTTGAGACTGTTGGATAATTTCATTTTTACATACCTTGTCCAATGTCTTCTTCAAGGCAGACTTGTCTTTCTCGAGTCTGGCAGATGAACGCTCCATCTCAGATTTCTCTGTCTCGAGATTGGCCATTAATCGGGAGAGTTCCTGCACTCTTTCGTGCAGCAGTTGCTTCTCATTACTGATTTTCTGGATGTTCTGATTCAAGTCCTGTTCTCGTTCTTGTCTTTGCACCAACAACTGGAAAACATAAAACATTTTCATTAGAAATCAAATATTACCTTGATCTATTAAAATTGATTATTCTGTAATGCATCACACATGCAGAAAAATCATAATTGGAAAGAAACTTCACAACTAGTCTACAGAACATGATTCTTCTTGATTCAATATTTATACACATATATAGGTTCTGTATAATTCTATTAAATAATATCTTTGCATTCCATCAGATGACATTTTTCAGACTACTGACTGTGTGTGATTGACGAAGTTGTCCCTCCAGTTCCGCTCTACGAACATCGTTATCAGCCACTTCATTTTGGAGTCCCTGGACACGCTCCAGTAGATTGTGGTTCTGTTTCTTTGCTTCATTCAAAGCTTGTCTACAATCATAGATGATATGAATACATTATTTCTGGATTTGTCAAACTTTATAAACAGATATGTATCATTGCTACAAAATCTGTTCTCTGACACTTTTAGTATTAAAACAAGTCTGGATACTTAGATTTCTGTACCTGGTGGAATCAAGTCTCTCCTGAAGGACTCGGCGGTCATGCTCACTGCTGGTGAGTCCTTTCTGGAGCTGACTAATTCTTTCCTGGAGCTCGTTAATGATGGCCTGGTTGTCTGACAGGGTCAGATTGAGGGACTGGACACGGTCCTTCTGGTTAGATTCCTCCTCCTCGGTCTTCTGGAGGCTGGCGGTCAGTCTATCAATGGTCAGCTGTAGAGACTGGGACTTAGATTCCAGATTCTGGATCTGTTTGTTCAGGTTCTCAATGCGATCCTGGAGCACCTGTTAAGAGTACAAAAAATGTCATTTCTACTCCATAAAAAATAACCTTCAAAATGAGGTAAACATATTTTGAACAATATTTTCCTATCATTTTTCTGTGATCAACACTTTGCCATAAATTAGTTAAAACAGTCAGAGCTAGAACTCTAAGATATCTCAACTTTCCTCCATGAATTCAAACAACACAAGGCTGGTACATGTACACACAGCTTCATTTGTCAAGAATATAATTCATCAAAACTTAAACCTTAAAATGTTTCATTTCAGCACCACTGGTATTGAGTTCAGAGTCCTCTGCAACAAAAACCATCCTAAACCTGTCCTGTTCCAAATGTCTTAGCATGATATCAGGCACTGGTCTCTTAGACAAGTCATTCTGACAGTTAAAAATCTCTTCTCTTGTGTATGGACCTCTATCATACTGTGCAGAGTTGATATTTGCCCTCCTCATTCTTTTTCCATTAGGAGGTTTATCAGGAGTATACATTTTAAAACACCAGATAAATTCACCAATGCACCATTCCAACAATCAAGCACCAAAGGGTTAAAATGAACAAAAACCAATATGTTGAGGGAATGTGGCTTTGCCCTAGGTTTCAATAATACATTAAGCCTGTCTAAGATGAGCTATCTCTCACCTGCCTTCTAATCAATTATTCAAAGGAACCATATAAAAGAGAGACTTAATAAACAGAAATCACAAAAGAAAAGTCAGCATGTACAAGGAGCAGACTTGGAGGAATTGATATTGAGAATTATAATGTATGCCAACTGTGGCAAGTTCATGCATTGAAAAAGATTTGACTTTCTCACTCAAAGGACATCTACATCATTAAGGAAAGAAGGACTAATCCACATCACTGATGAAAGACACCACACAATCTTAATATAAAACTTACATCCACCCCTCTTACCTGGTTTTCAGTGTCCTTGTCATTCATCACCAGTTTGAATCTCTGAAGGTCACCCTCCAGAGATCGTTTTCCGAGTTCTAATTTGGTACAGCGGTTATCGGCATCTTCCAGGGCCAGTCTCAGGGCCTTCTTATCTTCCTCCAGTCTAGCCTCATTAGCTCGCAGCTTGTTAATCTTCTCCTGTTAATGTAAAAAGGCATATTTACTTATAAATATATTTACAACTACAAATACAATGGATCTTTATATTCAAATTTTCGACAAAGGATTCTTACAAATGCACTGTATACCTACTGTATAATAAAGCATTCATATTTGTTTACAGTTGTGAGCTTTGGTACTATCTTTTACAAAATGTACAGTAGTATGTAGTATTGACTGAAAGTATTGATCCTTTACAGTAATTTAAGGTTACAACGAGAAACTCGAGTGTGTGTGAGGAAAACAATTACTATCAATAATTGATGATAGTGTTGATTACATTGTCTTTGATGAAATCAGGGTTCAAAATCATTCATGACCATGCATATATATGTTATCAGTTTTCCAGTTTTTTTTTCATAGGATAATACAAAAGCATGCAATGCTGATTAATTGGTTTTACATTTTTTTAAAGTCTAAGAGCAGTAAACATATTGATAATGACATGTGTTTGTTTTTCTTTTTTTTTAAAAGAAATTTTTCAGAATTTGGCAACATATTCAGATATGTGTAAAGATGCATTACAAAAATATTGATATTAAGTAGGTCACACCGAATGCTTCCAGCATATAAGTGCATTGCTGTGATTTTTTAATGGATCTTTGATCTTCCTGTGGGTGACAGCTCACCTCCTGTTGTCTCTTCTCCGTATCTGCTGCCGCCAGACTTCTCTCCAGGCTATTGATCTTGTCCGCCATGACTTTACGTTCCCTTTCATTTCTGCGGATGGTTTCTTCCTGTAACATCAGTGCAGTCTGGGCACTGGCGAGGCGACTGTCAATTCCTCTCTTGTCTGTGAAACACCAAAATCATCAAAGTATTTCATTGATCAATCTTAAAATGGTTTAGAAATGTTTTGAAATATGTGAACAAAGTAACGAGTAAGCATCTGTATGTATGACATTGCAGGATTTCATTATTTTTGGATCAGTTTTTATATTTAACAAAAGTAAATCCATTTCTGGAGTTGGGAGCTATTAAGATTTTTCCCTTTTTAAACTAGTCATCTTTTATTCAATAGGAAATAATTTTTGATAAGATATCAATAGGTAATAATTTTCGATAAGATATATTGTTCATGCAGTTAGAAAACTAGCTATCATAAGTAAATAAACGTGCGAGAATCCTTAAGCAATTTTATCTTCAACTTGGCTTATCTACAAGTCTCCAAAAAGTCATGTACACACAAGAACTATCCCCCTTTTTCTTGTAAATACAGGGTACCCAGGGTTTCAGCTTAATTGAATTTCAACCTTTAGACCCCTTCTATTGACCCAGCACTCTTGGATATCTTGATAATTAGCTACAATTTAGACAAGGAATGCAGAATTGGATCACAATCTCCAATACACCTATACACCTTCAATTGTCACCTGGGGGTTTAAACCATATTCATTCTGCATAAATTGGCCATGGGAATTTCAAAAATTATTTTTACAACCACTAGGTCTTTAAATGGATAAAAACAATTATTTTTACAACAAAGTTGTTACAAATGTTTGAAAACAAATTCAAATTGTAAGGCCAGAGCTGTAATAATCTTTATATTTTGGTGTGAAAATTGATCTCCATTCAAGTCAATATAGAAGTATAATTTCTGTCAGAAATACTTAATATTTGGCAGAATAACAAAAGTTTGCATTAGCTTATTCAGCACTATTATGAATAATACAAAGTTTCCAACAGTAAAAAGGGATTAGAGAGCATTCCATTCAAGAAAACTGACTAGAATTCCTTTCAATCAGTAACCTTGTAATCTCTTAATTTTTACAGTTCAAGTATTGGCCAACATTTTTATTTTACAATCTGCAAAATGTTGCCTAATTGATGAATTTTAAAATTCTTAGAAATGTTTTAGATATAGAATTTCTTATCAATATAGAGATATAATGTTTCTATTATCAGTTTTATTTCTGTCTTGCTTGCCAAAACAAATACAACTGTACTGATAACTAGGTCTACATACCGAAAATGTCGTAATATTGCACAGACGGAAGAGGTTTGCTGAGTGGCACTTTTGCCGTGACATTTTGGAACTTCTCTGGAGGAGTATAGTTCATCATATAAATTCTGTATGCCATGATGGGGACAGGAAATTAACGTCAATCACAAAAAAAAAATATCACAAAAATCCCTGAGATAAATTTCTTTCCTCCTCTCTACACTCTCATTCAATGATTGCTGCCCAAAAAATCTGTATGTAAAATGTCCATTTCTCCTACATCCCCCCTAAAGGGAGGTGTCCTCTTTACCGAACATCCATTTCTCCTTAAAATCTATGCCATGAAAAACAATAACCTGCATTTCCCTTTAAACTTTTATGGTCCTTAGACAAGGAGAAATAGGCATTATTGATTTTTAGATCATAGGACATGCTTCAACATGCGTGCAGTTTTCTGACATAGAGCGGGAATTTCTATACCTACTAATATACAACTAATGCAATGTGTCAATAGTTTATCGTGGGATCAGTACCACACAATGGAGAATATACAATGTCCACAATGGTCTACATAATAAATGAGTAAATGGACATTTTTGTTCAATGTGTTTTTACTAACTCTACCAAAGTTTGAACCCTGATCAAATAACATTCAAGCACTGTTTTGTTCAAGTATTTGAAAACAATTTGCTGAGTTAACATTTCAAATCTTTAAATTTGAGAAATGAATGTATGATTTGAAATATTACATCATGAAGCAAATTTTAACAAACCAATCTGTGTCTTAACATTTATTTACCTTGAAATCAATATAAGCCACTGAAATTAATCATTAGATTTTATTTAATGTTTCTGCATATCAAAGTATCAAACTTGAATCAGAATATTTTGAATAAGTTTATACTGTGAATAAATATATTTAAAGCAAAATAGATATGTTCAGGAAAGTTAACTGTGAAATTCTTTTGAAGATTTTTTTTCCAAATAAGTTTTTCTTCTTTTTTTTTCTATGAATTTCCATGCATTGGTTGGCAGAAAACTTATTAACATATAGTTCCAAAAAGGTAAACAGCTGACTGTGAATAAAATTTCTGGGTAACTTGACTGACAAACTCAGAATGATGAAAGTGATTGTACTAGTCTCTACATTGCTGTTCTCAATGACCTACACATAATCAATGCTTGTCTATCTTGTTACACTATCCAGCATTATCTATGAAAAAATGAATACCCAAAGAAACATAAAGCTGACCTCCTCCACACTTTAATCGACATCCCACAATCTATGGGATTCAATTTAATCTTGATAAATCAATTTCATTTTGTGTAAGAGGATTTTGATGATAGCTATACACCATTAAAATCAGCCAATGATTTCTGAATGAGTTTTATTAAGAGCTGACCAAACATGTTAATGCCCCAAGAAACAATTCAAATGTGTGTTATTGCCAACTTTCTGATATCAAATAACAGTCAATGAACACAATATATCACTCATGCCAGCTCTGCATAAGCACTCATTGAAAAATAATAAAATCTTTGAACCAAAAATCATTCTAACCAGTATATACAACATGAGGTTTACCAAAAACTAATTAATTTTAGCAGGATATTATGGCTTTAAACATTAACCTTTATACAAGTTCACACTTTGTGGTAAATTATTTGCTGCAATTAAATTCCTTATCTGATTGACTGATGTCATTCAAGATCAACACTTTGTGGTAATTATAGATTTGCTTTAATTCATCTATTTTATCTGACTAATCAGTAAACCAATGGTACTGACTCTAATATTCCAAGGTATTTCAAAAATCTGATTTTTTGATATGCAAATTTTATCCACATAAATAAAAGCAACATCATATGTTTATATTTTGACAATGATGTCACATATAAGTCATATTTTGTTATTAAAAAACAACAACAAAATACAACATAAATTTGCATTATGTCTTTTTGATCAGGGCATAAACTGTACAGGTACAATGTAGATGTAAAACAAGTGTTAGGAGTAAATATTTTTGCACAGGTTGCATACTACACCATGAATTACGAGTTGTTGTTACTCCTAGAAAAAGACCTATGCTTTCCATTTTATTTTCTATTTATTACTTTTTATAAAAAGATTTAGGGGGCATAAAATCTTTTGTCATACACACAGAATGTTTACATTCATTGCAAAATATTGACAAATGCTGGTAATAAAATGTCTGAGTGTACATGAACATTTATTTCATATTCTGAAATTAAGGGCAAGTGCAAACTCTAGAAAATACTATCATGTGATATATAATTTATTTAGGATATAATAACGTCCCCTTACCTTCCTCTACATCTCCTAGAGACTTCTGTAAGATCTGGTGTCTTCTTTCTGTTCTCTCCTTCTCCTCTTCTAATTCCTTCAGCTGGACAGCCATGCTACGTACATTGGCAAGTGCATCATCCTACAATCAGAAACCAAAATTGCACCAATTAGTTCCCAAAAATATTCTGCTTAAAGATTTTGTGTAAATTGTCAAACACATGAAGTGCATCATTTTTAAGAAATTTGTCTCACCCTTTCTCTCTCGGCTCCAGCAAGTTGTTGTACGAAATCTCTAAGGGCCATTCTGACTGCCTCTGGGTCTACATCCAAGGCATTCATTTCTCCACCTCTGTCGAACCTGACAGGGGATACTCCACGAGAGGAAGTACGGACAGGGCTGCCAGATCTCTCAGGGGAACCAGTCCTTGGTATGGGGCTTCCACGACCCTCAGTGGTGGTGGCATAAGTATTGTCAAATCCTACAGAATAATTTCAACAGTTTATTATAAAGCCTCAAGTTTTAGTAAATTTCAAAGGAAATCAAAAGTACAAGTACTAACTTATAATTCAGAACCATTAGATTTTTCAATAGACAAATTGTGTCAACAGCTTTTCTCATTTTAATCCTAATGTAAAAATTTGCAGACTAAGTCTATACCCTTAGATGGGGAGTTGGGTCTGGATCTTCTAGGACTCTTACTACGGGATCTCACTGGACTTCTGGCCCTGGGCATTTCCTGGCTGAATCCAATGGTTCTCCTAAGGCTGGACACAATGCTGCTAAGTTTAAACTCAACATCCTGTTTAGCGCCCTCTATTCTAGCAAGCTGGGCCTCAAGGGCATTAACTCTTCCCTCTGATCCACTGAGTCTCAGTTTGAGTTCAGCAGCCTCAGCACTGGTGTTCTCAAGATTGATTTCCAGGTTGCGGCGCTGGTCCTCCAGTTTCCTCTCGAGACGGCGACTGTCTTCAAGGGCCATCTGGTAGTCTTTTTCCTTCAGTCTGGATTCATCAATCAATTCACCCATCTTACGCTGAAGGTTAGCAAGTTCTTTTCGTACAGCTTCACGACTAGCCTCTGTCTCAACAACCTATTCAATGCAGTTAAAGTTCATTGAAAGTGGTAGTCTTTACTAAAATGTTGTATTTGACGAAATACATTGAAAGTTATTTTAAAAAAACCCCAGTAACATGTCATAAACAATACACACAAAGTAAAACTCCTGAAATTCATAACATAATCAAAATCTCAAATTGGGAAACAAAGTTATAACATTCTTAATAGTTTACCACTTTCTCCTCCTAATAAGAGAAAAAAAGCATTTTAATCTTATTTTAAAAAGTTTGAGTCTCTTCTTTTTGCCTTGAAAAAGGGTATTTGGAAGATACAATGTATCAACATTTTCAAAGACTTCAAGATAAAGAATGACTACCTTCTGTTTGAGATCAAAGGCATGTCTCCTGCCTTCCTCCTCTTTCTCTTCATCCTTTGCAACACGTGCCTGTAGATCCACCACTTCTTTACCAAGTTTAGATCGCTCACTGTCCAGCATCTTAACCTGGCGTCTGAGGTCCTGCAGTTCACGCCTGGCCTCAAGACGGGCTTTCTCAACCTCTCGGAGACTAGCTCTCAGGTCACCAGCCTCTTTCTGAACATTAGCCTTCTGCTCTTCAAGGACTGGAAAGAAAATTTGTTAAACATCATCCAGATTCAAGTAGTCCATCCCCAAAACCAAACTCTTTATAATTCAAACCAAGTTTTTTTCCCCACTCATGATTTTTAATTGATTTAAAAAAAAAAAACAAGTAAACAGATGGAAAAGAAAATCTATCCTGCTGTTCCCTTGAATCTGTATACTTACTGCTGCATCTTTGTCTGTGATCACACAGGTCCCTGTTGAGCTCGATCTTGTCTGTCTCATTCTTTTTAATAGTGGCCCTCAGCTCCTCATTAGTCTTGGAGAACAGTTCCTTCTCTCTGACTTCATCATTCAGGTTTCTCTTCAGCTCCACCATATCCTTCCTCATCAGCTCCATCATCTCCTCACCTAAAATAAAACAATGGTACATGAATGAAAATGTTAAACAAAACATGATTAAGATCTAAACTTTGAAATATAATTTCAATGTAGTGGGATCACCATTCAATAAAATTCTATTTTAAGTCAGATAATTTCATAACCAAGAACATACTTTTTCTATGTTATATACTGACCTTCCCTGACTTTCCTGTTGGAGTCAATCAGATCTCTGCGAACATTATCTCGAGCTTCCTCCACGAGTTTGAGTTGAGTCTTGAGATCAGCAACCTCTCTCAGGGCAGCCTCCCTCTGTCTCTCCAGATCTCTGATTTGATTGGTCAGATCCTTAACCTCCTTCTCATGGTTCATGCTGTGGTGAAATGGTAACGCATTAGCTTGTTCCATACAAAAGTTTATTTCAAGTACCGTAACTTCTAGAACTCAGATCGGTACCATTTCCAAATTTCATTGCTTATTTTTTTTTTTCGAAAAAGAATGCAAAATAACAAATTATGCTTTATATATCAAAAATAATTCAGTCAAACTTACCATGTGTCCTCAAATTGTCCTCTGAGGTTTCTGAGTTCCTGGTTGAGTCCATTCATGTTGTTCCTGTCCTGCTCCTGGCGAGCGTGGTACTCACGCTTCAGTCGCTCATACTCGACATTAGCATTAGCCAGCTCCATTGTCAGGTTATTGTTCTTCTCAGCTAGAGTGCTCTTCTCTTGTTCAAGGAGAGACATAGTCTAGAAAACAAATCAGAAGCACTGCATATAGAGACTGTCATACTTACAGGACTGAAAGTGTCATCTATTTATGGAATACTAGTAAATGTACCTGTATGTGTTATCTTTAAAATTTTATAATAGCAATAAAACACTTAAGATAGTGAATTTAAACATAAAACCTTTCCAAAATACATTAAACAGCAAAAGTTACTCAATTTCAAATATTTAACTCATGTATACAAACTAAATACAAATCATTATTTTTGTGCAAATGATAAAATTATAAAGGTGTCAGTTTTATGCAGTCAAAACTTAACTTTTAAAAACTTTCACCTGCATAAGTGAATTCTCTAAAGTCCCTGCTTTAAATTACCTGTTGTTTATCATTCTCAGCCATCAATAGCTGGTTGTCCCTCTCTCTCTGGAGGTTGGCCAGTTCATTCTGAAGGTCCTCCCGCTCACGGTCAAATCGATTCAACATTTCCTCTTTCTCCATGGCATTCTGGTGGACCATCTCATCTCTCTCAGTCTCAAACTCATGGCGCTGCTGCTCCTATTTCATAAAAATACCATGTGATTTAATAATTTAATGTAATAACACTGTCTATTCAGAATATCTCAGTGTTCGCAAAGTGCATGTTATTTTAACTGAATATAACAAAATTCTCTGCATTTCCTTCAAATCTTGTAATACCAAATTAATTATTTTGCTGTATCTAATTAGAAAATTCTTTGATATATAGGAATTTTTCAAGAACATGTTCCACCTGTTCATATACATGTGTAAGATCATATCTTACCCTTTCCTTGACCAGCCTCTCAACATCATCCTCATGGGCCTGTTTCTCCTGTGTGAGTGCCAGCTGCATTTCACGCTCGAGCTGAGCCAATCGTCTCTGAAGGTCCTCCTTAATGTGCTCAAACTTCTCCAGATCAGCCTCTTTCTCCTTAATCAGACGATTGATCTCACCTGTGGTGGTTAAAGATCAGAATCTAATAAACATCTGAAGACTTCTGAAATTTTCTCATAATGACTTTAAAATTACAAAAGTAAGGGAGCTTACTCTGTAGATTTATTGCCTCAAGAATGAAAAATCTATTAACGAGAATCTAATCTGTAGATTTTCTTAAATCACATTTTTTCTAAATAGGGGGAGCTTACTCTGCAGATTCTCTTTTCTAAGGATCAGTTCCTGGTTCTCTCCCTCTAGTTGTTCCTTTCTCACTGTTAATTGTTGTTCAGACTGCTGAGATTCATAAAGGGCGCTCTCCAGACTGTCCTTGTCACTGCGGAGGGATGAGATAACCTCACTCTGTTGGCGATTCTCACGCTCTGTAACCAAGAGTATCAGAAACTTGCTCTTCAGTCACTAATTATTTTGAATGGACAAACTCTACAAATTTTACTGAAAGTACTGTATTCTTTTACTCAGTTATGTCCTTTTCAGTTTAATTTTCTTTTTAGTGTCTTTCTAGTGAATGACTTCTCTCTCTTACCTGTGGCAGTAACCTGGACAATAAGTTCTCCCTTGTCCTGAGTCAAGATCTCCTTCTCCTTTGCCACTTTGACGTAATTCTGAGTCTGTCTTTCTACTTCACGCCGAGCCTGTAACAACTCCTCTGCCAAAGCCTGCTTCTGTCTAGATACCTACACAACAATTTTTAAAATAATTTACTTTCTTTACACAAAATTTAAATTATCTACTTATAAGTAGAAGAGTTGTCTTTGGATATAATCTATCTTTCTTTGAAAACACATTTGTGAATGATGTAAAAATTTATTAAACAATATAGCCCTTACTTGTCATTTTAAAAGATTATTACAACACCTTTTTTACTATATTGAATGTTTTGTGTGTGTGATTATATTATTGTATTTGTGTTTATTTTGATTTCCTTACAGAGGAGAGTTGTTCCTGGATGTCACCCTTCTCTCTGTTGAGAGCCTGGATCTCCTCCTCCAACTGTTGACGAGTCATCTCACTCAACTCCAGAGTCTGGTTCAGACCTACAGATAAAGAGAACTTGATTTAGTCCTTCAAATAAAGAGTTTGATTCAGATGTTCTGACCTGGTTCAGACCTTAAGATGAACAGAGTTTGGTTCAGTCTTCGGGATAAACAGAGTCCGGTTCAGACCTACAGATAAGTAGTCTAGTTCAGACCTATAAATGGACAGAGTTTAATTCAGTCCTACAGATATACAGACATAAAAAGGAAAGGTGTTGTCAACCTACAAATGTATTTAAATCACTGCACTTAACTTTTCAGAGTGTAATTATAAGTAACACATAAAGACAGAAACAACATAGCGAGCTAACATGTAAATATAACACGTGATATGGGATACTGAAGACAATCAATCCCCTGTCATCCATTTCCTATCCCTCATGGGATTAAATGAACTTTTAAATATGGCTATAAGATAACACTATCTCTTGAACTCATTGGCTTTGCATGATCCGGTATTACTTGATCATTATATATTTATGCAGAACTGTGCTTATCACGATAGCTCAGTTTACAATTATTACACGCACATCTAACACTTAATGTGAGATAAGCTTCATGACAGCAGCTCTCCATATAAATGTTTTAGAATCTGCCATACCCATCTTTTCTGTGTCAAGGTCCATCTTCTCCTGCTCGACTCGTACCAGCTCCTCTTTGATGCCTGTCTTCTCCATCTCCAGAGCCTGTTTCTCTCCTGTCAGATTCGCCTTCTCTGCTTCCATCTACAAATCAGGCACATTGTAGAAGAGTTTGGATAAGCTAACATTCAAAACAATCCTTCTTTCCCAACAGACTGGAAGACATCATACAGTGAGCTTTTCCGATTCATCCTCATTTTTAAAATTCCAAACTAAGCCTTAACTCAATAATATTTTTCATTTTTATGAAGGTAGGCAATAAAATCCTTATCAGTTCAATCACAGCTCATGCATATTCATGCCCTCTTTTATTACAACTTTTTATTTCCCTTTCATAAACCTTTTTGCTTTGCTCAAAAAATACACTCAATGATAAACAATTTATTTAAACTACTTTTACAAGTAACTTACCTGCATGATAATCTTGTTGAGTTCGACCTTGTCCTGACCCAAGCCTTCATTCATTGCCTGCATCTTCAGCAGGGCATCTTTCAGTGTTGCCTCTTCGGTCTTAGCTTTGTTTATCTCAAGCTCCAGCTCAGCCTTCTGAAGCTCAGCCTTAGAAAGAGCATCACCTAAGCAGAGGCAGATTAAAATATAATCATCACTAAAATCAAAACTATTATAAAAAGAAATCAATGAATTTTGAACATTACCTTTTTTGAATATTATCTTGTTCAATATTGTGCATAATTAAAAATATTGATCTAAAGCACATCACAGTAAGTATCGATACATTTTAAAAAGATCTTTCAAAATACAATAACCATTCATTTCTCCAGTCATATGTGTCTATACTTACTGACTTCAGCCTTCTGTTGTTCCAGAACCTCCTTATCCAGGAGAGCTCTATTAAGAGCCTCCTTCGTGGAGACCAGCTCCTCCTTAATGGTGCTATTCTTGTGCTCCAGCTGGTCAATCACTCGGTGACTAAAAGACAGACACATCATATAGGAGTTACTTGTCACTCTATGTGGGCAACTGAAAAATCTGCTCTCTACTTTATTTTATTACAGTAGCAATATGCTTTGCTATATTACTAAGTTGGTGAAAATTATGTGTAAAGCACTATGACAAAAAATTTCATTTATTATGCCCACATAACAAATGTACATTATAACTTTCTGAAAAGCAACTCTTAAATTTTTTTTTCAAAACAAATGCCCTATAAATGCCCTTACTTTAGTCATCCTCTATCTTACCATCTGTCATTTTCCTTGATCTGTCTCTCCTTGTCTTTTGTAATATCCTCTTTCTCGTCCTCTAACTGGTCTCTCTGTCTCTGGAGGTCGGTGTTGGCGGCCTGAAGCTTCTCATTCTCATGCTGCATAATCTCAATCTGCTCATTCAGCTCATTCCTGATCTTCTCCAGCTGAGATTTCTCACTGCCGGTCAGACTCAGAGCATTCTTCACCCTGTCACGATCTCGAGATGTATCCTCTCTTTCCCTTCTCCTGTAGAAAACAATAATATACATTGTGAACTACAGAAGTTTCTTGTAGCATATAAAAAATAAAGATTGTTTTGTAGAAAATATAATTTTGGCTTCCCTCCTTTATTTGGTTGGTTGCTACATTGTAAATGTGTCAGGTCACTTACAGAATATCCACATCCTCCTTCAGTTGGAGAACCTGTAACTCGAGACGACGACGCTCATTGTCAAGGTCATCCATCTGCTTCCTGACTGCTGCATTGTGGTCCTGGCTGGCCTTTAGTTTAGCACGGGCCTCAGATAACTGAAGCTGTCGTTTGTTTAGAGCTGCCTGGACAGCAGAGAAGGTAGCATCAGCCATTGCTGGGGATCTAGCTCTGGCCATCGGTGACTTGGAACGGTCCCTCAGCAACGGAGATCGAGCCCTGGCTGATGGAGAGACAGACCTGGCCCTAGATGGGGAAATTGACCTACGACCCTCCTCATCTTCATAGTCCTCAGCATCATTAATGACAGCTTCTGCGATGTTACGGAGAGCCTCATGAAGAGCCTCATTATCAGTACGGATTTGCCTGGCTGTGTCAGTTTCTGGCAGGTCATAGCTGGTTCTCTCGCCGAGTCTGGTCTCCAGATTGTTAATCTGTCTCTGCAGGGACTGCGTCGACTTCTCTCTCTCCTCAAGCTGTATCTTCAGCTTTTCATTCATCATAGTCAGCTCATTAACCCTGAAAATTAGAACAATCATTCTTGTACATTACATACTTTGCAACTTTGAACATGATGGGATATCCAGAAAGATGATTCAGACTATTTTCTTAATTAGCTATCTATAAAAAATGAAATATGTTTTTAGATTTGTAATATTTCTCCCATTTAAGTGGTCTATACTGAAGACTTACTTGGCATTCAGTTCATAGCTATGAGCATCATATCGAGATTGAAGTTCGGCGATTTCACGGCTCTTCTCTCTCAGCTGGTTCTCTAAGGCTGCTCTGTCTGATCGCTCGCGGTCCAAGGACACCTTTAAGAAGATTTTTATTATCTTTGAATGACCATGTTTCCACATTAGTAAATTTTTTTTAGATCTCTTATTTTTTTAAAGACAAAAATATGTATGTACAAATATAGCTGACAATAACTACTCACTACAGTAAGAAATAAATCAACTCTATTTACTTGTATTCTAAATGAATGTTCAAATTAAGCAAAATGTCCATCAATTAATCTACTTTCATCAACCTTTTATGTGTATGTGGCTCCCGATAAAAAAGGAGCAGATAAGGAAAATATATTTTGAGGTTTGATTCTTACCTGGGACTGAGTGTCCGTGTTTCTTTGGTTGGCAGCCAGATTCAGACAGGCAGAGTGCATACTTCTGGAGGCACGGGTCACATCATTCCTAACGTGGGACAAATCACGCTCCGTTGCCGTCTTGAGATCTCCAAATGCTCGACGGAAGGCCACGACTTGTCTCCACAGAGCCAGAAGTCGACCATGTTCTGCACTGAAGTATTCATTGAAGGACTGAAAAAAAAAGAAACATAGTATATATTTCTGACTAAAAAATGCATGGATAATTTTTGTTTTATCTGCAAATTCTTTTTCAAAGAAATACTAAAAAAAAAAAACAAACAAAAAAACCCCAAATCCATTTATGACCTTGTTGCCATGTTAACACTAACCTGTTCCTCTTCACGCCATTCCCTCTCTTTGAGGTCCAGCTCCTCCCTGGCAGCCTGCCAATCCTGGGTCAGCTTGTGGATGTCAGAGGTCAAGGACTGATTAGCAGCGGTTGCCTGGTCCAGCTGCTCCCTCAGCATAGCATTCACATGGGCCAAACTGGCACTCCTGGAATACAACAATCAATACTGGTAAATACATACAAGTAAGTTTTTGTGGTCAATTAAAAGTAAACATGTACATGTACACCCTTAGCATAGTAAATCTTTTCTTTCTGCATTTTATTTATTTATTTTTTTGTGGGAATATCATTTTTATAGGAACTACATCTTTACTGTCTCATCTGGTTTCTGGAAAAATACATAACTCTTCATGCTCTAAAAATTTGTTTCTTTTTAATCTTTAGTTTAATAAGTGAATATTATCTACCATTAATATTTTAAAATTATATTCCTAATCATGCCTTGTGTTCTTTGGAGCAGAAAAGGGTGCACTGATAATTTCAATCAATCCATTTAGATATCATCTGATGCCTCAGCAAAAATAATTCACCCCAAAAAAGGGTTCGCCTGCCTCAAGCAACATCAATAATGCACAAGAGATTTGAACGTAGGTGAATAAAAAGAATAATGGCTATCTGCTAAAGTTTTTAAACTGTAGAGACCCACATAAAGTGAAAGTCATTCGAAAGATGTAAAACAAAAGTATAATTATTGTATGCTTAGCAAAGCATGAAGCCATAAATGCTGGTCAAACCTACCTACATAAAATATGTATGGCCATTGAAAACAGAATTATTTCAAAATATAGGCAAGTGAGTAGAATCATTTTAAGAGAGTTTAGAAGATTTCATGACTTTTGAAGTAGCTGTTTTCAATAAGTAATGACCCAACCGTGGTCCTTGCATTCCACTGTAAATTACTTGGCGATATCTCAGCCTTCCCTGCAGGCCCCTAGTAATTGTTTCTATTATTAATACAAAATTGCTTTTTATCTTGTGCCTATGTGCCAGAAAATAACACACAAATACTGAAGCATTTTTTTTAATAGAATAAAGAATGTCAGTGTATTAGATTCCATGACTTTTAAACCTTTAAATTGTTTGGCAGCAGCTAACACGTTTAACTTGGTGATCTGTAACTGTAATCTACAAGAACTGATTCAGCAAACACTGATCTGACAACACCCTTTATTTAAAATTCAATTGAAATTTAAAGACAAGTACATGAAACAAATGGATCAAATGCCTTATTGAATATTGTAAATTTTATTGGCATCATGATTTATAGGTCAGATAAATTTGAATTAAAAAAAGAAAAAAAAGGGGGTTAAGTCAATACTTAATGTATACAGTAACGTTTCTGAAAAAGTTCTTAATTTATAAAAGTATTAAGTTATAAAACAAAATGACTTTTATAAGAAGTATTCACTTTCTTTTTAATTCCCCCTTTTTTTGGAAATTTTTTCTCTACACATAGGTAAAACCTTAAAAATTTTATATAAGAAAAGTTTTCTTAGTAATCTTTTATCTGGTAGATTTTTATGTTGTGGTTAATAATGCCTGCCTCATCTTAATAATAAATTCTGTGTAAAATGATCTTTGCTATTCTTAAGGAAATTTTAGACTTCCCCCCAAGATATGGGTTCCTTTCATGGTGGGGTAAAAATGTCCATTTCAAAGTGAGGTCCAAATCCTTTACAAGGTGGACTTAAGGATTAAATATGGGTACCTTATATGGTTGGCTATACATGCCCATTAAAATTTGAGGTAGACTACTTTGGATCCTTTCCTCTTTTATAATGAACTATACAAATTCCTTTTTAGAATGGGCTTTCATGGCTCAAAGATTGAGTTACAGGTTAATTACAAGGATCGCTATTCCAGGGCCTTACAAGGTGAGCTATTCTGCGGCCTTACAAGATGAGCTATTCTGGGGCCCTTCAAGGTAAGCTATTCTGGGGCCTTACAAGGATAGCTTTTCCAAGGCTTTACAAGGTGAGCTATTCTGAGGTCTTACAAGGTGAACTATTCTGGGGCCTTTCAAGGTTATTTACAAGATAAGCTACTTAGATTTGTTACCTTTGCTGCTCTTCCTCGAGCTTTATTAGTGTGGACTCTAAGTCCATGTTGCGGCTCTCGGAAGCTTCCAGACTTTTCTTGAATGATTCCTCTGTGGATTGGAGCTACAGGATAGAAAAAACAGGAGTTACCCCACATAGATAAATGAGAGAGATTGTTTAGAAAGAAATAATTTAAATTCATATTTAATGTTGATCATAAAGTAGCTCCGATCAAAAATCATAACAGATAAATTTTCAATTTTACTGCCCAAATTACATGTATATTAAATATTATTATGAGCACTCATTATTAAATATCATAAAACAAATACAAGTCTGGAAAATTAAAAAAAAAAAATCATTTAACTGCATGAATAAAATATTTTACATTCTTCATCACTCTACAATCTCATAAAATTTTACTAGTGATTGTGTTGATGCAGGGAGTAAAATTTCAACTCATGAAAGTTCACAATTTCACAGCAAAATGCAGCATTTTTATCTTACCTCTTTGGATAGAATTAATATTGAAAGGAAAAGTTCAAAGGTAAAAATAAAAGAGGGTGCAAAAGTAAGGCAGAAAGGTGACTGATATAAGATGGTGACAGAAGTGAAGGTCACACACAGGTGATAGTCAAATATAATGATAAGGAAAAGACTGAAGAGAGGCAAAAGCTGTGCAGTAAAAATATTGTCCCTACCCACCTAAACCATCACCGAAAAGGAGAGGGGATTTCAAACAAGATCTGTTTTTCTTAATTGTCTTAATTTCCCAAATTAATTGCAATATTCATATTCATTAAGTCTTGATGGAAGTCTCATTTCCATTTTGATTTTAAAGAAAATTTAGATTTAACTAACCATAAATTTTTTAATTTATTGAATTTCCATTTAATTTTCTTTTAACAAAAATCCCAGTTAACTGAAATGACATGAATTAATCTAGAATGATGGTTTTAGTTTTGTAAGTCTAGCCAATCACACCATTTATGATTAGATATTTAACTTTGTATTAGGTTGTCTGAAGGCGTAAAGGATCGCAAGGGGAAGTTATACTCACTTTATTTTCTATTTGACCCTCAAGATCTGAACATTTACGCTTGTATTGTAGTACCTATGAAATGAAACAAGACGATGCTGCTGCAGAATAGTCATGTGAAGTACAAGCTACCAACAACCCAACGCATCCATTTGATTCCTGATCATGCAAGTGTTTTAAAGAAGCACACCAACAATAGTTACAGATGTCACAGTTGGTAATAAGTGAGAACACAACGGCCACTAGGTGGCACCCTTCACACTTCCCTTACCAACTTAAGGTTATCGTAACGGGCCTTTAAGTCCCCGTTTTCTGCTTCAAAATCCTCACACTTTTTCTTGTACTGTAAGACCTGGAGTTGTATATGAGGGTTATATGTAGAGATAAATATTATATACATGGAGGTTTGGCCTTTCTATGTGGCCTTTTACCTTCTGATTGGTAACTTGGCAATAAATATCTTTGCTGCGCATAACATCTTCCAAGTCCGTACATTTTTTCTTGTATTGTAAAAGCTGTTAAAATCAAAATCTATTACAGTACATTTCTATATTTAAAACTCTCCAGGATAGATATGTTAGTAATATATTTAGGCAGAGGATCTTTTCATACTGCAATGGGTAATAAAAATAATCGAAAGAACAAAATTACACATAAATCTACATATAATTACATGCAACCTTTTTTTATTTCATGTAGTATCTAATATTTGCACTAAATAAGAACATGTGAACTTCATCAAATATTCTATTATTCAGTGCAATTAATTTTCTTTCATTTAAAAAATACTATGTAATGATAAAAACTACTAAGAATTTCATCAAAAGTTAAGGTAAAAATAATCTAAATTCACCCTTTTAATCTCAATCTGCAAATTAAAATTCATTTTTATCAACAATAAACTTTCATAAATCTTTCAATATACACACCTGCAGACAGTTATCAGGTTGACATTTTGGCAACCTATACATCTCTGAGCTCTCCTTTGAATGTTGTGTGAATTACTCACAAACAAAAACTAGCTAACGTTCATTCATCCTCACAATTCTACCTTCTCATTAAGATGTAGGTACATAAAAGATTCATTTTCTACCTTATGTCTTAGTTGAGTTTAAATATTTATATACCTAGGTACATGTAGATAATTAACTTTATACTGTGTGAGACTTTTGTGAGATTGATTTGTAAAAGATTTCAACATTCAACTCACAATTTACTGTTATTCAAATATGCAGGTTGATGACTTAAAATTTACGTGATTGACCACTTTACAAAGCTATTAGTAAAAGATTTACAATATGGATGCAATTGAATTACCTTGCTCTGTAGCTTTTGAACAAGCTGAGCTTGCCGTTGTTGTCCGTCTTGATAAGCTTGTAGTTTTCGTTTGTAGCTTGCGTGCTCCTCTTCAAGTTTACGGCGTAGCTCAATATTTTGCTGGACAAGGTTTTTGGATGGGGCTTCTAAAGATTCACCACCCTGTCCTCTCAAGGACTGCTCCAACTGAAAAAAATATTAAAGGATTTGCTTTAAAGCATATTTAAATAAAGAAAATATATGACACAAAAAAGTACTTAAAGTCTGTATTCATTTAGAAACAATGATGATGCACTGAAGATGCTCAATTATTCATTATACAGATCATCTATTATACTCAGTAAACACACTTCTGTCAGCAGCTCACTGCATTTTTAATTTATCCACCCTCCGATTGACAAGTCCAATAACATAACGTACATTTTCTAGTTCAGCTCCCTCAGTAGCAGAAGCTGTGTTTAACAAGTGTCACGGTTTTCTCACACAAATCTGATCAAATAATCATTACTACTGACATACTAGGAACTGGGATTATTTGTACAGGTAGAGGAGTTCTATCATAGAAATTCAATATCCTATAAATGTAGGAATTGCTCACATATAACAAGCCATGGCTGTGAGCTTTTGTATACCCAATAGTCACCTGTAATTAAATTAACCCTGGTGTAACTACGTGGTAGACATGTCATGTCTCGTTCAAGTAAAATTTCACTTACACAATTAAAAACGTCCCATTTAAAATTACACTGTTAATTAATTTTGCTGAATTTGTACTGGCTATATGGGAAAACTCTTTTATGTTTACCTGTAAATGTGTTCTTAAACAAATATGTACATTCAGCAAGAACCTCAATCTAAGCAATTTAAAATACTGATATAGCCATCATGAAATATTACAACATTACAGATTATAAAAGGTCATGAATTAGCTTTTAATACATTATCCCCATAATTTGCAGTACTCCCTAATAATTAAAGACTAATTCAGAAGAAAACTTTTTTCATTATATCCTTTAACTCAGAACATTAAATTCAATACAAGAGCAAATCTAACACAGTTTGAAATTTCATACATCATGAAGCAGTGATTTAAAAGATATAAAAAAAATTATTGAATACTTAATTTGAACATTTTTATGGAGTCATTTATATTAATGTTAAGTCTTCTGGGTGCTTTGCTTCAAAATCACTCTGATACCCCAAAGTAGAATTTGATACACTCCCTGTATATGAAAGCATTAAGGCATACTTTACATATATATCTGATTCAATTATATCTCAGTATCTGTAAAAACCATAACCCTGGCAGGGTTGGGAGAACCATTCATCCCCTCCCCATATCCTGTTCTCCTACGCTAAATTTTAATGCTCTATTGTGACAAAGATTCTGCTGATCAACCTTTAAAGTGACCTCTTAACCCTTCTTGCTTCATTTAACAGACAAGTAGTTCCACACCTGATGGCTATCAAGTCTCACTTGAACCAATGTTTGATTAATTATTTATATACTAATCCACTAATTCATTTATCTGTCTTCCATATACCCTATATTAGGATTAAAGGATATTTCAATATTTACAATGTTCTATCTTAACAATATGTATTTTGCAACATTTAAAACTGTGCAATGACACTTAACTATTAGGGGATCCAATGATGCCCCCCTCCCCTCTTCAAATAAAAATAATGTGGTCCATAATAATAACTTGCCTAATAATCTGTCTTGAATGTTTGGAAGTAGTGATATTTAACAACCAGTATGATTTTAAGAATGAATGGTAAGGCTTAATGGGTACAAAATCAATTTCTTGAAAAAAGCTACCTTCCAGCTCAAAAGATAACGTATTTACTTGCACTACGTACATAATGATCCAAGACTTGTAATTCAATAGAATTAATCAGGATTCATTTATTACAAAGTACACAAATAATCTTTGATCGCATAATTAAGTCATCCCCTGACCCATAAAACCCCTAAAATTGGTTTTACCTATCTTAAGTGTAATATGTTGAAGTTAAATATGATAAGAGAAATATGTAATTGCAATCTTAAACCATACACTGTCAACTGAGACCCTATACCCTTAGCGTGACAACACTGAAAACAAGACAATGCACTTCTAAATGCATCTTGGGATACTGACTGCATCGACTTTCTGTCGGACATATCCAGGCTTGGGAATTTCTGACAGGACAGATTCTTGGTCACTTCCATCATTTTCTATCTGGAGTTCTTCTGACATTTTCCCTGGTATAAACAAATTTATCTGTTCAATGGATCTCTTTTATAAAATAATAAGTCCTACTTTCAAATATTTGTTATTGTCCAGGTCTTTGAGTCCAGAATTTGTTCACTACTTGTGTATAAAGTTTGGAGATCAGAAATGAAACCCAGTATTTGTTTTCCCTTCAGAAGTAGAGTTTACTATGGGTCAATATCCCGAGCTTTTGAAAACAAGTAAAAGATAATAATATTCTGTCAGTGTGTATCAAGACCACTCGAAAACCTCAATATTCACACTGAATTGTCAATAAATCTTCAACCGCCATTTCAGAGAGGGAACAAGTACATTTTATAGTCACGTATTTGCACAATCAGCAAGCTTTCTGAACGTCCAACAAGACTACGAAATTGGCTCCTCCAAAACACAAGTATATTTTTGGTGGTAGAGACATGCACAACTCACTAATTTCCTGACTCTCAATACACCTTCACAGAGATTTTCTTTTTCCCAAATTAATCCTCCAGATGCACTTATCAATGCACTTAAACTTTTTCCACAATTTCACATTGTTGTCCTTGCACAAAAGAGGACTAAGGTTGGAAAGAAATAAATACACACAAAGAGATCTGTCAGAACTTCAATGAGCTCTTTAAGTCTTTACACGTCCAATTCTTATCTTATTTCCTTTCTCTAAGCAAGTAATCCACTAAACTGAATTTTATCAGAAACGAAGTTTAAGCTAAAAACAGTTTGTTTAAAGAAAGTTAACCAACATGCAATGAAGGTCAAATAATCCACAGGAGTTTAGTCTCAGGTGCATACAGCCATTCATAATACTCAATACAAAGGTAAAAGAAAACTCTGTCATTCCATTGATTTTGTGGCTCAAATGCAGTTATGAAGTGAAATCGTCAACAAAGAAATATTAATCCATCCAAAGAGATTCTATTCTTTAAAATTTAAATGATCATTTATTTCACTTAAATGTGTTTTCAATGTCCACAAAAGAATTCTTTGTTGGTAAGTATTAATAAACTTCTGAAATAGATGTTCTGCTCAAATACATTGCCAAGTACCGGTAAATCCGTACCCAGGATCTAAAATTATCTCCCTTCAGTCAGGATCTAGAGTGATCTCCCTTCAGTTACTTGACAAAAAAAATTATTAAAACAAGAGTTATTGCTCAAGACAGTAGAGTTACTATGCAATCAGGAAATTGTCCTACAAACAAAAAGTCCAAGCAAACAGAGACTAGGCCCTGCATTAAAGTTTTCAGAAGTCACGGATCATGGGGACTTGGTCGTAAATCTTTTTGATAAGTGTTGACGTGTTTTGTGTCTATTGTCTTAAGTTTAAATACACTCATTTGTGACATATATGGCACCTTAAAGACCTTATTGGGTTAGCCTTTGATATCATAGTAAATAGCACTGCCCCCCAGTCAGCAATAACTGCTTAGCTTTTAATTTACCTCAGTAATTCCTTTTGATTTTTAATCTGCAGAGTACCAAATTGATCACAAGTCTTAGAACATAAATATTTAACACCTAAATTAAACGTTCTTAAAGAAAAATTTCACTCAAAAAAGGGAAAATGGGTTGAAAATATTGCTATATGTAATGCATATTTTCTTCAATTTTTATGCCTTGATCAAAACTATAAGACTTTGCCATTTAAGAATCATAACTATGTGCTCTTTCCTGCACTGATGGAAACATATATATTATAAGAGAAGGACTGACAGTTATAATACTGATCGATCAATTAAACAATTTGAAATTCTTAAGTGATTACTTGTAGTGGCTGTTGAACTTATTTATTTCAGTTTTGCTGAGTAAGAACTGCAGGGCAAACAAAAACTTCAATGTAGAAATGGATTTATTTAATTAAATGTCTTTGTTAAAAGCAGATTATTTTACTTGAAATCTAGCTGTCAAGCACATAATCCTACCTCTTCAAAACAATGCAACTAATTGTAGATTTATTTCAGAAAGTATGTGAAATATTATGACAAACATTACCCCATAAAATGATATGGACTGAAATTTTGGGAAATAACGTTCAAGTGACAAGTTTATTGGAGAGTCATTTTCATAAGTGACAGGGGAGTTAAACAGTAAAGTGTTTTTCTGAACAAGATCTAACATCACTGTCACCAGAATGCTTACTGATAATCAATAGGGACTGAATGTCCACATTTTAAATTCAGGTCAAAATGAATGGAATGACTGACACAAACAAGAAAGAATAATTTGGCAAACACTCCCATCTAGGACTCAGACAAATTTATATCTACAATTGCTTAACTTAAAAGGCTTCAAATGATTTGCATAGTCTCAGAAAAGATTAGGGTAAAGTGCATTGCTTCATAAATCATACAACTCAAAACAATAGGTTACTTCAGCCTTTGAAATGCAAACACTAGCAGTCTTCAGTTGAGGATATAGCCTACAGAATAGGGGATTTTTGATAACAGCATTTTATATCTGATTTAAACTTAGGTAAATCTGAAAAATCACAACCTTATCTTCATTGATAAAATGGATGCTTTCCCAGTAAAGTAGGGGCAATGTTCCCTTAAAGAGGACCAGATTTTAAAGCCGAGTTTTGTCAAAGAATTTACCCTTTATGTAAAAAAACACCACATTAGTAAAATCTTTTACAACTACCAAGTTGTCACTTAAACGTCAATATATTATATAAGAAATGGTACTGTAATTAATTATACTTCAGGTTCAATTAATATAAATCTTTGAAAGCTTGAAAAATTGGCATACATAAGGTTTGTAATTACACCATTGTGTGTAAATTATAATCGTACACCTATGAAATTTGACATATGAAGAAGCTTTAGGTCTATAGAACTTGTATACATTAATGCTCTTGGACAGGTTTCTATCCTATATCAGAAGTTATTATCAGGAAATGTAACTGTTTTGTCAAACCTCTGATGATTGGCCA